TTGGTTCCGCGAATGGGATACTTTTTTCCCCGGATGAAACGTGTCTGGATCTTTTTTAATTGGCTCGTAATTATAACTGCGTGTGTCAGGGCGGATATCCGAGCTGAAAACGATAACGCGGGGGTTTTTTAAAGTTTTCCAAATACATTTCAACTTTTATTACTGTATTGCGTTTTTGATGCCTAGAAAAAAAATGTGTAATTTGCTTATGTTCGTTTGAGTTTTCTCTCTCTGTAAATACCCAGGTGTTGTGATTTCTGGAGCATCATTCAAATAAAATGTAATTTAATAATTAATTTAATATGCTCCAGAATAAATTTCATTATACAGCACACATAATTATGTAAGTTATCATTGAAGAATTTGTAATGCATTCCATACACTCCAAAAAATCCTTGATATACCTTGTGAACCTGTGTCTTTCAGCAAGTGATTAGTGTAAAATTTTAATCAATAGAATGTTTAATTGACAGTGAAATTAAAGTAACTTTGGCATTCATGCTTTCAACTTTCTGGAATGAATGAATGTTTGGGTTATTAAAATCCAATTTCTAATATTTTACAACGTTTAATTTGCGTTCCGTGAAATTCCAGCAATTAAATTCAAGAAGGCATATTCGGCAGAAAACCTTTTTTGCATTGCACAAAATTCGGTAAGCAGAATTTTACTACACACAGATTTTATTTGAGCGGTAAAATCTCGTGAAAAAACGCTTTTTTATAGCTAATCATGCGTTGAAAAGAACTTCAAATAAAGTTCTGGCTGGCCCATGAAATTTTTTTTTTTATAATTGAAGTGTTGCATCAATATTCGTTGTAACGAAATTTCAGTGTATGAGACTTTTTATGAAGATTAGTTCTATACTTGTTTGAAGGAAGAAAAAATACAGTGAACTGCCAATCAGTATGAAATATATTATTTGGAATGAAGTATGCAAGAACTTTTGAGTTGGCACTTGGGTATAGTGGGATAATTGCATGTTCCGCTCTGAATGCTGTCCCGTCCCGACGGGTTCCTTCTGACGGGCTTTTTTCATCCTGCCAGGGTGAGATGGACTGGTTCATTCCGCCACTTACTTGTGTGTAGAGGATGAGTCGAAAATTAACTGCTTCCGATTGAGAGCTTTTGTTTTCTCTTCCGGAATACTTTCAGAAAGATGAAGAAGAAAAAAAAAAAGAGGAGAACAAATTGCGTGAAAACTGGGTGAGGTCAGAGTTCCTCTGGATAAACTGTAACGCGGAGAAACTTGTGTTTTTGGGTCCAATTTTTAAAACTAGGGTTCTCTTATAATACTGTATAACAGTTGAACCCCTGCCTCCAAGTTCAGCAAGCTAGGTGCAAACTCACTAAGGAGCAAGTTTAGGCCTAGAATATCCTCATTTACAATTTCCCACACTATTTTTCACTTCTCTCCACAATAAAAGTGTTTGTTTTTCTTAACTGGAAACCTCCAAAAATCAAAACCTCCCTGAGTCAAATTGTTTCCCTGCTGGTCCCTATAAATTTGACTTACAGAGGTTCAACTTGTGAGACCCTGAGATGCAGACATAATTGGTGCATCAAGAGTGTCCATAAGTCGAGTCTCATTTTCCTTTATACTTACATTATATAATTTTTAATTGGTGTTTTATGGACAAAATACTCACGATAATTCCATGAAAATAAAAATTGTCTCCCAATGGAAACTGATTCAATCAATATATTTCAACACAATACCAACATTTGGGGAATTGAATAGTGATACATCTGTACAGTACATATAAATGTTGGCATTCTCTGTAAAAATAGCATTCAAGTGAAAAAGAGAGAAGGAAGTCCCTCTATACTGGAGTACCGTAAATTTTTAAAATTAGCTAAATGGATGGTAAATTGTATGCCCAAGAACTTTTCTTACATCAATTTTATGTTTGGAAATATCTGTTCCTTGTAATTTGGCCTGAAAAATGTATTTGCAATTTTATCACAAAATCTCCCTATGTTGAGTCAGTGTCTTCATGTTGGGCCTTTTTTATTAATTTTTATGGGAAAATAAGTGTCCATATGTTGAATTGTCTGCAGGTCAAGGTGTCCTCATGCGGGGTTTTCACTGTAATTTCTTTTCTCTTCCCCCCTTTTATTTCAAGTTCAGGGAATACAATTTTTACACTCCTGACCCCAAAAATACCTCTCACTTCTGTAAAATTTTCGGGAACGCAAAGCAAACAAAATACCCCCCGGGGAAAGTTCGGAAGGAGAACACTGACCTTTTCCTTCCTGTCGGGGGAAGGAAATCGTGAAACATTTTCCCGGATGACACTCATCGAAACTTCAGATCGCATCGGCTTACAGTCAGAAACAATAGCTAGTATTTTGTCAACGGCTACCATCTTTTCCATCATTCTTTGCTGGACAAACACGTAGGACAACAACACGAGAGAAGGAAAAATGGAGCGCCAAGAAAATTATGTCCAAATCGGATTCTCTCTTCTATTTTTTTTTCTTGGGATCGGCTGCTGTCGAAAAATTCGCTTATCAGTTGTCCATTGTTGGTCGCGTGGTGAAATTTATTTTTCTTACGATTTGATGGGGCTTTCGGGAAATTTTGGGGAAGTTGAAAATAAATACCTTTCAACGTTGGGAAGAAGCCAGGAGGGAATTTCCTGAAAATTTCGGGAAGATTTTTCTTTCTTGAAGCCAGAGCTGTTGAGAAATTTTTGAGATTGCTGAAAAAGAAAGAAGTAATTCCTGAGGTTTTGAAAAATTTTCGGAAAGCAAGGAATTTCTAGAAAACACAAAATTTTTCTCAAGTGCAAGAGGTTTTTAAAACTTACAAATTGTTGATAAATACTTCGCGAGGATTACTGAAGGATTTTCAATTCGTTATTTGATGATTTTGTAAATTTTATTTGGGGTATTTCGGAGTGACTTTTATGCATCAAATCTTGATGAGACATTTGAGTTTTTTTACTTTCAATAATTCCTTACAATTTTTGAAAGTTACAAAGTGTTGGTGAATACGTCAGCAGGAGAATTTTTATGAATTTCAATTTAATTTTTGGAGACTTTTAATTTTTCCTTGAAAAATTTCGGAGTGAACTTTATGAATCAAATCTTGCTGAGGAGACGCTCATTTTTTTTCAAGTCAAAGAATACTTTACGATTTTGGAAAATTAAAAAGTTTTGATAAATACGTCACAAAATTTTCTAAAGGAGTTTCAATTAATCTTTTGGCGAATTTTTAAACTTTCCGTGAGATATTTCGGAGTGAACTTTACATGAATCAAACCTTGATGAGACATTCGATTTTTTTTTCTCAAGTCCAACAACACCCCAAGATTTTGAAAGTTACAAATTTTTGGTAAATGCGTCACAATGATTACTTAAGGAGTTCCAATTTAGTTTTTGTTGAATTTTTGAATTTCCCTTGAGAAATATTTCGGAGTGAACTTTATATATGAATCAAATCAGGGTAAGACGTTGGTCCCCCGCCTTTTTTTCTTACTTTTCTATTTTATTCAAGTGGGGGATTTTCTGTTGTTTTGTTATATTTCTCATTGATTTATTTATCTCGACGTATTGTTGTTGTCGAGATAAATTACAAATTGTTGATAAATGCGTCACAAGGATTACTTTAGGAGTTCCAATTTAGTTTTTGTTCAATTTTTAAATTTCCCTTGAGAAATATTTCGGAGTGAACTTTGTATGAGTCAAATCTTGGTGAGACGTTGGTCCTCTTTTTTTCCTTTCTTTTTTTTAATTTTATCTATAAGCTGGGGATTTTCTGATGCTTTGTTATATTTCTCATTGATTTATTTATCTCGACGTATTGTTGTTATCGAGATAAATTACAAATTGTTGAAGTTTTTGTTGAATTTTTAAATTTCTATTGAGAAATATTTCGGAGTGAACTTTATATGAGTCAAATCTTGGTGAGTTGGTCCTCTTTTTTTTTCCTTTCTTTTTTATTTTATCTAAAAGCAGGGGATTTTCTGATGCTTTGTTATTTTTCTCATTGATTTATTTATCTCGACGTATTGTTGTTTTTTTTTTCTTCTGTGGCGTGGTTCGCTGCTTGGGGGAATATAATGGCGATCGACAGGGAAAAACGGAAACAGCGCGTGCCGCGGATGTCGACGCTGCCTGGACTAGATTCCGGCCTCCAGATTCCTGTCGTTCACTCGGTGCACTGAACCGTTTCTTCCGTTTCGCCATGCATCATCTTTGCTTCTGATGGTCTCATTCCTTGTTTTATTTTTTTTTTAAATATATTTCTGTTTTCGTTTTTTTTCCTTCTTTTTTGTGGGCGACTTTTGTTTAGGGGGAGATGCTTGTGCATGTGCTATAGATCTGAGGAAGAGTTGGAAGGGATTGTTTTTAGCACGTTTTTATTAACTCGCTTTCTTGTCAAATTTCACTCACTTCCAGACTAGCTAGCAAGCTGAAACTTTCAGGATANATCTCCATGCGCATCACGTTTAAGGTTATTTTTTGCTTTTTGAAAACGTGGTTTTTTAGATTAATTTTTTAATCTACTAAATTTTTATAGACTTTGTATAGATTTTTATTCAACTTGACTTGGGGTATGCATGTACGTATGCCTGTCTGTCTCTCTGTCTGTCTAAGGGGGATCCAGATTTAGCAAAGTTTGTCACTGAAATTTAACCCACTTTCAAATGTCCAATCTTGCTGAAATTTTTCACAATTGTCAAACATTGATGACAATGCCATGTATCAAAATTTCAGAATTTTTGGATGATCAGAAAATGGTAAAATTGACAAAACAAAAATTACCATGAAACACACTTTAACCTCTTTAAAACTGTTCAAATTGATTGCAACTTTGGGGATGAAAAAGTGTGGGACCAATTTTTTTTTTTTACATACAGTATGAGAAGGTATCAACTAAGGCTCCACACATTTATTAGAAGGAGGTTTTTGCTGTAACTCCGTAAGTTCTTCATAATTTTAGCATAAAACTGTATTGGTATTCAGTCAAAATAGATCTTCTGCATTTGCAAATGAAAATATAATTCTAATGTACCTTGTCATAATTCCCGAACATGTTTCAGAATACGTTTTCAAACTTGTTCTGATGTATTGTTTGAACAGTACTGAATTTTTTGCTGGACCTTGAAACACTCATGTTTCGTTAAATTGAAAAGTATTTGTAACCTTTGGAACTACTATAATTCGTGGAATTCACTCAACTATGTCTCGAATGTTTTCATGAGTGCATCTTTCGCAAACATTGATCAGACTTCAAAACATTGAAAATTTTGACGTTTTGGTGAAATGGAAAGTGACGATTTATTCTGCTCGCCGTCATTTTTAGATACAGTATAAATGTTTGTGGAGCATAAAACCGAACGAATTATCGTCTTGCGATGATTCACAGAATGTTTCTTCAACAGCCATTTTCAAGTTTCGGGGTTTCGTATTTTTGAAATTCGCGACACGTGTTGCTTTTGTAAGCAAGAAAGGAAGTCGCCATGTTTCGAAACAATGACTTGGCAAACTTTGCAAACTCACGAAGACCGTTTGTTAGGAACCAGTCTCTAATTGCGAAGCTTGTTTCAACCCCATTTGCGAACTCCAAATTTAGACAACAGACGCTGAAAAATGCTGAGTCACGAAAAATGTTTTTTTTACCTCTTAATGAACGGCGTTAATCCGGAAGTGATCAACTCAAAGAAAGGAAAATGCTTGAATAATTTTGTGTGGTTTTTTTTTTTTTTTTGCAGCAAAAGGAAACCCCCTTGGACATTGCAGTGAGGAAAGAAGCCCGGGAAATCGCAGATTTCTTGACCCATCCACCCAGTGTTTTACCAGGTATGTGCTTATTTCCCTGCGCAAATTTTTGGCATAAACTTTGTATTGTAAAACTCTCTGGAGGTGTTTTCAACTCCCAATCGAGATTAAATTAACAATACTGTACTTTTTGTTCACGCTGAGGCTCCATATTTCACTCTTCTATTTTAAAATCAGTCTAGTACAGTGAGACCCCAAGATGCGGACATATAATTGGTGCATCAAGAGTGTCCCTAAGTCAAAATGTCACTAGGTTGAGTCTCATTTTCCCTTAGACTTGCTGTTTTATGGAAAAAATACTCACCATAATTCCATAAAAATTGTTTCCCAATTTAAACTGATTCAATCAATATATTTCAACACAATACCAACATTTGGGGAATTGAATTCTGGTACCTCTCTACAGTACTGTACATAAAATTGTTGGCATTCTCTGTAAAAATAACATTCAAGTGGAAAAGAGAGAAGGAAGTCCCTCTAAACTGGAGGTAAATTTTTAAAATTAGTTAAATGGATGGTAAATTGATGAGAGAAATGCCCAAGAATTTTTCTTACATCAATTTTAGAGTTGGAAATATCTGTTTCTTATAATTTGGCCTGAAATGTATTTGCAATTTCATCACAAAATGTCCCTATGTTGAGTCAGTGTCCTCATGTTGGGCCTTTTTTTATTAATTATTCAAAGGAAAGTAAGTGTTTCTATGTCAAATTGTCCGCATGTTGAGGTGTCCGCATGTGGGGGTCTCACTGTGCTTGTTTAGTTTGTACCCATTAAATCAAGTAAGAGATTTATTTTTATTTTTAAATCGGTATAAAACTTAGCTCGTATTCAGTCACATTGGATTTTCCATGGAAGGCTAAATCACAGCTGGCAATCAAACTTTCCCGGTATGTACAGATGTCACTCCAAGTCAGTGCAGTAATGTCCCAGTTACATCAACAACTAAATTTTTTGTTTCAAACTAAGGTATGCTGTTTACTGAAAAAAAGTTTGTTGGCCAAAACTCTGTTCGTTGACTGTCAGGTTTTTTTTTTCTTTCAAAATTTCAGTTTTGTTGACTGGGTGTTAATTATACTATGCTGCATTAGATGTTCAATTAAATCTACAGTAATATTTCAATGCATTCCAAGTCTTACTTCGAAAGAAAACGAGTCATTGTGTCGTTTTCTTTTTGGTGTGAAAATCAGTGTTTTTGCTGGTGACTAAATCGAAATATATGTCTTGAGAAATAAAGCTTTTTGTTGGTGAATGAGAAGAATGGAAGATTTTCATGAAAGGGAAAATGCTGGTCGAGCCAGTCCACAACAATGTGTATTGGTTTACATTGAATAACTGCATTGTTTTACTCCAGGAAAAAAAAAAAGCTTTGAAATGCCTCATACGAGTTTTTGGTCACTTGGGGTTTTATAATTGACAATAATATTGTGTAAGAATTAAGCTTTTTTTTTTAGCTGAAGAATGGAAGGTCGTCGTCGCCGTAAAAAGAGGAAAAAATGTTGTTCCCTCTCCCGGTCCTTGAGATGGCCCGAATTTAATTAATTGCGTTCCTCCTCTTTTTTTTTGTGCGTGTCTCTGGATTTTTTTCACACACACAAAACTAGGTCCAGCAAGAAGCACATCGAGGTCACGACACAAAGGGGCCGTGAAGCGAGAGAAACCCCGTTTGCGACAGGTGTCGAGTGACGACACTACGCGACACCGACGTCGACACGCCAGCGATTCTCCACACGACCACCACAATCACCACCACCACCATCACCAGCACCACAGAAACGCCAGTGGCAGCAACAGGCATGGCCGGCGAATGAAGGTCAGTGTCTCCATGATTTGTACTTGTGCCTGTTGCTTTGGAAAAATAATAATTTGCAGAGCTTTTTTCCGCATTTTTTTTTTATGTTGTATTCCCACTGTCTGTGCACAGATGAAAGGGAAAAAAACAGTGATTAAATTTGCTGGCTTTTTCAGAATTTTATTTATTGACATTAAACTGGTTTAGATGTTCATTTAAATTATGCACCACCCACTTCTGGAACATTTTGCAGTGCTATAATTAATTCTGTAGTCTTGCTACTGTATTTCTTTTTATAGATTTCAAACTATTTCAAGCACATTTGACTCACTCATTTAATTACAACCAAGACAACAACAAAATCATGAAACTGAGAGATTAGGAACCTGTTGAAGATCATGCATAAATACCCTGTCTATAAAAAAGGATTTTCAGAATATTACTGTAATCTTGATGCGTAAATATTGATTTTCTTTGTGTAAATCAATGGGTCCATTTTTGGGAAATATAAAAATGTAAGAAGCAGACATTTTTGAGGAATCTTATTGTGAATAAGATTTTTAACCATGTGACTTCCTTGACTGGCGTTTTGTTGTTGTTGCAGTTTTTCACTCTACCAAGAAAATGGTTTTTTGAAGAAATTTTTTTTAAAGATTGGCATCCAGATTTTAGCTAATAAGTTTTATTTTTAATGAACTTGGTGAAGGAGCAGTTTTGGAATTATGTTTAAATTTCAATACTGCCAATTAGTTATGAAATACAGGCTGAACAGTCTATTTTATCCATTTTCAAGTTCTTTAATGCGAAAATTTTGGAAATGCCCATGAAAATGTAAATGAATCCACTATCCAGATGTTTTTTTTTTCTTTTCACTGCATACATTTTGGTTTGCATGAAACCAGATATTTAGCAAAGCCAGGCGAAATCTGACGAGACACGCGAGACTTCTTGTGCACAGCTTCTGAATGGCTTTTAAGACGGATGTTTTCTGCTTTTTGCACGCAAAAAAAAAACAATTGTCGCAGGGTGCACGAAGTTCTGGTCGTCGAGCGAATGTTCCGCACTCTGTCCCCTGGAGCCCCTATGGGTGTCACTATTCACCGAACCCCAAGGAATTCCCGAAACCCAAGCTGGATTCCTTGCCACCACAGCCACTGCAGAAGGGCGAGCTCTACTACATCGACTTGGCCGGCAATATCCGGAAGGTATGGAAATGAAACCCGCCAGCTGGCCGGAAGTGAGGCCAGCTTGAAACAGGAAGTGCATGCAAAATTTTGTAAACACTTCATGGACAAATTACATATTTTTTTCTGGCTTTTGTTCCAAAAAAATGAAAGATGACATTAACGAGTCGTTTATTTAAAAATTTTTAAAGGGTTATTGTTTTGCCTCAGGGCCCGGTTGGAGTGGGAACAGCCTGCTATTGCAGCCCGTTGTTCAGGAGACTAGAGTCGCGAATAGACCACGACAGGGCAGAGATTTCTCATAATCTGGAAACCACCAAGAACAAGCTCACTCAGAGGATTTCCGCCTTGGAGTTGCAGACCAGGAGCCAGTTGGCAAGCCTGGACCAGAGGCTGTCCCTGTGGGAACGGATGCGACGCCAAGGATCCCCCTTGAGACCACACAGTCCCTCAGCTCATATCAGCACTGGGTTGGTATACTGTACTAGTGTATACTAATTGTACCAGTACTGCATTTCCCCTTTTCTTAAATAAATCCTGAGGGTTTCTTGGGCCACTCTGACGTGGCTGCAACATACACTTGGTGCTTGATTTGGTTTTTATTAAAAGGTAATTCCAACAGAACAATCAGCATGGGACAGACCTATAGAGATCCCTGGTAAAATCTTTCAAGTTTGCAAAGGCAAGATAAAAAATTTAGTAGATTAAAAAATTAATCTAAAAAACCCCGTTTTGAAAAAGGAAAAAATAACCTTAAACTTGGTGCGCATGGAGATTGTTGGGAAGAAGTGAAATACAAATGAAATAGATGCGCACCACTCTAGCTAGTCGGGAAGTGAGCAAAATTTGAGTTGCAAAATTTGATCTGGACAAACAAACGGACAAGAAAGTGAGTTAATAAAAACGTGTTAATAATAAAATTGTGGAAGAGGTCCCAAAAACCCTGGCATCCCAATTCCAGAAAATTTGATTATGCCAAGAATTTATGCAACATGCAACAAATCATGCATGCATTCTTGTTTCCTTGTCAAAAACGCAACTGATGGATTGCAGGTGGTTTGGTTTTGTTCATTCCTTTTCCCCCAAAAGCAACTCACCATTTTAAATTCTCATAGAGTTTTCATGAATAAAATAGTTCCTAAAGACAGACACAACAATTTTTCAGATGAGACAACATTACATTACTTTTTGTTACCCACTAAGCTGAGTTCCCTTCATAAAATTGTTGTATTTTTGCCAAAAAATGCACAAGATTGACAATGTCTTGGCATTATCCAATTTACTGAATTATGCGGGGTATAGTGCATTTTGGTTTGACCAAAGGTCACAAAAACAGCACCAGGTCAGAGTGGCCTAACCCAGGAAATATTTGAAAAAGCCATGGGAGGAAAATTGGCAAAGTCCAGTAGACCCCCAAGTTAATTCTATGGCTAAGGGTAAAAAAAACCAGCCTGGGAGAGCTTTTTTTTGCGCTCTCAAAACTTTTTTGAGCAGATAGAAAAATATATGCAGAAATTCTCAACTTGGGCTAAAATAGCCAGTGGAATAATTTTTAAACTTAAAAATGTCTGCAAAATTCTTGTAAAAATATCCCAGCACCGCCACCAAAGGGTTACTATTATTTAAAAAGAGTTTGCTGTGGTTTTTTTTTTTCTTTTTAGATGAGTCTTTAAAATTAATCAGGGAACCAACTGTATTAATTTTATAAATGAGCCCATCACGCTCAAAATTTGCGGGTATTTTGGCTCCCATGCGTTGATGTTTTCATCTCTCTCTTTCGACTGCAGTCGGTTGAACGAAATCCAAACCAATGGAACCCTCACTCGGTCTCGGTCAGAAGAGAAACTCGCCCAGGGCCCCACTCATCGACCCTCCTCCACCGGCGGATTGCCGCGCGCCAAAAGCTCCCACCAAGTCGACTCCTCCTACAAAAACCTCGTGGTCAGAAGCACGCCGACGAGCGACACGGGCCGCGTATTGGTCGCCGGCGCCGCGAGTAAATTGCGGCAAAAGCGGTCCAAAGACCACCGCCTCAAACAGTCGGCCTTGGCTGCCAGGAGCAAGTTCATGCAAGACTTCGAACTCAGCAGCGGAAGTGACAGCGATGGAGAAGAGGATGAGCGGGAAGAAGAGGAAGTGACAGTCAGAAGTGAGAAGATGGAGGATGAGGTGGATGTAAGTCGGAGCATGACTCGAGTTGAAGACGATGGTGTGGTCATGGCTGGAGAGGACAAGTACATGACCGTCAAGCATAAGTGAGTCTTGATGGAAATTAGTGCCTTGGTTGTAATGAACTTCAAAAGCTCCAGTGGGATCTGGGATGTCCATTATCTAAAATGAATACCAACCAGGTAATAATGTAAGGCCATGTGTGCAACTTCTGATTCATTCCGGCCTTCAAGTACTATATACAGTAATTTATTCACTCAAGTGCCACATGTCCCTTTTTTTCCTAAATTGCCAAGAAAAATGTAGTGTTGTGTTCAAAGTTGTTGTTCTAAAACAAGTCAGTGGTCAATTTTTTCAGGGCTAGTTTATCAACCACAACCCAATGGAGAAGAGGGAATAGCAAATTCAAAAGCAATGGAAACTACGTTTTTAAAACCATTTGTTGCATTCCTTTGCCTTGTCCCCGGCAATGACCAACAACTTTAGAGCGGGTAGATGTCACTAGCAGTTGAAATTTCAACTCAAATCCATTCAGTCCTCCAAATATGCTTCTGATGCAGGTGGAATCGAAAAAGCACGTTCAAATTCCCTTTGGATTCTTCTCATTCAGCCAATTCTACAGTATTCAATTTTTCCATACTAAATGCCAATAATTTCGCTTGTGAAAACCTTTGAGAAATGTAGACTGCAAATAAATTCAATGGTCACCTTATACATCCAGCCCAACCACGAGTCACAAATAGAAAGTCCAACTCAATATTTAAACCAGTTGCTAGGGAAATAATTTTACATTGAAAATGCATCATTTGAAATGGACCAATTTCAATTTCAGGACATCACCTTCAGAAAAGAGTAAGAGACCCGTGGAAGGAGATCAAGGAGAAGAAAATAGTTCACCACCACCAGTTGTGAAGGCCACAGTAAACTTCAAACCTGGGACTGAAATCTATGAACTTCGGCATCAAGATCATCTTGTGACGACTTACTTGAACCGGATCCAAACCAACGTTCGAACCCTGAGGGAGAAATTCGAGAAACAGCTGCAGGTACAATACATCAGTTGATGAAGAAAGGGATTATGTGCAAATATTAAACGTCAACTTAGCAGTCGATGACTGAAATGCCAGTGTGAAGCTAAAAACGCTGTCATGTATGATGATCGGTGTACTGAATTTTAGTTTCATTTACGCTTCTACAGGTGTCGCAAGAGGACCTGGCACCTAGCGGTGAACTGAGCAAGGCACAAGCTCGAGTTGCCATGGTTTCTCCACAGGTGCCACTGCCTCCCGCACCAGGTGCCGTCCAAGTTCTGCCTCAATTGTGTTCCAGTTCCTCAGCAGCCAGTTCTTCAGGCATCGGGCACTCGACAGACACGAGTTCCGGTGTGCCAAAGCGGGTTCTTCCGCAGAAGCCCTTGCTTGAGAAGGACGAGCATAATGACTCGGGTTACAGCATCACGAGATTCAACAACAGCCCCCCTTTCACTCATCCTGGAAACTCAAATTCTGGTGAGAGTAACCTTACAGGCATTTCAAATGTGCATCAAATGAAGCGAATACCTTATTTTTTCGTGTTGAATTTGGCAAAAAGTAATTTTGCATGCCCTGCTGTAGTTTTTAGTTACTTGAGAATGTGAGTACTGTATTTGAAAATTGTAAGCAAATAAAATACTGTGCGACTGAAATGCATCGTTAATTAAATGATGCCCATCAAGGGCAAATTTTCCGACGAAGGAAATATTTCTGGAAAAATTATGTACTCACAGCATATTACTTTCAAGAGGCTTGCAGAATATTTTTAATAGCTCAGAATCTTTGCAAGTGATCATTGAAGATTCAATACACTGAACCAAAGAAGAAAATATATTTTTAGGCGTGTTGATTTTGTCAGAAAAAAGTTCTCACCACTCATCAAGTCAAGAATTGAATCTTGTAACAATGCCATCTTTTTCCAGGTTTTTTTTGTATGTTGGGTTACTTGTACTCTTATTGCAGTATTTGGGTTTTCGTCTAACTTGAATTTACAAGCGTACGAAAATATAAATTCTCAAAAATAAATTTACCTCAAAAATAAAATCGTGAAATGATTTCTGACTGATTTCCATTTAATTTGCGCAGGATCCCCAGAAGTGCCAGACCAGGACTCCAACTACCACAGCTCAGAAGAGAACTCCTTGACACCAACAGAGGAGGCCAACAGACGAGCTGTGTCAGGCAAGCATGCCGCCCAATCTACAATAGCTCCTCCACCACACCCTCAGCCGCCATCCTGGCGACCTCCGCCCCCTGTTACCGCATCATCCTCTGTGCCGCCTCCATCAACTTCCACGGGTCTCTGGCGCCCTCAACCCCCAGACTATGAAACAGCCACCGTGAAACGTCTGACCAAGGATTTCCTAAAGCCTCACATGGCAGTGCCAAACCAGGTCACTCAGCCGCCGTCTCGTCCACCACCACTGACACCAACTTACGAAGTGTACCAGGTTTATGGTCAGAATCCTCCAGTTTCCGGTTACCAACATGGTCACTCAATGCCATACACCAGGTCTAGTCTCGTTTGAATTTACTTTTCTGGTGGCAGATTTTGTTGAGGGAAAGAAGGTTGGGGGTTGCAGAGCTTGACAGTGTTTGTTGATTTCATTCTGAGCTCAATTGAGGTGATTCGAAGGGAGATATTTTTTTCAAGTAAGTCAGGAGTACCTCAAATTTTTGTTGTTGATCGAATGTATGTAAGTGAAGATGTGTTTTTATGCGGATTTTTTTGAGGGAAATTGAGAGAAAGTTCAATTCAGCTTGTATGAGATTAGATAAGGGAAAATCGATTTTTTTTCTGTATTTCACTTTAGAGCACTACTATGGTCAGCATATTGTCACAGAGTAAAGTTTTAGTAAACGAAAAATGTCACTGTGTGCTTTAAAACCAAGCTAACTGGTGTGCTTTTTTTTTAATTGATCAAGTCCAATTGATTCATTTGAATTTGAAGAAAAATCAGAAAATATAATCGAAGGATGCGTTTTCTGAGGTTCATGATTCGTACGATGTTGGGTGAAATTCGTTTGCGTGGTAATAAATCGCGAATGGTGAGTTCATTTCTTGGGAAAAATTTCTAAATAAAACACTTACACGTGTTAGTAATGACACTAGTATTCACACTTGTTAGTATTTAATCAAAACTCCGAACTACTTTTCAAAAACATTTATGCTCAACAACGCGGTACAAATATTCTTTCAGTATTTGCCGCATGAGATTCACAGAAAATAAATGAACAGCCTCAACACTACTTCACTCCTAAAATTAGATTAAATACAATGTAAATAATATCGAATAGGTATAATTAAGAAAAATTAGTTAACTCTCCTCACCGAATGAAAATTGAGTTCCCCACCAGCACCAAAACAAAAAAAAATTTTGCTCCGCAAGCTCAGCTATTGCACCACTCGTACGCGTTCACGAAGAACTGCATCCACGGCGAAAAGTCCCCGGTTGGCTTCGACGGCACAAATGGCCACTGCCACCAATGGACGCATCTTTCCGGATGCGGCATCATCGCAAGATGTCTTCCATCTTTCGACGTGATCGCTGCCACGCCACCTGGAAAATTAACCAAACATACTCTTCAACCAGATACATGAAATAATATAATAAAATCGAAGCTCTTACACGGGGCGAGAAAATAATACAGAGAAAACATTTCCGTTGTAGGGGGAAAAAACGAAAAATTACAGGAGAATTGTAATTTCAATTACAATTATTGGTGATATTCTGGGCCTTACATCGCTTCTAATTTCTTCTAGAATAAGTTGACGGATGCTGAGCTTGGATTAACTTACCTAATTAGTCTTCCACTTCCTTTTAAAACGCATCAAGTTATTTTCTTCTTGCTTTTCTTTTTACTGTGTCAATGAAAAAAATAATCAAAATGCCCTCCACAAAATTTGAGTTATGGAGGTTAGAGGGGGAAAGCCTCGCGTTAGAAAGGTCTTTAATGGATTATTTCTAAAGAAATTCAGACAGGGAAATGAAAACTTTTTTCTTGACATCAAAAGGATTCAGGAAGATTCAAGAAAAGTTGGATTGAAATACGTATGAAACCTTTCTACATAATATCATAGAGTTCTCATCAATTCTTTGCCAAACTTACTCCTTTTTTCAATTATTTTTAGGAAAAATTTATTTTTTGTTAGTCTTTACACATACAAAAAATAATGCAACCAGTTATGTGGCCTCAGAAATATTCCTTTACGAGAGACATCTGAAAGCTCTGGGGGGCGTCACTCCTGGATTTACTTCAACAGGGACTCCGGGAAAATAAATGTACCATCTAAGAAAAGGCTCCAACGAGATCGAGAAGCTCTGATTTTCATCAAAAAATTTATACTACTATCAAGTCCTTGCCTTGACTTCCATTCGGATTGAACGGATAATCCATCGTCCTCTCCCCCGAGTCATCCGTGTACACCATCGCCACACAGCCGTCCTCTTCCAGTCCTCGAAGAACATTTTGATCCCGAAACACGAATTTCCCTTCTCCGTGTGCCACCCAGACCCCGAGACACGCTTCCGCCAGTCCAGTGAAGAACACGCTGTTGGTCGCCATCACCTTAACCCAGGAAAACCGGGACTCGTACCGACCGCTGTCGTTGTGATCCAAGTGGATCGGGAACTGCGTGGGTTCCGTCTCGGCATTTTCCAGGTCCATGTTGAAGAGCCAACCAACCAGGGTCATCAGTTGGCAACCGTTGCAAACGCCCAGACTGAAAGTGTCGGGTCGTGATTTCCAGGCGAGCACTTGTTGTTTGATGTTCGAGTGGAATGTTAGGCTCGCAGCCCAGCCCTTGGCGGAACCGAGAACATCTGAAGAAAAATACACAGTAGAGAAGAACATTCCAACTACGGCACAGTATAACGTTTTCACTAAAACAATCATGTTGCTTGCTAACAGAGGTACCTTGAATAAAGGTAAATTAACTCGGTTTTCTTGCTTCTGTACAACAGAAGATTGGCGATTCTCTTCGAAATATGGCTACCTTCCCAATAGGTAAAACTTTCTAGATTCGCGATTGAACTGCACACTGCTTTCGTCCGTTTCTGAAAGTTTTGACTCTTGATATTTCATGTTAAAAACTATTCATTCGAGGATTTCAAGATTAGCCATTCAATGTAAATTGCCACAGGGTCATTTGGAGATTGAAACCAATTAGCCAGTCAGTACTTCGTAAGATCAAACATTTTTAGAACTTGCACTTGATAACATTTTTCCAGCCTTTTGGTCACGAAGAAGGATTTACTGTATGTCATAAACTCAACAGCTGCAACACCTACAGTTTTCATCTACATCTACAATTTTTGTAGCTTGAGGCATTGGTCAAACTCACGGATAATTTATTGGTTCAAAATCCAAAAATTGACAGCATTCCCTTCATAAATCCGTGTCTTCCTAGCAATTAATTTTCTGACTCTTCAAATCGCTCCGTGTGGTTCATTACAAAGAAGAGGTTATCCTATGATCTATGCCAAATTGCCAGGAAAATGTTTTGACGAGCTCTCGGGTCAAGTAAAATATTGACGATTTCATAATTTTCGATCTGATCTCCACAATGGCTCAAGCAAAATTCCGGAGGTTTAATTTTCCACACTTGTGAGGAAATACGAAAAAAACATCCAAGAGTTGCCTTTGTTAGTTCGTGCTCTGGCTTTTTGAAATATGTTCGCGAAGTATTTAAAAATACATTTTCAAATTAACTTTATGCAAGGAACTACTATTCAGGGTATGAAAACATAAAGTGCAGATCTAGCAAAACAAATTGACTACTAACCAGCGTAGCTGAAGCCTCCAGGAAAAATGATCCCTCGAAACTGGTCCAATACAACTCTGCCATCGATCAAATCCGACATCATAACGTCCCACACTTCAAATCCGGCTAAATGCAAAGCAGCTGCCATTTCTCGATCTCCGTTGCATCCTTCTTCCCTCAGTACACAAACACGAATACCTTTTACAGAAAAAAAAATTCAACTCTCGTCACACAAATAATTTCGGGACAGGAATGAAACCACTTAAAAACTCACCGACAAAATCTGGCTCACGGACAATTGGTAGTAAATTTTCCGCGGACAATTCAAATGCAGGCAAACTCTCCAACACTACGGGTTTCACACGAGCATCAATCGAAGCAAATTCCTGTTTCACGCAATCCGGAGTAGCTTGCAGAAGCTCCAACTCAAAACTCGTCTTTTCCCAGGCTGAGAACAACACCGTCATCTTCTCATCGAAAACCGGTTCATCCATTTCACGAATAACGATCTAAAAAAATAAATAATAGCTTGAATCCGCTTTGGGTCCGAAAATTGTCAAGGTGAGAAAATATCAGGGCAGGGTCTGACAGATGTCCCTCCTCGTACTTTCAAGTCCACTACAGATTACATAGGTGTCGCCCCCATAATTTCTGTTCAACTCGAGTAGAATGGCAGTTCTGGAGTGGCCACGTCTCATTCTGATAAAAGCAGTTTGAGAATCTATGCAAAAATGGAACAACACTCCAACGATCCATCAGTCAAGCATCAGGCGACACCTACCCAGCGTCGTCGAAATTTCAAGAAGGTTTTAAAAAAAACCCTCGAACTAACCTGCGATGAAGCCCCGAAATCCTTCGATGTTCCAAGAACGACTGCAAAGACACCAACTTTGGAGAAGGTGCTCAGGACAACATCCACGAAAGCCTCAGCAACTTCAATTACCCAGCCGGCTTCTTCGCCGAACAAACAGTTGACCAGCCCGTCGGTATGACCCAGAACTTCATGCGTAATATTCACGTCTATTCCGCAGTAACCCCCGAAAGCCATTTCAAGAAGGCATATTATCAGCCCTCCATCGCTGATGTCGTGAATCGCTTCAATTGCTCCGGCTATAAAATATGAACGATTTTTCGATCATCTTCAACGCAGTTTTCTGCATCATAAGTCCATACAGAGGATTCTCGTCAAGACGAATAATCGCTTACAACGAAGTCATTTTTAGGTTCCTGCCTTATAGCCTCAATGATAAAAAAGGTACTTTTCAACGAATTCTTCGTTATAATAACAAAGCTATTTTACTGGTCCCGATAGCTTCGTTGTAACGAGATTTTACTGTAATTTGCATGGGGTATACATGAGAACGACCATTTCAGTCAACACAAAAGCGAAAGGATCAAAACACCCAGTTTATACCATGTTTTGATTTGGTTCTTGACATCCTAGTGCTGCGTATTTACTATTTCCGCCCACTTATTCGTGAATTGATTTCTGATGTAATAATCGGATTTTAACATGAATTGCAAGCATACGGGCATTCAGAAGCAAAAGGGTAGAGATTCGACACAGTTTCTAGAAACCCAATCAAAATAAAGTATCCCGGGTTCCAATGAAGCCAGGTTTCATTTTTCAAATATAAATACGAAACGTTGTCGATAGACGCACCTTTGATCAAGTGCTGGATCGCATTGAAAGCATCGACGAGGAGTTCAGGATGATCGAGATCCGGCGGGTCAGAACCAACTTGCAAAAAACACTGGGCAAATGCCGATCCACCGAGTCTCCATCGAAGTTCCGTCTCACTCGTTTTGCACGGTCTGACGAGGATCAATTTCCCGGCGCCATCTCGAAACGGAAGTTTCAGATCCGGCGTCACGATTTTGCGTATTTCCACACAAGGGGCGTAACCCGAAACCACTAAAGATCCTGCAAACACAAAAAAAACTCTTCTTAATTGTCTTCAAAATTTCAAAGCTATACTTTCGTACGGTTTATCATGATCTGTGAACACCTTATTTCGTCTGCATCGCGGCATTCCATTCATCATCATATCGTCACTTTTTTTGCATTTGAAAATTCAATTTACTAAAGCTTCACGTTTGATTCGTTGGGATATTTTTCTCCGCTTACGTCAAAGTCGAGTTTGTTTCACATCAAAACTTGGTTTTGAGAATGTTCAGGCTGTCAGAATGTTTGAATACAGTGAAACCAAACCCAAAATTATACGTATAGACCGAACTCGAACAACACTGAAATAATCTTGCTTGAACCCAAAAAGCAAAACAAAAATTTCAGGTGACACACAACGGGAACGAATATTAGATTTGACGAAATTTTAGGCACTTCAGATCACAATTTCAAGAGTCTCAGTCAAAGTAATCAAAACTCCGTTCAGGCTGGTCTAGCACTTAAATTAAGCTTGGTTTGATGTTGATATTACTCATGACACGGGTCAGTCAGACGTTAGTTTGAATAGGTTAGGACTTGAGTTACATCAGCGTAATTTGGTTTGGACCCATTCTATTTGCCGATCGGCAGACTGACTCCGAACTTATTCTCACCAAAGCAAGACAACATCGACACACTGAAATGCGCAGCAAAAATCGTTCGCGTCGACGGAATCGAGAAAAAAAGAGACGGTGCAGTATAAAAAAAGAGTGACGCTGATCAATAAGATCCCTCAACTAGAAAGAAAATGTCTCACCAGGGGACAGGACCGTTTCGCCATGCCGATCCTTTGCAGCCATAGATAGCGAATCTTTCCCACCGTCGAGAGCAATCCCAAGCAACTGCATAGTTTCGCACATTGCCCGACAAGCCGCGACCAAATTCGCACCTTCGTTTATAATCTTCGCGGGCCACATCCAATTACCGCTGCATTTGATATCCTGGTCATGCGAATATTATTAAAATGAAAGAATAAAATCCCTAAAAAAAATTGAAAGCTTACTTTGATGCTGGAAATCGGAGCCGCTGCCAAGTTCGTCAACATTTCCGCGACGGACATCCTGGCGCCTGCTCCGGGATCCGACAATATTTTTAAAGGCTGTTCGCCGATNAAGCGAAAGGATCAAAACACCCAGTTTATACCATGTTTTGATTTGGTTCTTGACATCCTAGTGCTGCGTATTTACTATTTCCGCCCACTTATTCGTGAATTGATTTCTGATGTAATAATCGGATTTTAACATGAATTGCAAGCATACGGGCATTCAGAAGCAAAAGGGTAGAGATTCGACACAGTTTCTAGAAACCCAATCAAAATAAAGTATCCCGGGTTCCAATGAAGCCAGGTTTCATTTTTCAAATATAAATACGAAACGTTGTCGATAGACGCACCTTTGATCAAGTGCTGGATCGCATTGAAAGCATCGACGAGGAGTTCAGGATGATCGAGATCCGGCGGGTCAGAACCAACTTGCAAAAAACACTGGGCAAATGCCGATCCACCGAGTCTCCATCGAAGTTCCGTCTCACTCGTTTTGCACGGTCTGACGAGGATCAATTTCCCGGCGCCATCTCGAAACGGAAGTTTCAGATCCGGCGTCACGATTTTGCGTATTTCCACACAAGGGGCGTAACCCGAAACCACTAAAGATCCTGCAAACACCAAAAAAAAAAAAAACTCTTTGCTTAATTGTCTTCAAAATTTCAAAGCTACACTTTCATACGGTTTATCATCATCTCTAAACACCTTATTCCGTCTGCATCGCGGCATTCCATTCATCATCATATCGTCACTTTTTTGCATTTGAAAATGTAATTTACAATTTACTAAAGCTTCGCGTTAGATTCGTTGGGATATTTTTCTCCGCTTACGTCAAAGTTGAGTTTGTTTCACATCAAAGCTTGGTTTTCAGAATGTTCAGGATGTCAGAATGTTTGAATACAGTAAAACCAAACCTAAAATGACACGTATAGACCGAACTCGAACAACACTGAAATAATGTTGCTTGAACCCAAAAAGCAAAACAAAAATTTCGGGTGACACACAACGGGAACGAATATAAGATTTGACGAAATTTTAGGCACTTCACATCACATTTTCAAGATTCTCAGTCAAAGTAATCAAAACTCCGTTCAGGCTAGTCTGGCACTTTAATTAAGCTTGGTTTGATGTTGATATTACTCATGACACGGGTCAGTCAGACGTTAGTTTGAATTAGTTAGGACTCGAGTTACATCAGCGGAATTTGGTTTGGCCCCATTCCCGCACCTACAGTATTCTATTTTCCGATCGGCAGACTGACTCCGAACTTATTCTCACCAAAGCAAGACAACATCGACACACTGAAATGCGCAGCAAAAATCTTTTGCGTCAACGGAATCGAGAAAAAAAATAACGGTGCAGTATTCAAAAAAAGAGTGACGCTGATCAAAAAGATCCCTCAACTAGAAAGAAAATGTCTCACCAGGGGACAGGACCGTTTCGCCATGCCGATCCTTTGCAGCCATAGATAGCGAATCTTTCCCACCGTCGAGAGCAATCCCAAGCAACTGCATCGTTTCGCACATTGCCCGACAAGCCGCGACCAAATTCGCACCTTCGTTTATAATCTTCGCGGGCCACATCCAATTACCGCTGCATTTGATATCCTGCGCATGCGAATATTATTAAAATGAAAGAATAAAATCCCTAAAAAAATTGAAAGCTTACTTTGATGCTGGAAATCGGAGCCGCTGCCAAGTTCGTCAACATTTCCGCGACGGACATCCTGGCGCCTGCTCCGGGATCCGACAATATTTTTAAAGGCTGTTCGCCGATTGAAGTGGCTGAACCCACCTGAAAGCAATCCCACGAGATAATCCATTAAATTTCTGAATGTTGATTCACTAAAGATTTCAAATCAAATTTTCGGTTAAAAAAAAAAAAAGACATAACGAGGGATGGTTTTAAGGTTTTGTGGGTACGTCACCAGTTCTTGGGTTTGAGGATACCATGGGTTTTTAAATTGAAAGATCAACCTCTGAGGGATTAACAGCAAGCCTCCCTCATTCACTGATAATTTTCTTCGATTGCTATAATAACCAGCGAAAATTCTATCGAACAATATCTGGCTGGGCGATCGTCACCATCAGAATAATTGACACAATTAGTGCTGAGATCAGAGCTCTGACGGCTCATCAAAAACTTTATTGGAAAACGCTTCTAAACCATAGAAAACTAATCATATTCAGAAAAAATTATCAACGGGTAGGTCCAGCTAAGAAAAGCGAAGGCCCCTATGTCGGTGATTGAAACCAAAGAAAATTAAGACCAAAAGTTCCGATATTTTGGAGTTCAACAAAAACAGCGCAGAAAATATGCGTTCTATAAATTAATTTGAAAGAGATTTTTTTGAAATAAAAGAGATCCAGAAACTTTGATTTAAATTATTCACAGAACCATAAATTAATGACATGAGGATTCCGCTGATCTTTTTTGATCATCATTTAAAAATAACTCACCGTATCGAAATACGACAAGGCGATGACAGCCACGTCAGCAATCGGAACGTGAAATGGTCCAACGCACTGTTGCTGAGCCACGAGACCAGTTACAGAGCGATCCACTTTATTCGTGAGCCAACGTTTGCTACTCAACGAAGTTTGTCCAATCACGGCATTCAAGAGTTCGGGAATGAGCATGTCCGTCGGATATGTAACTAAACCGTATTTCGGAGTGTGCAGGGACAGTTCGAACTTCTTCTTTGGCAGTGAGCCGAGTATCACGTCTAACGGGAGGTCCACAGCACGAGATTCTTCTTTGCCGCTTACATCAGTTTCGAAAACAATCTGAAAAAAGTATTCAACTTCTCATTTCAAACAAATCAATGTCATACATTTCCGCTTTCAAACTTAGGACTTGAAACAACATACCACCTCACATACGCCTGGATAGTTACTGCGGCTTACATTGTGGAACATCATCTAGATGTCACTGGTATGCCCTTGCCAGCACTGTACAGTACAGTAATGTATATTCAATCAATAGAAGTGGGTAATTATTGCATTTACACAAATACCAAAAGCTGAAAAGCATTTTTTTCCTGGAAAACTGAGGCAGGAAAGTGGGATGCACCTGGAACACAAATATATATTTTTCAACAAAAAATACAAAACCATGGAGTGCTGTGAGTCAAAAGTTGGTCACAGAAGAAAAAATGGATAAGAAATTACGTAAGGGACAAATCACGTTTCAATTTTGATGTTTCCTGATGGCATTATATGATTTTATTTTCCGATCGTTTCGTTGAAAAACTATTTTTGGCAAAATTTCAATTATCAGCAAAAAAAAAAAATTAAAAAAAAAAAAAACTGGCGTGCTCATCATATGTGGGGATAGATTTTTGGGGAGATTCTATGCCAAAAATGTAAGGTGTAAGTCTTACTTGAGGGCACATGGTACTGAAGTAAATACTGGTTGACTTTCTCCGCAAAAATTGTCTACAACAAGTTTCTCTCTACAAATTTGTTTTGGTTCTCTCCCCATATCAAAGGGGTTTTTCTACAACGAATTTTCCTCTGGTCCCTTAAATTTCGTTGCTGAGATACAAAAAAATTGCTTGATCAGGATGAAAAGATCTCAAGACTCGAAGTTGAACTACAATTTATCACCGAATAATAGCACTTGGTTGCAAAGGCAACCGATGTTGAGTTTCTGTATCAGTTGAAAGGCCAAAATAAATTAAAAAAAAAAAAAATTTTGCTAGTTTTGTCCATCATTCCAGGATATCACAATGAGCTTGACGTACCTTCCCGTCGCCGGTAACTTCACCGACAACATCCACAGGACACTTTTCCCTAGCGGCAATTCCAGCAAGCACATCCAACCCATCTTTGGAGCACAACAAAGCATTGCTTTCCTGATACTCCGCACCCCAGATCTCCAAGGGCGTCATCGTCTGATCCCCGAGTTGAAAATCCTTCGCTCTGATTACAGCCCCGGCGGGTTCCACCAGTTCTTTCAACACGTTCCCGTTACCCCCCGCACCCTGGTCGTGAATGCTCAGGATCGGGTTTTCGCCTTTCATCAGACCGGTTTCGATGCAACCTCGAATGACACGGTTCATCTTTTGTTCCATTTCGGGATCTCCGCGTTGAACAGCGTTGAAATCGAGGTCAGCTTTGCCTGAGCCCTGGACTTGAGCAGAGCTTGCGGCTCCGCCCCCGACACCAACACGATACGGAAGCCCTCCAACTTTCACGACCAACATTCCTGTAAAATAAAAAACTTTTTAAATATAAATTCATCGACAGAAAAATACATTTTATAGAGAAATTTTTCATCAGCAATGAACGAAGTGGTAACATTAGAACTCTTGCTGAATAATGAAGATGTTTTTCTTCCCACTGGATCAAACAAAAAGTAGTTAGTTCCATTCAACGCAACGCACAACCGCAAAAATTCAGACAATTTTTCAAAGCTGAATTTTTCAAGTGATCATCAAAAGCGTACTTTAAGGTACACATGCTTCACCTGAATTGGTTACATTTCTTTACGCCCTGATCAAGCTAAATGGTACTACATTAGATGGATGAAGGTTGTGTCATTTTTCGAATGAGTTTATTTCACACTCGGGCGACACCTGTACAGCATTCCAGCAAGGAAGCGCGAACTTCGACTAAAAAGTAGAGAAAAATGAATCCCAACAAAAATTAATTCTTCAGTTCAACGAACTGCGCATGCCTTCGTCTTCTCAAATCTTGCGAGAAAATTAAGAAATAATCCTTCATCCCGCCTCGCATTTACACTAATGTGAATTTTTTTCCAAAGTGATGACTTCTTACTTCAAGCTTTTAGGGACTGGAAAAAGTTAAAAAAAATGTTTATAAGGAGATCAAGCAAAAGCTGACCTTTCGCCGGGGTTTCCTTTGAAACTAAAGCCTCATCTAAAGTTCCAATGCCAGCGGAAAACATAATCGGCTTCATCCACTCCTTGTGAAATCCAGTTTGCTTGATGAGATTTAAGCCGAAAGAACGCACAAAGCCGAGGATCACTGGCTCTCCAAACTTATTGCCGTAATCCGAAGCTCCGTTGCTCGCTTGAATGGCAACTTCTAATGGAGTCGCAAAGCTCTCTGGGTAACTCGGTCCATCCGTGTTCCAACGATGACCTTCTCCTGATGATGCATAAAATATTATAATAAAACAATACAGGTTAACCCATCAGATGACGCATGAGTTTTTCACCTGGAAATTTCAAGTTTCCGAAGCAATATCCAGCAGAAGCAGCTATCACATGACCTCCTCGTCCAACCGCTTGAACATCCCTTATTCTTCCTCCAGTACCCGTAGCAGCACCACTTCAGAAAAAAAAATGCATAATGGACCGACAAATGAATCCCCACACGAAGGAAAAAGTGAATCCGAACAGAAATACCGACATGCAGCATCAAGAAACTATAGAATTTACCCGTTGGGGTTATTTACACTAGCATACACAACAGCCAGCGAATAGAATTTAAAAAATTTTAATTTCACAAGAGATTCGCGTATCCCCCGAAAAAAAAGACGCAAAATCCCTTCATGAGAGACAAAATAAATTGATCCTCGAAAATAAACGTAATTTAAGGTACGCAACTAACTGGCATTACTCACCTAAACGGACAAATGGCAGTGGGAAAATTGTGCGTTTCTGCAGTGAACACGATGTGCCGTTTGCCATCTTTGACCAGAAACGGAGCACTAGAACCGCTTTCGAGAGGTAGAAACATTCTCGTGACGAACCCTTCAATGGCTGAACTATTGTCAGAAAATTTGATGACGTTATTTTGATTGCTCCCTTCCTGAGTAGCCATGATCAACTCGAACAAGGTCTGCCCCAAGTGATGCCCATTCATTTCCAGGTCACCCTTGAAAAACCAGTGTCGAGAGTGTTCGCTGTTGGATTGGGCAAGATCGAAGCACTCGACAGTCGTGGGGTCACGACCGAGTTCTTGGAACATTTTTGTGTACCAAGAAAGATCCCAGTCGTCGAAACCGAGACCTGATCGAAAGAAAGAAATTCAAGGTATGAATAATCCGTGAATGATGAAGATTAATGTCACTGAGAGCTGACTCCCTCTAAAAGTTCCATTCCTTGTCGACAAGTTAAAAAAATAAACCCCTTTCTCTTCAACTCACGCGACATACAGTTAGATGCACATCTTAGTAAGATTAATTGGTACTGTATTTTATTTTCTGGCCATCAATGGAGCAGAAGTCGGTAATACTTAGATTTAATCCCATATATGTCGCCAGTGAATGAATCCCACGTAACACATTTTGAATAAAACTGACATCAGTAACCTTAGGAAGCAAAAATGGTTAGACTCTACACCCTAGTTACCATAGATTGGGTCAATCTAGCCCAGTGTTCCCAAACCCGGTCCTCAGAAGTTTTTTGCCCGTCCGCAGCAAATTTCCCCATGCTAATAACATTTTCACAAGTAGCAATGAAGGACATAACATTATCTTTATCTTAAAATTTGGCAAGACAAAGGCAGTTTAAATTATCTCATGAAAAATATATCTTGAATTCTCTCCTAATAATACTTCAAATTGTTATCTGATTTGATCAATCATTGTAACTTTTGAGTCTGAAAAACCTTTCTCCAAGGAGTCCAAGCCCACCTTTCCATTTTTTGAAGCCATTCCACTATAGCAGCTTCATTGCTTCCTGAATTAAGTTTTTTTTAAATAAAGCTTTTCAAATACCTGCCATTCAAGCGGACTTTCTAGAAACACTTATTTGAGCATGCAAAATGTTATGAAAATTGGCTGGTCTGCAGAAAATTTTCTGGAAATTTGCCCATTTGCCAGACCAAAAAGGTTGGGGAACACTGATCTAGCCCATTTGTGGTTCTCATCTCAGGTACCCATGCCAAAATGCATCTAAATAGACAAGCGAGTGAGAACAAGAAGCTTGCAAATTATTTTTAAAACATAAAAAAGGTACTCAGTATTGATTAGTAGAGTCAATCCTCGAATTAGTGTCATCATCTGTCCCAGCACATTTTGAGGCATTAAATTGGAGGTACAGTATTATATGAAGGTATAATGAGATGAAGGTATAATTCAGGGCTTTTACTAATTTACACAGAAATTAAGCTTTGTTTGTCAATGAGCCTGTTTTATAAGAGATAAATAAGCAACAAAAAATAATTTGAAGCTCAAATGCATTCTTTTTTTACTGTATTTAAATTTATGTAATCACAAAGCATTAGGTTTTTTCACAGTTTCTGTCAATTCTTAAAGTTTTGCATAAACATTTCAATGAAATCACACAACCCCATGATCAAGTAAAATGATTTCAATTTTCCAAGAGACTATCTCAATTATGGAGAAGCTCTTCAGTTTGGAGGACACCGAAACAATTCCACCAGATCACACATAAATTCAGAATTTTTAAAATTATCTTGAGCATGGGTATATGTTTCTTTGTAATAATCTTGATGATATCCACAGAAAAATGACTCAATTCCTTTTATTTCAGGATTTTCAGCACATCTTCATACAAGGTGCATATGGGAAAAAATTTTGTGTGGCACTAAGTGAGTTAGCTCTAAATCGAGTTTTTGATCTCTACATAAACTCGATACAGGTAGATTTGTTCCCGGGAAATTTTGTGACATGAAGGGAGGCAATAAATTGGGGGCACTAAATCTAGGGTGATACTGTACCTAATTAATGCAATTGCACGTACAGACGAGGAACTCAGAATCGGATGAAACTTGAGGCATTCTCCTTCCCCAAAAATCACTTTTCCCAAATCAAGTTTTATAAATCCTAAACATTTCATGATCTTCATCTTCGTTTGATTCGATTCACATACCCATGACTTTGTTCAGCTTTTCCAAAGCAGCTCGACCCTCTGCCAACAACGGAACTCTTTCCAAAGATTTGTCAATCACAACTTTCCCGATGTCGGAAAGCGTGTTTTCGTCGTAAACACACTCGGTCATCCGGTCATGCAACTTCTCAGACATCTAGATGCAAGTCACAAAAAAAAAATCTAAGCGACTCTCTCCACCTTTGTGTCAGAAAATTGCAAGCATGCCCGATTTCCGTTTCCGCCAGTGCATTTCACAAAATATTCACAAAATTTATTGTATCTTTTTTACATTGATTTTTAAACCACCGCGGAGACGGAAAACAATTTTTTTCTAATATTTATATATAAAAAAAACTATAAATGCAAGCCCGCACCTCTGCAATCATACTATCCTCGACTACGCTCTCGAACCACAAAAGGTAACGTGTGCTCAATTCAACACGAGACACGCTTTCAACACCCACAGCACGCAAAATGGAAACCACATTCGTGGAAAACGGGGTCGTGAAGTTCAGCCTAAAAGAAAACGCAAGCACACCATCAAGTACCACACATTCGAACACTAGTAAGCATATCTTACTATACTTTGTGATGCCCAACTAAATCTATAATAACCCTTAGAAGTTGGTTTAAAATACGAGGGTGTCCAAAAAGTTACTTTGAAATGGAAACGTCAGTATTTTTTTGCGCGAAAAACCGCGCGCAAAAAATCTACAAAACTTTTGAACATACGAAGGTGTAAAAATACCTGCTGGAAAAAATAAACGTAAGAGTAATTTTTCGACAGTTCAGGAACCCAATAAATAATTACCAAGTTTCGCTGCACAAAAAACCTCCTGAACTTACACTGTAAGTAACAGAGTAATCCTGCAGAAATGTTCAAGCACACGCAAAAGAAACTCGAAACAGATGAAATTTCGAAATAGTGTACTCCGAAAAAAATGGAATACCGTCGTGAACGCGGAAGATTGCCCTGGAATATTTTTAATTAAAAAATTCGAACAATCTATCATATGAACTACAAATTTCTCAATGCAGAATAACTCATTCGACACCCCCATAAAAATACAGTGCAGTAAACCAGAGTGCATCAATCTAATTCCTGTTCAGTGCTGTTACCAACTGGATCAAAATTCATGCGCTACTAGAACCACGAAGGTTGTCAATATTTAGGGGGTTGCGAGCATATAATTACCCCATTCGCGTCAAAAAGGCAAGGCATTTTAAAATGAAAGAAAAAATATATACCGGTTTCACTCTACGAAGAAAAAGTGTTTGGAAACGCGGAATGTAATGTTTTCAGTTTCAACACCCCGAAATATCAACACGTTATTGGGTTTCATAGCGCATGCATGAATCAACGACTATTTAATGCAAATTTCTCAAAAATGAAGCGACGTAAGTGTAAAAATCAGCATTCTCATCAAGAATTGCATTGGACACAGACCTCGGCCCAATTTCGATCAACTTCCACGGATCGGAGACTTCTTCCCCCAAGACGAATTGCGATTCATCTCTGACCTTGTTCCCCCATTGGGAAAAGACCCAGCGGAGTTTGTCTTCATCGAATTTGCACAATCCGCTGTCACCACTCTCAGGTTCCAACGCCACATTATAGCACAGTTCCACTTGCACACATTTCAATCCACGGAATTCGGATCGAAGTAAAGAAACCTTGCGCCGCAAATTCGGATTCGAGGTCAAGTCCAACTGGAGAACGTAGAACTTTCGCGAAAACATTTTTCTTTCCTCTCGCCGAACCGCAGCGAAGTAGCATGAATTAATTTGCCTGCGAGTAAAATTTATGTCAGCCAAACGTTACCAGGAATACAGCAGTCAAGAAATTTCTCGGGATTCAACAAAGAATTAGAAAGGATGCACGAATTCACGGAAGAAAAAACAAAGCAGCACGACACTTTCGAGGGTGTGTCTGATTTCCGCGCGAAGTTTTGAAATTTGCACGCATATACCACGGGTTTTTCATCACAGGCATTTACTTAATTAATTTGCATAATCCCCACACAATCGAACTGATTTCTTCGCACTCTCGATTAAAGAATTTAGGCCTTTCAAACGAGCCGATTTTGTAAATTTACTTCGAATACGAAATTGCCACTTTCTTATTTCACTAAGGATAATCCAGGAATCACTGGAAGAGGATTTGAATAAATTTCTAATAAGTATTTACTTTCACTGAGGCCTCGCAGCAAATAGCAAAAGATTATCCACTCGGAAATCATGAAAATATGGAAGGTAAATGGGTGATTTAACGTTCTTCAATTTAATATATTTCATTTTCAAATTATACACAATAGCAAAATCCGATGAATTTAACTTTTTCAAGCCGGAAGATATTTCCATATTTTTGAAACATATGATCTACCGCATTTTCTATGGATATTTCTTGAGAAATCGAAAATCATACTTCGTGCAGAAATCAGATGCACATTCCAGTTGAGTATCGCACACATAAGAGAGCGCCCAACTGGAATGACAAATTGGATCATTTCCGCGAAAACAACTGCAGCTTCTATTCCACGATTCCCCCATGTATTCCATGGGTCAAGCCCAAATCCGCTGAAAACATTTGAACACTCATGATCATCCACCGAGTGAGGGACTGAAAATACTTTGAGCCAATCTCGTTCCCCATTAAAAATTTCCGTAAATTCCTGAAACAATTCTATAACTGTTGCAAAAAAATAAAATAAACGAGAATTCAAACATCAGCAGCAGCGAAGATCACTTCAAGCACCAGGCGATTGACACAATTCTGCAAATCGTCCACCAAAAAAAAAAAAAAAAACACAGTGGTGTCAATAATTCTTTTGATCAAAATGGTCTACTCAGCATTCAAATAAAATCGGGCAGTGAGAGATCAACTCGAACATTAAAAATGGCCGATACCAATCGCCTGGGATGCGGTTGAGCATCGTGAAACATGCGTGTCCTATTTTGAGCAAGTTTTCACGAGAAGTCCCACGTGAAATCCTCACTTCCAGGCACATTTCCGGCGGTTAATTTCACTGACATCGTTGGTTCCTGATCCTTACTGGCACCTGTAAACGGAAATTAGTTTCACTGAAACGGTGGTCTCATTCCACCACCGAAGCTATTAGAACATAGCATTTTAAATTCCCCTCCCCCCCAGAAAACATATGTCGTACCAAAATGCCACAGCTTCTAAATAAATCGAAATTTTGAAAAATTTTCCCCCGAAAATGACACATTTAGACTACGGAATACAAGGTGATCCACATGTACCATCAAAAACATTTAAAAAATGAGTTTTTTCTCGTGAGTTATTAAAATTTGCGTCGAAGAAAGGTGAGGCAATCAGAGAGAAGGAATAAAACACAGGCATCATTCAGAAGCGTTCGACCTTTGGGAGAGGAAATCAGGAAACTCAGGATAGAGACATTTTTAGCCGTTTCGGACAAAATCGGGATACGACTCCATTACAGATAATTCAACGAACACAGTGAGTTAATTTCATGAAAAATGTTACGAATTTCACAGGCACGTCTCTTATCCCAAAGCAACAAAATCCACGTCCTGAGGATGGCTTTAATCTCCTCTCATTTCAAAGGCTCCGAAGTATATCCCACTCCAAAAAAGTCCCTACATTTCCGAGATGTCGATTCTCGTTGCTGTCAGCATTTTTTCTCTTTCTCAAAGTGTAACAGCTCATTTTGAAAGAACATTTTAAATTACATGTTCGAATCCAAGAAAGTCACTCGCTCGTCTTAATGCCATTTTTGCCAACACATCAAAGTTGACTGAAAACACGAACCCGAATGATTCCGTCGCCGGACACGCTCAGACAAACCGGCGGCAGACTTGAACACCTTCACCAAATCCTCCGGCATTCCAAACTTGACGTCAACACGGGACGAAACCGATACTGACGACACGGCACGACACTTGTTGAGCAGGGAAGTAGACGAGCCAGCACGCTGGGAACTCGAAAGAAACCCGGGATGTAAAAACGGGTAATTGTCGAGCAACTCGACAGCCGTCGGTCTGTCCCCAGGGTTTCTGAACAAGCACCGATCTGTGACGTCGTGGAACGAAGCAGACAGTCCACGCTGAAACGATTGAACATAAAAATCAGACTTTCTCACTTAACTGGAGGTATTTAATGCGTCGGCCATTATCTGAAAATTCTACAGCGGGGTCCAGAAAACGTTGAAACTGATTTTCTTCCATAAAATTTAAAACAATTAATAACAAACAGTAATTTCAAACTTCGGCCATTAAAAAAAAAAAGAAACTTCATTACGAAAACGCTGCCAAGCAGACAGAACATTTAAAAATTGATTACTGTATGACGCGAACATCATTATGTTTCAACTGTTTCTAGAAGTTCGGAATAACTGGATTTCTCCTTCAGGTCATCACCTGTCGATATACGGCCTCTTGCGCAAGCACAGACACCATATTGGAGCTTGCTCCTGCAGTTTCCGAACAAGCCACACTGTCCCCAACACCCGAGTCCTTGTTTCCGGCTTGATTGCCAGGAGCGAACGTGGAAGCATCCAGCAAATACGGAGGGGAACCCCGCAGTTTCTCCAACAATAACATGGTTAATCCCAGACCAACATAAGGGGCTTCTCCATTCCCCAATTCACAGCACAGAATACCAAAACTGTAAATATCGCTACTTGTCCCGTATCCTTCCATGCTCTGAAAAAAAGACAATCAAGAAGATGACCACAGGTCGTGTGACGAAAAATTGAGACCCACATTTTTCAAGGATTTTTGTCCTGAATTTAAATTCTTATACGCATTAAATTTCCAACATGGCGTTCCAACGCTTAGTGAGAAATATTTAGAATTTATGAAACTACACTTGCACAAGTTGATGAAATGCATTCCTCAGTTTATTTCTTATCTATTAACGATTTTCGAGATTATTCCATCGACACTGGATGAATACACCAAGTGAAGAGGTCTTGATGTTCGGAGAAAATAATAAAAACAGACATTCCTTCCAATTTTTATTTTGATAAGAACTCTCTCACCATAATCGCTAACAATTCAAACGCATTTTTCGAGTGAGGATCCCTTTTTCGACAATGAGATTTGATTTTATTTCACGAGCTCTGTTGAAGAAAGAAACCTTACAGGCCTTGGTAAACTGCACTTTGAAATCTTGAACGCATAAGCTTCCCAACTGCCAACAATTTTATTTTTATTTTTATATTCCTATCCAAGTATAACTTTTCAAACGCCGTATTCTAATTCACTCATTTGTACTTCACTGGCGTGACTCGTTGAGCTTTCAATACATCCATACTTGTTCGAGGATTTCAGGAGCCATCCAAGGAAGCAGTGAGGTGGCATCGTCGCATGGATAATGATGAACCAAACCAGCAGATCGCCAAATTTTCGTTGATCCCGTATCGATGCAAAATCCACTGAACTCTGGATCTTGACTCACTGACCGAGCGAATTCTCCGTATTCGCCTAACCTGGGATCCTTGTAACTGACGCAACACCTTAACCCTACAAAATGAGAAATTAAACATAACATAATAATATTTTCAACGATTCCACAACGAAGTACATCGATACACAGTACTTAATGGATCAACGCGGATATTTTTCCCTTTTATTTTGCTCTAACTTCACAAGTAGCACAAAACATTGCGACAAAAACCTATTTCAACAATTTAAATAATTCTGGTAATGGGTTAACAACACATTTCACACTGGAAATAAAAAAATCTCTCCTCGTAGCCCTAAAAATCCAGTCAAACGTGCTAGGGAAATCCTCACATTCGAAATAAAATGGTTAAAAAAACTCAATAAAAGAGGCTATTAAATCATCAAACTGTCCTTATTTTCAGTACAAGAACAGTATTTTTCATTACAGTACTGTAGTTCAAATTTATCAACAAGAAAACGAATTATTCGAAGAGTTTGAATTCGCTAAAATGAAGCTTAAGTACTGTGTTCGCTCCAATTACTAACCTGCTTTCAAACGAAACCCAACCAAGCGGAAAAGAGAGAAAGTAAAAAATGTCTTCCACTAAAATCAGGTGTGGAACTAGACCATCTCACCCGTCAATAAAACACGCCCGTCGGAACACAATAGCACATGACTCGCTTTCACAGCACGATGAACGTATCCCTTCTCGTGGATATAGGCCAATGCTCGAAGCACGTTCTGGCCGATGTACGAGATGGCTTTTTCCGGCAACCCTTCGGGATAAAAAGAGAGCAGGTCCAGGGCTGAACCCTGGTCACACATGGGTGTCACTATCCAAATCTGCGGCCCCGGATCCAAGAACCCCTTCTCGCCGTTATAATCGTTCACGGCGAATACATGCAAATACGGAAGAATGTTTGGATGTCGAAGCTCTCCTTTCACTCTCCGAACTTCCTCCTGACAAAAACAATAAAACAAATCGTTGATTTGGAGTGAAACTGGGCGAGAATAGAATTCTTTTTCCAAGACGTCCCTCTTCCTTGAAAATGTGACCCATCCCAAATTTGATTGTCACACATGAAAATTCGTTTTCTAGCAGAATAATCGACCGCATTCATGCAAATATAAGCACCCATTTTTTTTTTAATTTTTAGAAGCTCATGAACTATGGGGGTGCTTAAATTCGCCTACAGTATTTTCTTCGCATTTTTTCCCCCACAAAAAGTTAAGCCGAGCTTCGGAATCGGGGAACCAGAAAAACTTCCCAACGCTCAAGATAATTTATACAGTATGTAAAATTCAAACTAAATGTAGAAAAATAAATGTAGAATACGTGAGATTTGACGCAAATGAATGGAAGGTTCCTTGTTCCGGAAGTACCGCGAAAGTCACAGTGCAGATAAATAAAATCAATGAAAGATTATCGTATATACACGAATATAAGCTCAATTTTCCAATTTCCCGTCAAGAACTATGGGGGTGCTCATATTCGCATATCCACACAATTCGCGTCAATATTCGTGCGTATCAGGAAATTTTGTTTGCGGCCACCAGAAGAGTCGAAAAAATCTTTTCTTCAGTTATTTTGAAATTGAAGTTAAAATTAATAAAGAAATGGTCATCCTTTGACATTTCAAGATGCATGACTCCTTGACTGAAGGGGAAGAGCAAGGGTTGTGTGACACCGTTTTTCTTTTCTGGGGAAAATCTAAATTTATTCAGGTATCTGAAACGTAAGTCAGAAAACCAGGAAAGTAAGTGGGTGCTCATACTCCCAGTATCAACAGAATTTAAAATCTATTCGTGAAAATTCTAGGGGTGTCTACATTTGCGTAAATACAGTATTATCAGAATCAAAAATTTACGGCAGTCGGAGTCCACCATCATCAGGAATACCCCTATTCTTTGCTATCCTCATGGAAGTAACAAACCACACTAACCCGGATTCTGCGAAACTCGNCTTTCACAGCACGATGAACGTATCCCTTCTCGTGGATATAGGCCAATGCTCGAAGCACGTTCTGGCCGATGTACGAGATGGCTTTTTCCGGCAACCCTTCGGGATAAAAAGAGAGCAGGTCCAGGGCTGAACCCTGGTCACACATGGGTGTCACTATCCAAATCTGCGGCCCCGGATCCAAGAACCCCTTCTCGCCGTTATAATCGTTCACGGCGAATACATGCAAATACGGAAGAATGTTTGGATGTCGAAGCTCTCCTTTCACTCTCCGAACTTCCTCCTGACAAAAACAATAAAACAAATCGTTGATTTGGAGTGAAACTGGGCGAGAATAGAATTCTTTTTCCGAGACGTCCCTCTTCCTTGAAAATGTGACCCATCCCAAATTTGATTGTCACACATGAAAATTCGTTTTCTAGCAGAATAATCGACCGCATTCATGCAAATATAAGCACCCATTTTTTCCAAATTTTTAGAAGCTCATGAACTATGGGGGTGCTTAAATTCGCCTACAGTATTTTCTTCGCATTTTTTCCCCACAAAAAGTTAAGCCGAGCTTCGGAATCGGGGAACCTGAAAAACTTCCCAACGCTCAAGATAATTTATACAGTATGTAAAATTCAAACTAAATGTAGAAAAATAAATGTAGAATACGTGAGATTTGACGCAAATGAATGGAAGGTTTTTTTCCGGAAGTACCGCGAAAGTCACAGTGCAGATAAATAAAATCAATGAAAGATTATCGTATATACACGAATACTGTATAAGCTCACTTTTCCAATTTTCCACCCAGAACTATGGGAGTGCTCATATTCGCACATACACGCAATTCGCGTCAATATTCGTACGTATCAGGAAATTTTGTTGCGGCCACCAAAAGAGTCGAACAAATCTTTTCTTCAGTTATTTTGAAATTGAAGTTAAAATTAATCAAGAAATGGTCATCCTTTGGCATTTCAAGATGCATGACTCCTTGACTGAAGGGGAAGAGCAAGGGTTGTGTGACACCGTTTCTCCATTTCTGGGGAAAATCTAAATTTATTCAGGTATCTGAAACGTAAATCAGAAAACCAGGAAAGTAAGTGGGTGCTCATACTCCCAGTATCAACAGAATTTTAAATCTATTCGTGAAAATTCTAGGGGTGTCTACATTTGTGTAAATACAGTATTATCAGAATCAAAAATTTACGGCAGTCGGAGTCCACCATCATCAGGAATACCCCTATTCTTTGCTATCCTCATGGAAGTAACAAACCACACTAACCCGGATTCTGCGAAACTCGACAGAAGACATGCCGTCAAGCCCATAACGCCTGACAGCAAAATCTCTGTCATCTATCAAGACGTGCGAAACGACGCCACGGCTGTTGAAACACGGACTGATTGGGTTCTGCATCACGTAGTCCGAAATTTTGGAACTCAGTTCCGGCAGGAACGGATTTGACGCCGATGACGAGGAATCTGAACGCACCGCACACGCCAGCGTCATTTTGACGAACACAAGAGGGATAATTACCTGTGACAACAAGCTCCTTTATTATTCAAGAAACCCTGGAAACAAATCGATGTCTTTTAAACCGCCTCAACCTGGGATAAATGAAAAATTATTTCGCTCGTATGGAGGTAATGCTTACTTCCATTTTCAGAAATCCTTCAACATCTAGAAAATTTTCGGGAAAATCTGGAAAACACGTGTTTTCTCTCTCACTGTATGCCAGAAACTCTCTCGAACCACATCCACCAAAGAGAACAGGAATTCTCAAATGAAAGAATAATCTAGAAACAATTCATTTCAATTTTCCAAAAAGCTCCACTCTGATGGTGTATCGTTGTTCACAAAATAATATAGATTGGGAAAGGTTCATCTCAATAGGCAATCTCACACTTGCTTACTTTTTCAATTCAGATCATGCCTCAACCGTATTCTCAAATAAAATGAGATACAAAATTTCCCAAAAACTTGTACTCAAATTACCCAAAACGAACATTGAAGCCCTTCAATTCTGAGGATGAAAAATCGAAAAAATATATATACTGCACTGCATAAATAGTACGTCTTTCATTTGTAGAATTACTTCTCAACATTTCGAAAGATTCCTCGAAAATAGTTACAGGAAGTTTTCCGTCTTCATTAGTAAGAAAATTATGCAATCCGTAATTCTCGTTTATCCCAGGTTCGGCACTAAAACAGAAAACACACCAACTGCCTTCATCATCATTGTCAACGAGTTTGTTTCACTCCACCCGTGAAGATACCAAAAATATACCATGTTTTCGCCGCATTAACAAGAACGAATTTGCTCGTATCACCTACCAACATTTCGAGCAACCATCGGAACCGGGTAATCTTTTCGAAAAGTGCAAGCAAAAAATACCAATCCGAAAAAAAACATAAAACAATGCATCCCACGTGCCGTTCCTCACGATCAATCCATCTCATCTCCTCCAGAGATCACACGCATTGGACACACATTGCAATTGGTTCAACAAATCCAGGCCTCATTAAACAACCGTTCCCACGTAGTAAAAAGAATTTCTTGTCAAGAGAGCTTCACAATACGTGGCCGAGCGAAAATCGCGGGGGAAGAAGAAAAGATTTTCGTGCGTCTCTTAAATCAATCTGGAAACAACTGGGATTAAACCTCACGGTGAACAAGACCTTGATCACAGATCAGAACGTATTTCAGCAACAAAATCAACACAAGCAGTGCAACTGTCTCCAGATTGGTCACGGAAACGTTTCTACGTCACAACTGCAGTTCCCTTGCTGTTTCCGCAATAAATAACTGCGGCAGTAAAGTTGATACACGCCGCAAGAACGAACACTGGGAACCATCGTCCGTCCGATGATGTGACTAACGCCGCGGTCAATGGTCCACACAAAATCCCAGGAATCGTCGCCTGAAAAATCATCATATAATTATATCACAGCAAAAAAAAAAAAAAAAAAAAAAAAAAAAAATTACGGACCAACGAAACATAAAAATCATCATATAATAATAACAAAAAAAAAAAAAAAAAAAAAAAAGGTTCCGGTCCAAGGTATCACACGCCACAGAATTTGCATAAACCTTTATTCTACGTATCTTCGAAAAGTTAAAAACTAAGAGAAACACTCTGGAGTGAGTTCAGAAGAAGTAAGGCAAATTATGGTACTGTATTCTAGTTTATTTTCCAATCATGCACGATAATATTGCTATTTTCTCCCTGAACTGAAAATAAAGCGATACTCTTGGATCTAAAAGAGGCAGCGTCGAACAAATCATGTATAACACACTCGACCAGCTTCGGAGAAATATAGCTCATAGTACACACCATAGTATTTGAAATCGCAAATGAGTAGCCCGAATGATTAGGAGCAACGTCCGCATGATTGCTCAGGTGCCCCGCTGAGTTTCCGGCACACAGCCCCATCGATATTGTCACAAATCTAAAACGAAGAAAGCATTCAGCCTCGGCTTAGAATTTTTCCATTACACTTCAGCAAAGGTAATAGTGATTAAACTCCATCATCAGCAATTTAAAGAAATCGATTAGCATCAGTCTTACTGCACCGTTTCCATTTCCGATGTGATCACGCTCGAAAAGCCATTATCTAGGTGAAATTGTAACGCTTACAAATCTTTTTTAAACTTCATACCGTACAACAGAAGTTAAAACAGGATATGCAGCACATTGGCACTGGGGCACGTAGAATATCAAATCATAAATTTAATAGATTTAATACTTACAACACAGCAAGAGCAAGGTTGTTCACAGCACAAAACGCCAACAGGAAAATTCCGGGTCCTATCAGACCGATCGCAGTCATTACTCGGCGAACGCTCCTCACTGACCAGGCCTCTCGATTTGACAAATCGTCTGCCAAATGTCCAAACCCTGTAAAATCAAAAAAAAATTAAAAACACCGCATTAATTGATTTAAGAAGTAAGCTTTCCTACGATTCCCAACAGTGCCGCTCTAACATGCACAGTACATGAGAAAAGCATCTTCCATCACATATAGATATATCGAGCCCAAAAAAACTTCTAATCGACTTTCATACTGAGGGAATAATCACTACGTGCTTCATCTAATTAAAATCTTCTACCATTCAAAAAGAAGCTCTTGACTATTTCAGGGATCTTCAAAAACACATAGAATAATTAGGTTCAGTCAAGGACAGGCAACAGAGTAAGGGGGGACATGCGATCACGTAAAATGAGTAACTGATTGAATGCGAAAGAGGACACATTGAAATGGCAAGATTTATTCTGAACAGGGCAAGTCAGATTTGAAAATACAACATTCAACACAAAGGATAACTTACCGATTCCGCACAACGAATTCGCAATGTACGGCACAGCTGTCAGGGACAGAGAAGATGTTTGTCCACCAAGATACCTCGTTAGGTAAGTCGGGAGCCATTGCATGATGATATAGTTTGACCAATTCATCGCGAAGTGAGCAATATAAATGGCCCACAAAGCCCAATGACTGAGGAGTTCCCGCCAAGGAACAGCCTAGACAATAAATATTTACGTCACTTCCTCTATAGTTGCCGTTTGATTCGCTTCTTCACAAACCTTTGCACTAAAAGGAAGTAACGGCGGGGCTTCAGAACTATCATCATTTAAACTTCTTCTGTCGTCATAGAGCCCCAACCACATTATCGTCCAAAGTAAGCCGATCGTCCCGAACAAAATGAACGGGACCGGCCAACTCATATGAGGGCAAATCTAGAATAAGTAAAATGTTTCAAACATCCAAATGTCCACTCGATTTTTCAAGATTATTACTGACAGCCGACGCAATTGTTTGTCCAATAGATCCGGCAGCAACGAGGTATGCGAAAGCTCTTGCCCTTTCCTCCGGCGATACTCTGTAACCAAATACGTGGAAAATCGTCGGCAGACCTACAAATCAAAACGAGTCAAGGAATGTTTCGAATAAATAATTCATGATGTAAAAATTTACCCAATCCTTCCCCAAGCCCAAGAATTACTCGAGCAGTTATGAGCGCAGTCGAAGAACTTGCGATGAAAGGAGTTATCAGAGTAGAAATTGACCACAGACTGACCGCGAATGCTAAAACCCGTTTTCCTCCATAGCGTGAAGCCGCAGTAGCTCCAATAATCTGCGAATAATGATGGAAAGGAAGCGAGTGTATATTTTGCCAATTGGATCGTGCCAACCTGGGAAAATAAATCGCACGAAGACCGAAAATTCATACCTGGCTCGGCAGATAACCGAATGCAAAGGCAGACAGAATCCAGCCTTGAGTAGAGAGGTCCCACTGGTATTCATCCGTCATAGGAACGATTGCGATTGGCATCAAAACGCGGTCTATGGCATTGACGAAGTTGGCAAGACTGCATAAAGCAACCACTGCCGATGGCTTCCTCATCTTAATGGCCATGATGGAAGCGGTACCTATTTTCTGGCTACGTCCGAAAGTATGATCTCAATTATTATTCCATGACGGCACGCGTGCCTCCACTTTCATCGGACATCTCAACATCGCCACCTGTACTGTGAACACCAGTCAAATAATATTTTAAATTAAGATTAGTGAAACTTGAAACTCTAAGCACTTTCTGCGAAAAATCGAAGGATCACGATTATTACAGAAGTTCGATCATGTCGCGAAAATGTTGCGAAACAGAATTTAATGCGGAATGTGTTTCGCAGACAAACTACCTTCAATACCCCGTTGTTCAGTCGACTACGTCCAACAAATGAGCTGATTGGAATATTTATAGAAATTAAAGCGTTATGCACGAGTATCTGACCACCGGAAATTCATTCCACATAAATGACTTGAACATCGTCAGTTGCTCATCACACAGCGCGGACTGGTGGCTCAATGCTGCCTTAGACCCAGGAGAGTTAGGACGATTCAACGCATTACTGTACAGTTGAGACGCATCAGACATTTAAACAATCTACATGCGACATCTGTTTAACAAACCAAATACCGTACAGTACGGTACAGTGCTTCATCTAGCCCGATACTGTACAGTACTGTGCTGGAGACCAGCAACATCATCGGAGGAATCCCAAAAAATGCATCTCTTCGCAAAAAGCAGCACAAAGGGGTACTCATTTTAGAAAAAATCCGGAAATGCAACGCACAAAATTCCCTTAGAGATGAAAAGTTTAGACCAAAATAGCACGCGTAATTTACTCTACCTCACAGTATTGATTGTTTATATGATACTTCTGTTGGTGTGATTGCAAAAACTCCATATCAACCTCCTGAAATAGCATAGGCTTGATACAAAAAATTACATGCTTACAGCCATCATCATAATTGCATTCAAAAGGAAAAACAGTAAAAAGGGTGTTCATTTCCCCAGCTGAAAAACCAATGGTTATACTGTACTCAATTCACAGCTAAAAGACAAATCACAAGGATAAAACCATCAGATTGGGTTCATTCAATAATGTTGATGCTCACAATCAAAGGTCAGATATAAAACCAATATATCACTGTCAAGAGTCAAGAGCGAAGTGACGCTGCGTCGTCTCGCGGATTCCCTCGTTCCATGCTTCCCCCAAGATCGTGATCGCGATAAGGCGCGCGAGGACTATGACGGTGGGCGAGGGGCACGGCCCGATGGTTCGCCGCTAGGTGTCGCGTGTGAGGGTGAGGTTGATGCCTCACTCTCCCCCCCCCCGAAAAAGTCGCGGTTTTGGCACGTTTTGATTTTCGTTTGGAAAAAGCGCGACTTCGAGAGTAGGCATGTTCTTTTTGAACTTTCGCGTCAGTGGGTAGCCACGCAGTAGGTCGCCCATACGCATGATCCAAAACAGTGGTCCGCTGTGCTTCTGACGGGGCGTCGGTGGGTCTGCGAGCGTAGCCGTGGTCCGACGGGGGCACTATACTATCGATGTTAGAGCCGACGTGAATAAGACCCATTTGCTTCTCAAAACCGTGGTTGGGTGGACGCGGCAATCCCCGGTAGGGGACCATTTCCCATGCGTTGGCTCTTCGGACGTTTGGTCCGGCTCCGACGTAGTACTCGCCGTCGCCCTGATACGAGATGACCATGAACGGCCCGATGCGTTGAGGACGGAAACGGCGGTTTGCCGCGTGCTTCTCCACTGTGGGTAAACGCGGGAATATAGCGATGAAATCACCTGGTTGAAAGTGGGGTTGCTTGTGCTTATTTGCTTGGGCTATGAACTGGTCTCGATATAACTGGGAGCGCTGTTGGAGGACGTCGAGTGAGATTTCTTCTTTGGGTAGGGTTGCTCCAAAGGTGTGGTCTGCGTTGAGTACGGTTCGTCGACAAAACATGGCCTCAGTGGGTGTGACGCCGGTTGCTGAATGGACGGTGCTATTGTAGGCCTTGACAGAGGTTTGCAGATGCGCGGCCCAGGTGATGTCGTCGCCCTGGACCGCTTTGGCCTGAATCTGGGCCAGCGTTTTGATCGACCTCTCGCAGCATCCGTTCCCTTCTGGGTGCGTCGCTTGTGCGACGTGTTGTTGGATGTCGTAGCCCCTGAGGAAATGACGGAAGGCATGACCTGTGAACACAGAGTCGCAGTCGGAATGAATTATTTCGATTCGCAGCATCCGTTCCCTTCTGGGTGCGTCGCTTGTGCGACGTGTTGTTGGATGTCGTAGCCCCTGAGGAAATGACGGAAGGCATGCCCTGTGAACACAGAGTCGCAGTCGGAATGAATTATTTCGAAAAGACTGTATTGGCGGAAAACTTCGGCCAGAAAGGGTATGACAGTTTGCGAGTCGGCGGCGACGATTGGTTGTGCGACCATGTATTTGCTGAAATGGTCAACAGCTACTATGGCGTACCTGTAATCTTCTTTTGTCTTTGGGAGGGGCCCGTAGAAGTCGAGGACCAGACGTTCCCATGGACGGTTTGATTCGACGGCGCTCATGTGAGTGCCTATCAGCTGAGTCGGTTGATTATATTTGAAACATAACTCACATGCTATGTCTTTGGGAGGGGCCCGTAGAAGTCGAGGACCAGACGTTCCCGTGGACGGTTTGATTCGACGGCGCTCATGTGAGTGCCTATCAGCTGAGTCGGTTGATTATATTTGAAACATAACTCACATGCTAAAATGCGTTTCCATACGTCTTGTCGCATTTTCGGCCACTCGAACCGATCGCGGAGCATGGTTAAGACTTTTTTCCACCCAGCATGTCCCAATTCGGCGTGGTACGCATCGATGATGGGGATACGGTCTTCCTCTTTGGGTTGTGTGCGGGCTGTGGCGTTGTTCAGCGAAATACGGCTGAGGGCGTCTGGAGCCTGGAGAGCCTTCCCGGCCCGGTGGATTAATTGGAAATCAAATGTCGCGAGTTTGGCCTGTAAACTGACTAACCTTTTGGATTGAAGCCGCCCTAATAAAGCTTTGTGGTCAGTATAAACGCGAAATTTCCGGTGAACAAGATGGTGGCGGAACTTCTTCGTGACGCTCCAGACTATGGCTAACAACTCACGTTCGGTGTTGGAGTAGCGTGTTTCGGCGTCCTTCAGCGTTCGACTTGCGTACTCGATGACCCGTTCGTTGCCGTCGGGATCTGACTGGACTAGCACGGCGCCGAGGGAGATTGCCGACGCGTCGCAATGGACGGCTATGGGCCAGCTGTGGTCGACGCGTTCGAGACGAGCGGTGTCGGCGAGGATGCTCTTAAGATGTTCGAATGCGAGCTCAGCTGCGGGTGACCAGAGGATTCTGGTGGCTGGTTTGGGCGGGATGGTCAGGCGGAGAGCCTTCTCCGACTCTGCGAAATTCGTCGGCAGGTGTGATCGCAGGTATGTGGCCATCCCGAGAAACTGCTGCATCTGTCGTCGGGTTTCCGGTTTCGGGTACCGCAGCACAGCGTCGACGTTTCTTTCGGCTGGGCGGCTGCCCGTTTGGTCGACTTCGTGGCCCAAGAACAGGGTCTTGTGGGCAAGAAATGACGACTTCACGATGTCGACGCAGGCGCCTGCCTCCTGAAGGGTTTGAAGAACGATGTCGAGATTTTCGCAGAGAATGTCGAACGTTTCCCCGAAGATAATCACGTCGTCGACGTAGGCTAAGCAGCGTCTGAAAAGCAGAGGTCTGAGAATGGTATTAATTGTCCTTTGGAAAAGAGCAGGGCCCGTTTTCAAGCCAAAGGGGAGCACTTTATATTGCACTTGCCCCCTTGGTGACATAAACGCTGTTTTGGGCCTGTCCTCCTGCGCGATTGGCAGGTGATGGTACCCTGCATGTAGATCTAAAGTACAAAAAAAGAGGTTATTCCGGCCCAACGCTTCCAGGAGCTCCTGGACCGTAGGCATCGGGTAATTGTCGGGCATGATGAGCTTGTTGAGTTCGCCATAATCCTCGACGAGACGGAAGCGCTTCTCGGCGGGGGCGTTTGGGTCGGAGCATTTTTTGTCAACCAAAAAGGCGGGCGCGTTGTAAGGTGAGGCAGCGCATTCCAGGATGCCCGCTTCCAGGTAGGCGTCGATGATTTCCGCAAACGGTGCGTTGCGTTCCACGGAATGTCGAAATTGGCGAGCTGCCGGCGGGGGTGCCTCGATTGTGGGGATGCAGACCACGTGCTCGGCGAACAGACCCCTTCGCCCTGACCATTGTCGGATCAGAGGCGCATGGCGTTTCAGAATTTGGGTAACGCGATCGCGTTCATGACTATTTCCGTCGACAAAAGAAATTCCCTCGCCCACTGAGAGCGTGGGGGCAGCGGGAGCCCTCATCACTTCGTGAAATCCGGTAAAAACGCGTTTGCCGTCTAACGTGATTGTCAGAGGTAACTGTAAAAGCATGGTTCGACCCATGATAACGGGAAAGTCCCGCATGCCGGGCAACACGAGAAATGCACCGGCGTGGTCGGTGTTCTGAAAACGAAAAACAGTCTCGACGACGCGATTGACGCGAGAGGCTTCGGGACTGAGCGCCGTGCTCACGGTCATGTGTAACTGCGAGGTCGGTAAAGCTAATTGATGCACGATTTCGTCCGAAATAAAGGAATGCGATGCACCTGTATCGAGTAAGGCGGATAGCGAGCGTCCCAAAATACAAATTGAAATTAAAATGGGAGGAGGACGCCGAACGTGTAAGCAGCGCTTTGTCACTCGGCGCAAGTGACACTGCTAAAGCGCAAAGGGACCTGAACGCCCGTGAGTTTCGCGTAATGACCCGTGCGGTTACAATGAAAACAGGTCGGCCCCGCGGCCTCGGAAAAACTGGATTTCGCGGCGGATGTGGATGATGAGTTGCTAACCTGTCGAGACGATGTAGATTCGCTGGTCGATTGTGCCGAACCCGTTTGGCGTAGACGAAGGCGACACTCCTGTGTGCTGTGGCGAACGGACTTCTTGTGGAAGTCGCACCATTGTTTTGGAGGCAGGTCGACTTTCTGTCTGGGACCGGTTCTTGCTGTTTGGTTTCCGGAGCCTGTGGCGGGATGATTGAGCCGATATGACTCCGCTACGTCCACAAAGTCGTCCCAGGTGATGTGGCGATTCTTGGACCACTTCTTGTGGAGTTCGTCCCGCAATCCGGATTCTGCGGAGTTGAGGAGCTGCTCCTTCAGAATAAATTGAATGATGTTGTCGGCGGCATCGATAAGTCGTCCCAGGTGATGTGGCGATTCTTGGACCACTTCTTGTGGAGTTCGTCCCGCAATCCGGATTCTGCGGAGTTGAGGAGCTGCTCCTTCAGAATAAATTGAATGACGTTGTCGGCGGCATCGAGCTCCGGCACGGGTAGTTGGACGCATAGTTCAAACTCTTCTCGTAATCGTTCCCCAAAATTAAAGAAACTCTCGCCTGCATCGGGCTTGAGCTGGCGGAAACGTTTCAGGCGATCCAGGTGTGGAGTCGGGAACCGGCGAGCCACTGCGTCGACGAGTTGGTCAAAGTCGGTGATTCCCCTCCGATAAATCCGGTTTGCTGTCGTCTGAATGTTTGGGAGGGTGTTGCTCAAAATGCAGCATACCCGTTGTTCGTCGGAAATGCGGCCTACTGCAAGGACATTTCGAAGTCGAGTCGCGAAGTCCTCGAACGTTTCGTCTGTCCAGACGAAGCCATTTAAGCCCCAGACGTACAGCTCATCGGTAACCCCACCAACTTTGTGTCGAGAGACGCTACGCGGCAGCAGGCCGGTTCGTCCGACGTGCGCAACTACAGCTCCCCGTAGCACGTTACGTGACAGGTCCTGCAGAGCGGTGATCGGGATGCGGAAACGGTCAAGCTGTGCGGCGTAGTCTGTCTTGGCGGCGCTCTCTGGATGCCCGAGATGATAGACGTCGGCCAGTAGTTGTAGCGTTGTGAGTGGCAGGGACTCCCACACGCTGGTCGATGTTCCTGCCGAAGAGCGGGAGATCGTTGGCGAGGCCTGCGGAGCGCGTCTTTCGTCCCGAGGTTGAGGCTCGGTGTCTTGAAAGTCGTCGTCGTCCTCCACGAGTCCGGCAAGTTCGGCGAGAACCTCGGCTGCTTCGGCGGCTGCCGCTGCTGCTTTGGAGTTCTCGGTATTTCGGGGCATAGTGGATGCTGGCGTGTCTACGGTGTCAAATAGTAGGAAGTAGAAAGTGGCTCGAGCCCCCAGTAAGAGTTTTCGGGTGGCAGAGACTTGACACACGTATTTTCTTCACAAACACGTCTTGTATTATACAGGAACAGCACGTGTTAGTTTCCAGTCTATATTTTGGTTATATAGTGACAGTTCTCAGTTCTCGCTTCACTGCGACGCAGCAGAGCGCCTAAGGGAGCAAGGTACGAAGGGGGTTCTAGCACTAGCGCTATTCCGCGCTGAGGACTATGACGGTGGGCGAGGGGCACGGCCCGATGGTTCGCCGCTAGGTGTCGCGTGTGAGGGTGAGGTTGATGCCTCACTATTCAACGCATTACTGTACAGTTGAGACGCATCAGACATTTAAACAATCTACATGCGACATCTGTTTAACAAACCAAATACCGTACAGTACGGTACAGTGCTTCATCTAGCCCGATACTGTACAGTACTGTGCTGGAGACCAGCAACATCATCCGAGGAATCCCAAAAAATGCATCTCGTCGCAAAAAGCAGCACAAAGGGGTACTCATTTTAGAAAAAATCCGGAAATGCAACGCACGAAATTCCCTTAGAGATGAAAAGTTGAGACCAAAATAGCACGCGTAATTTACTCTACCTCACAGTATTGATTGTTTATATGATACTTCTGTTGGTGTGATTGCAAAAACTCCATATCAACCTCCTGAAATAGCATAGGCTTTATACAAAAAATTGCTTGCTTACTGCCATCATCATAATTGCATTCAAAAGGAGTTTGTCATTTTTCCCACAAGTAAAGGGGTCGACTTTTTGGTTACCAATATGACATGAGTTAAGTGTCGATTTTCTGTTTAGTGTTCCTATTTTGGTAGTCTAACCCAAGTAAGTTATTACAACTACGAGACAACTACAGTAATATTGAATTTGCAAAAAAAATATATATACTGTATGCATAAAAAATGCATATTTTCTTCCATTGAAAACGACGAATTATTGTCGAAGAGTTTTGAAAAGGAATTGCATCTGGATTTTCGTTCGAAGGCCGTCGATTGCTGATATTTACTGTACGATATAATTAATCCCAACGAAGTTATCCCCCAAAAAGTATATAAAAACGCGTTTTCAACAACAATTATTTTCATGCAGTTTTAATATACAGCAGTATAGTACAGTATTGGGTTATTATATATATATATATATATATATATATATATATATATATATACATTATATATAACTGCTGATTTCGTAAACTGAAAGCAGCAGGTCTTCAAAAAACGGTGTTTCAGACCGATTAGTTCATCCAAAAGTCCTGATAGCCGATTTTTTCAATACCTATTGTGTCTCAAGGGCTTTTCAAGGGTTGAAAAATCAAGCTGAAAAATTGGATTGCCATTGATGCAATTTTTGGGCCAGAATAAGACGCGTATAACAGTATTGTAGATTTCCAACATCCCCTCTAATATTTGGGGTTTTGAGCAAGTTCAAGTACAAAAGACCAAAATAATACAGTACTTAACTCATGTTTTTGCCGCAACAGGGGTGCAGTTCAGCTCCATAACGCAAAATCTGCAAAAAAGTCATTGAAAACCTTTTTTTCATTTACTTGATCTCATTTTCAAAAGTGCTGGATTGTAGATTTTGTAGCATTAATTCTAAGGGGGTTTTTGAGCCTCGGGTTCAGAGAGACAAAAAATCCTCGAACAGGATTCTACCTCTCGTTTTCGCCCCAAAAAGTGATGAGCAGTGCTGCAGCTTCATATTGCATGAAGTCGGCTGAAAAGGTTGTCCGTAACAGGTTGATATGCTTTTTCTCATTCCGCGGATATGTGAATATGCTTATTTGAAACTCAGATTTTCCTCATAGATGTCGCTATTACATGAATTCTTTCTCCCTACAGCCAAGTTCGACGCTATGGACATCACTTCGACTTCTTCGAGAAAAATACAATAAAAAGCGCATCTTCATCAGCATAACCGACGATACGTGTCACTTTTAAGAGGATTATTTATTTTTCATTCTCGAATCGAATAATTGGATAATAATTTATATCATACTATGCTTTATTGGAGAACCTCTCCAGCGAGGATATACACTTTTCCCGTCGTCTGGGGGAAAAGGCTTTTTGTTGATCACTGATTATCAGCAGGCATGAATCACAGGCATCTTTTAGAAATAATGCATCTTTATTAGCACTGCCTCATCATCTGGGTACATTGACTTCTTTCAGGTGGGAAATCAGGCAAGGGGACAACTTCGCCGGAACAAGAAGTGAAAAAACAAGAAGTATAATGTACACAATTCACGAAATATTTCCGGACGCTTTCCTTATTTATAGGAAATTTTAGCTATACCCTGGCACAAAAGGAAAAAATAAAAACTGGGTGATGATTTGCTGATGATTAACTAGCTTTTCTTGTTTGCTGCATAAAATGATATAAAAAAAATCCACGTATATCCATCCCTCGATAGAAAATAATCATCGGGGGAAATGACTCGGCTCATTCATCTAAAACCAATGCTGTCGTTAATTACTGTATACCAGCATAGTTACAGAAAATGTCTGTGATATCCTCGGACGGTTATAATTGAATAGAGATCATATAGAAATACAATGCCATTGCCTCGAAACAGAATATAGATAAAGATTTTATTCGCGTGACCTGAAACACATATCCATCCAGCCATTATAATTGTGACGAGTTTCGCAGAAGCTTATTCTAATAATCGAGGAATTCAATATTTTTTTGGCGAAGAACAACCATATTCCAATGAATGAACTTCCGCTGAAGGTGTAAAAAAATTAAAATCAGCCAGAACTCGAGCTCAAACTATCCTTGCCGGTATCAACCGAGTACAAATTTGCTTTTTAAAAATGTGAGCGAGGATAAAAACATCTTGCCGTCATTCCTCGAAGTTTTTCAAATTTCGTTATGGAACAATACATTTCACAATATACTGCTTCATGGAAGTCTTGAATCAGCAGCCTGAATAATGACAATTTGTCATTGACGCTCGATTTTCAGAAAAAAAAATAGTAAATGCATACACAGAAAAACATTATGCCCACCTAAGAATTGTACTCATTGTTCATCTCGACTCGACACATTTCTTGGCAGCAGATGGCTTTCCAGGGGAACTTTCGTTACAACGGCAATCAATTTAGTACAGTATAGAAAACTTGTAACTGATTTCACGATCTTGAAAATCGGTACGGAAGAGGAACAGCGGGTCCAGGCGCGAATCTCAAATTCACTTCCGACGCAGCAGGTTGCGGCAATTCGACAACAGGTCGAACTATTGGCACTCGAGTTTCAAACACAGTTGGCACGAGACGAGGAAAAAAGGGATCCTGAGGGAATGCCAATGTTCTGACAACTTTGAAATACTTGGGTTCCGGCTCTGGTCCAGTGACTTCGAGGAATCTCGGATACCGACGAGTGAGAATTCCGGATGTGATGGGTGTCAAAACTTCCGCTTCCGTTGCTCCGCTTGTTCCGATTTTATAGCACACCAGGCAGACGAAAATCGCCAAAAGGCGGACGAGGTTCTGCAATTTTGTTGAAGATCCTTGATGAGTTCAACTCGATGAATTATATTGAAACAACTAAAAAAAAAAGCTCACCGAAAGATTCCTCATGATTTTCCTTCACGCAAAATGTGTATTTGTACAAAGCTTTTTTGCAACGCTTAAGAAGGTTAATCCTGAAAAAAATGAATCAGTAGAAATTCCTTTATTTTATATCCCCACCTTTTATCGGAATCCCATTTTCCGGAAATATTATAGAAAACCATGACTCTTTAAATACACATAAATCGAAAGAATGATGAATAAAAATAACAGCGAAGTCAAGAATCCAAATGGACGTATTTAAAGTTTCCACGACGTACATATGACAAAATGTTTTGAAATTTTTTTTTATATTTCTGGCAACATTATTGCCTCGCATTTTACAATATTCAAACGGTAAATTTGTAATCTCGACAATTTCGGATTAAAGTAGGGATGTCTTGAAATTTCACTTGATGAGCGAAAAAGTTTCGAATTACTGTACCCTAAAATTTAATTAACAAATTTGAGCAATTTTACTGGTGTGAATTTTGAAACTAGAGGGGAACAAATTGCAGGTCAGTTCCAAAAGTGATAACCAATACAGTACAAGTATCGTAAAAAGTAATTCCATTGTTTCTGAAAAATTGCAGTCTCAAAAATCACAACTTTGGGATTTCGAAAAATTAGGCGCACTTCATTTCAACAGTAAAGCGTAACTGCATCAATACAGTACTTCTTTGAAGATAATTACACAGGTGAACTCTCTCATCTGCAATAATCTTGTAATTAAAACACCTGGATTAAATTATGGACTGTATAGAGTCCACCAGTATTATAATGAATCACAGTGAAGAAAAACATAAAGCCAACGGGATTTTGAAAAAAATAAATAAATAAAATTAGGAGCACTCCTTTTCAGCAAAGCGCAATTACATTAATATAAAGTACTTCTTTGAAGATAATTTTTCAAGTGGACTCTCTTGTCTTCAACTTTCTTTTCTACAACAATTTTCACTGTGAAAATAATTTTTTATATGGTCCCATAAAATTCTCTCTCCATTTTAACATGGTTCTCTGCAACAAAATTCTCTCTAGAACTATTTTTTTTCTTCTGGTCTCTTGAATTTCGTTGTAAAGAGAGTCCACCTCTATTATCATGAAATTTAAAGAAAAACATAAAAGCCAACGGGATTTTGAAAAACAAAATTAGGAGCACTCTGTTTCAACATAGCGCAACTACATCAATTAAGTAATTCTTTGAAGATAATTTTACAGGTGGGCTCTCTAATCTTCAACTAGCTTGTCTACAACAATTTTCCCTGCAAACATAATTTTCACTTGGTCCCATTAAATTGTCTCCCCATTTTAAAATGGTTCTCTGCAACAAAATTCTCTCCAGAACTATTTTTTCTCTTCTGGTCCCTTGAATTTTGTTATAGAGAGAGAGCCCATAACATGTATTACAGGTGAACCTTGATAACTCAAACCTCCCCAAGTCAAAACTAATTTGAATTTTTTTCAGGTCTTGTTTGAATCCCCTTAGAATTAATGCATTTAAAACGTCCTTAAGTCAAAGGCTTTTCCCCTCAAACCTCCATCACGCAAATTTTCCATGGGCTGTTAGCTTTTATTTTCTTGACACAATAAAGAAAAAAAACAATGAAAACAGAAATTGATTTGTTTTAAAATGAGGTGAGAGACTTTATTGGGCAAATGAACCCTGCATCCAAGTTCAGGATGCTTTCAACTCATTTAAGAAGTAATTTCAGCCCCAGAATATCACAATTTTGAGCAATTATTCTGTTTCCCACAAAAAGGGCTTTGTACTGTATTTACTCAAGTACCACGTGCCCTTGAGTAAGGCGCGCACAAGGGTTTTTCAGTTGAAAATTTCGCAAAAATCTTATCCCTGAGTAAGACACGCACCCCAATTTTTAGTGAATCTAAAACCATACAATTTCAAAAATAAACACAAAAAATTTGACTTCAGGCGTGAATTGAACAAAAATCTGATCAATTTTCAACTAAAATGTTTTCTTGTTATATTTGTTCCAAATTTCTCCATTATAATTAATTATTTTGCACACATAACTTCCTAAAACTTCTTGAAAATTTTGTACCCACTCATGATGCACACCCCTTTTTTCCTCTGAAATTCCAGAAAAAAGGTGCGTGTGGTACTCAAGTAAATACAGTATTATAGCTCAATTCAAAACCTCCCTAAGTCGAATTTTTTGCCTGTCCCTTGAAGTTTGACTTTGAGAGGTTTGACAGTACACAGCACAGGAAACCCTAAAGCCAACCTTTGGCGCATCAAGCATCCGTTTTTTTTTTTCAACATCCAAGACGTGTTAAAATTCCTTACTGGGAGTTCACTATGCCTCAGGCCACGAATTCCAGACAACTGAATCTGTTTCGGAGTTGAAAGGGGGAACTAGGATCAAGAACCACGCCCGGCTTTGAACTGCGCTGAACCGACTTGTGGCACTTCGAAGACATACGATTCTTCGGGGGCCGCGTATATGAATTTTGCCCCGGGCGCGGACACAAAGGCTTTTCTTCTTTTCTATATATGCCCAACGACTGGTGTTTTTTGAAGCGAGGCTAATGATCCGATAATTTTCAAGAAGTCATCAGGGAAAAGGACCTTTCGAAAAATTCTTGCTGGCTTACTTATTGTGCTTCTTTTTCGTGGGCTGTGGTTACGGTTGTATTTAATGAAGAAAAACAAGTGAATAAACCATAATCGGGAACATAATTTAGCATTGAGTCAACAAAGCTTGAAACCTAATCTCATTTCCTGTTTCAGTATACTGTAATTGTCATTTCGTGCAGACGTTTATGCACCAAGAGTTTTAATCTTCCAAAATCATTTCGTGGTATAATTGAAAAGCTTTTAACCAAGTCCCCTGTCTATTGGTGAGAATATTTTTTGAATCACGGGACTGACTTCTTCAATTTCTTGCCCAAAATTTTAAATCTTAGGACAACCTTCGCAAACAGGATCATGGAAAAAAAATTTGCAAAGATCAGGACTTTTTTCAGCACTGAGACATTGTTATTCAGCAGCTTTGAAAAATTACCATATGCATCACCTCTTTCTAAAATGCGAGAGCAAAATTTGAGGGTGCAAATTATAAGTGAGTAAAAAAATATTTTAAAGATCTCACGACTGCAGATATGCCTCATATTTGATTCTAATGGGACAATATTCAACCAATTTTAATGGCTTTTTTTTTCAACGGAAACAATTGAAAATTAATTGAATTCATGTCAGAATTCGAAATCTGGTGTTTCTCATTTTTGAAATATGTCAGTTTATTCCCCTGAAAGTCGGGCACTTAACTTATTAATGAGGGAAAGGATTTTATCCAAAGTTCAGGTTGAAAAACCGCGGCGCGTTTCGTACTTGAGGGTGGATGTCAAAGAACATATTGTACAGCAGTACTGTGCTACAAATGTTGTTACACTCAGGAACCTGTCGAATAATTTAACATACCCATGTGAGGCATGCGAACTGCATTTTCTTGCTCAGACGGGTGTCACTTTAAATCCCGATTGTTCATTTCAACCCTGTTTCTGAAATTATGAATTTTGTACAGCGGAGGAAATAATCCAGTTTAGATATGTTGAAACAAAAACCACACACAGTACATTTGAGAAGGATAAAAATCCAAGACTGACGAAATTTCGTATCTAACTCTCGAGCCGAAACAAAACTTCTCAAATCACCCTCACGGCAAACATGAAGTGACTCACAACACAAGCAACCTTGTTCTTGTCCACTCGTAATTCCTTTTACGGAAGCGGTAGAGGAAAAAATTCGCAGCGGGGGAGAATCGGATTTCTTCCCCCAACCGAATGGTTTCAAGGTTGCAATCACAAGAGAATTGTACCAACAATTCCTCACCGTTCAGGAAGTGAACCAGATAATACTAAAAAAAATTTTTGAGAGAAAGAGAAAAGCTGAGATTCATTCACCTGCAAATGCCAATGACTGGTCTCTTCCATCAAGTGGGACCCGCTTCCGGCTTCCTGAAGCACTCAGCCCCCTTTTTTCAATACAGTAACTCAAAGTGATACAATATACTGTATGTTGTAAGCTCAGGTGTACTTTTTTATTACCGGTCGTTAGCGTATTTTTTTCTGAGAAATCGTGCTTCGAAATGCATCGTAAATCTGGGATTGCGAATAGTTTGCCGAATTTATTGGATGCGTTTTTCATGGGCTTCCCTTCAACATGATTTCTCGGCAACGCCCAGCCATAGACAAAGTTCATTAACAAACATTTTTCTTTACTCAGCGGCTGTTCGTTATAATGCCAGCCAACGATTGGAGAAATCGCTTTCAAAAAAATCATTGAAATTGATTCGCATACCTCGCTCACAGTCACCAGAATTGCGCGTGTTTCTTTGATAATTTCATTTTTAACGCACAACTTTACAGTGCGTTGTTCGCGACCGAAAATCAGTGCTGCTACTAAATCTCGAAAAATGCGGAGGAAAAACACGAAGTACTGCGATTTGTTCCTTCGTACTGGAATTGTTTGCCTTCGTATCACGTGCATATATTAAAAAAGGAAAATGTAAACAGGAAAATTAATGAGCGTTATGCAGCACGAATACAATTTTTTTTAACTGGGATTTTTCCAAATTTGGTAATTTACATTGTGATTGTCTTTCGCAGGGATGCATGTTAGAAAACTCTCCGTTTGACGCATTTGTTTCGTTAACTTCGAGGGTTGGTTCATAAAATATGATGAACTGCCCCTTGCTATCATTCGAGGCAGATGCAATTTTTTATTTTGCTCTTCAACCCTTTCTTGGTGTCTACCGTATTCACTCGAGTACCCCGCGCCCTCAAGTAAGGCGCCCACAAGGGTTTTTCAGTTCAAAATTTGGCTAAAATTGTATCCCCAAGTAAGACGTGAACCCCCTTTATAGTGACTCTAAAACCACAAAATTTCGAAAAAAAAATGTGACTTTAGACGTGAATTGAACATGAATCTGATCACTTTTCAAATTTTTCAGAAAAAAAAAGTTTTCTTGGTAAATTTGTCACACATTTCTCAATTATAATCAAGTATAATCAACATACAACTTCCTAAAACTTCTTGAAAATTTTGTGCCTGCTTATGACGCGCACCCCTTTTTCTTCTGAAATTTGAGAAAAAAGGTGCGCGTGGTACTCGAGTAAATACGTAATACATTTTTCATTGACTACCCAGCTAAACAAGAAAAAGACGTGGATCACAGTGAATCTCCTCCACTGAAGTGAAGTTTAATTGATCAAGAGCAGCTGAATGCGCACTTGCATGCTCTATGGCTTCGGGGATTATGTGGAAAACTTCACTTCAGTGGAGGGCAATCACTGTGATCCATATCTTTCTCTTGTTTCCTTCTGTAGCTGGGTAGTCAATGAAAAATGTATTATACACCAATGAAGGATTGAAGAGCAAAAGAAAAATTGCATCCACCTCCGATGACGGCAAGTGGCAGTTCATCATCTTTTATGAACCAACCATCGTATCTTCCATTTTACATCTTGTGGTTTCTAGCTCTTTGAAAAAATAATAAATTAATACTGTAAGTCGAACCCCGTTAAACCGCCAGGATTATGCCACACAGACGTTGGCAGTCTATCGTGGTTACACCAACCATTTATCATTAGGCAGATTTGTTTTCCAACATTTTTTGGCGGGAACCGAGGGTGTCGGTTCAACGGAATTTGACTGTATACTGTACTGAGCTTGAAAAAAAGTGGTTTGTCATTGGTTTACCGTTGACAAGTTGAAACTGAACGTGAAGTCCTCTTTAACAGGCATTCATACAGTTATGAATATATTTTCCCCAGGAACTGGTTTTCCTTTTACAGCAACATTTTTGCCCTTCATTTTTGTTCAATTGTCGAACCGTTCAGCTAATGTCTTTGACGACAGGTTTGTTTGGAAGAAAGAAAACCACATAATTACACCCGGACACAAACCCGCAAAATGAATCCTAATTACAGTTGTTTTCTTCTTCATGAACGCCCAAAGGAATGCCCTTGAAATCACTCACCACTGGAACCATGCGCTGACATTCAAAAAACTCCGGAAGAGTTTTTTTTCTTTTTTAATGATGAGCACTAAAAAACGCATCGGCAAGAACAAAAACATGCATTATGTATGCTCACAAAACGTTCCCTCACAATCAAATGCGTCGCGTTCAGATTCACGATCTTGGACAGTATTTGTTCACGGGAAAAAACGGCTTCCTCGGGCTATATATTTTTTTTTGGCGACTGGAATGCAAAAGTTTTGTTCACACGCAGTTTTGTCAGATCAACACACTGAAGGCACATACTTGGAAAACGACATTTGATCTTGGCACATAAAACGCATCAGAGTTTTGAGCGTATCATACTCCCAAAAATGCTTCACTATTTTAAAAACTTCATTTCAGCAATTTGAAAACAAATGACTTGAGATTTTGGCAGACAGCGCCAAGAACATTTTTCCTGAACTCCGTGAGCGCCCGTCAACATTATTTTGAGGTTTTCGCTCCAACTTTTAAGAAAGAAAACAACATACGAAAATGTCCATCACAATGAGCGAAAATTGATCGATGTATAAGAGAGTATAAACAAATTCATTATGAAATACTTTGGACCGTTTCTTTCCTCCACAGGACGGAAATATTTAGTTGAAAATTTTGGATTAAACACTCACATTGGTATTCCTCCGTCAAGCAGACGTAAAAAAGAAGAGCCACATACGCTGTTCACTACAAACGCACGTTTTTCACAAATTATAACGGTGTCTCGTGATTTGAGCTTCGTCTCACTGACGAATTATAATAATAATAGATAGCAGGTCGAGCGACCGGCAACGGCAAAGGCATGTTGGAGAAAGGACCATCGTCTTCGTCGTCCGAATCGCCGTCATCTTCTGCAGAATCAACATCCCCTGGAATTGAAAAAAAACATGAATTCAGATTAAAATGCCAAACAAAAACATTCTCATGGGTACAGGGCCCGCGTAAGGGTATTATGCGCCTGTGTGCAAAAAATAATTTGCCCCCCCCCCCCCAACATTAATTACTTTGATTTTTTAAACGTAAAGAATATATACTGTACTGGACAAAAAAATCATATTATTCCGGGCTGAGGAGAAGTTACACATCTTAGCTAGAATTCTTTCATTTTATTTCCTGACGTAAAAAACTTTGAGGAAGTTTTAAAAAATTTCAGACCAACTGGTCCTGAAATACTGCATGACAAGACTTTCAATGGGAACACGACAGATGGGTTTGAAAATGTAGCACCCCTTCAAGGTTGATCCCTGTCCAAAACCCTTTTGCATCCGAACCTTCTGCTCGGGCGTCATGACTGAACAACTACATACTACAGTATTGCTAAACAAGATTTTGGTGCCCCCTTCGCTTGGGCGCCCGTGTGCGGTCAGGTCCGAGTACAGTAGTTGATTTCACGAAAGAATGAAGGATATATAAAATTTCTTACGCGTCATTCCCGAAATCGGTCGAACGTTTTTGGCTCAATGCCTCAGAAATTCATCAAACCTCAAATTTCAAAAAGTTATTCTACCAACTCGAAGCAAGGTAAGAACGGATTATGATACCATACGACTTTAAAAGGAAAATCGCGATCAAATATTTTACATTGCAGCAAATGGACAATCAACTTATAAATCATTTTACAGATACTGTACTGTACAATGTTCGCAAGAGATTTCCCACCCGAGGACAGCAAGAAAGAAACGCATAGGAACCTTTTCAAGGCGAACTTCTAGGGATCGGCAAATAATTGAAAGGAGCTTTTGAGTTCTTGAAACAAGTATTTTTTAGATGGGAAAAGAAAGAATGACAGGACATTGTGATCGGTGATATTCCACAACTTGAAGTGCTTCTTAAATGAATTGACAGGATTTTAACTCAAAGGCAAGGCTTCATTTGCCTAAATAGTCTATCACTTCCTCTAGAACGTATGGTTAAATTCGGATTGCTTTTCAATTTCCTGTGTCAATAAAATAATATTAAAAAGATCTCCTAAAAATTTGATGCATGCAGGTTTAAGAGGGAATGTCTATCCAAAAGTTAAAAATGTTTTAATTCATCGTTTCTGAGGGAATTCACGCAGGGAATTAAAACAATCTACACAAGGAGATATTCGACTGCAGGAAGTTCGAGTTATCCAGGTTCAAATAATAGTGAAATACTGTACAATACGACTCGTGGGAAAATTTCTGTAAGATGTAAAATAGACTCCCTCAACTCCCTGCGTAAATTTCTAAAGAATGCCGACAAAAACTTGATTTCACTTACCATCACTCGAATTCGTCGACACAAACAACTCCGCTCTCACAACTTTCCTGGACCTGTTTCTCTTGCCATACTTGAATTCTCTCGGCAAAGTGTAACTTCTCGGGAGAGAAACCTGACTGTCGATATCCGATGGCACATGAGGTACTCTGTATTTATTTCCCCCCACGGCTTCCCATTCACTCCCATCCGGATACAAGCTCACTTCCTGAATATCCCGGCGATTCGGAACAACCCCATAACTTCTCGGATGGTCCAAATAATACGGAGATAACAAAACTTCCGGCGTTTGTACACGAGCAAGATCAAAATTTTGCTGCGGATTCGTGTCCCCCATTAGCCAAGGAGCGCGTTTATTCTTAGGCACGGGTACCATCAATTCTGAGTGCTCTTCGGGACGCTGAATTTTGCCCTGTTTTATCTCTTCTTGGATCACCCTCAGCTCCGCCAATTGTTGCTCCTTCTTTTCGCGTAATTTCTGTTGGATGTTGACCCGGGATCCCACACTGCCTTCGTGGTCACTCGGGGAATTCTGCGAGGTTTTCCACCACGGCTTGAACCACTGCGTCTCCACTGGCTTTACTCCGGTGAAATGCGGTTGCACCATCGGTGGGGGCACGAAACTCGTGGGCTTTTTCTTCTTTCGCTTAATGGCACGATTCAGTCGGCAACTGAACACGCCTGGAATGTGGAGATCGTTGTTGAAATGTGTTTGCATGCCAGACTGCAAATTCGTTTTTCCGAGTCGGCAATAGTTGACGGACTTCTTCTGAGCCTTCAGATTCTCATCAACAGCAACAATTTTAGTATTCGCGGCTCCCGCGTCACTTTGTTCTACTCTTTCTGGTGCACGGTTTGAACTGTAGCCGTATTTCAACTTGCTCACGTGGAAATAACGGTAGTAGAGTAGCAAGAACACCATTCCGCCAGCAAAAGAAGCAACCACTAAAGCAGTGATCCTGGCTTGGTCCTCGTAACCAGGAGGTGCGGTATCATCACTACCCAGGACCGACGAACTTGTTCCAATGATCCAAACCCCGACAAGGAGAACATTTTCCAAAAACATCACAACATAGAAAATAGCCATCCTCACGGTAGACTTTGATCCCGAGACGTTGATGAAACAAAATGTATAAACATATGCTAGTAGGGACGAGTAGATGATCCGCTTCATGAACGAGGGTTTTTCCGAGGATTTCGGGAAAATCAGCCAACAGAACATACAGACCCAGTGTAGCAGAACAACAAGCAACACCCAGTGATGATAAAGCGAGGCGTAAATTGTAAGGGACACGACACGAGATGTAATTGTCCCGAGTCTCCAGAAGAACTGAAAAATCACTCCCATCCACGTCATGACGAGCTTGTGAATGTTGCTTTTTCGTATGTGCTTATTGAACGATGCCATTGCCCAGCACACGGAGAAAAGCGAAAGCGCGGTTGAGACGCAATTCAGGTTTGAGATTTCTTCCGAACTACCGACTTTCATCCAGATCAAGTACAGTTGTATGAGCAGCATGGGAATGGCCTCACAGTACCCATGTATGAGCCTCAGGAGACACAGATCACGGACGTCTTGTTTAACATACTTCAAATCCACGGGTATGAGAAGCTTGAGGTATCTAACGACGATTCCAAACTGGAGAATATGTAGAATGAAGGAGAGTCCAACGTCGCAGTCTCGTTTGTCTTTGCAGGCCCGCGTTCCCATTTCGCCTTGGAGATCTCCGCTTAACCGACGCATGTACCATCTCAGAGAACAAACTTGACAAACCAATTGCGTGAACATGACGAAACTGCAAGTAATGGTGAACCACACATAGTGTTTCTGCTCGTACAGGGAGTACACTGTAACGGCATCGAAGACGACGTCGCAGAAGTATGCGGCGAGGGATATTATGTTGAAGAGAACATCACATAATGGCAAAAATTCTTGACTCATGATGACAATGCTGGGTTTCCGGACGGTCAGGGAATCCGGAGAAGTACAGTGACTGCGCGCAGCGTCCGAACATTCACAAATTATCCCGGCCCGGTCATCTTACATTATCTTTGTTGTGATGCCATTCGTTCCGAGAACCTGTAATGGTCAAGACTGTCCTCAGAAGTACGTAAACCAGAACATACTTGCGCGACTGTCGGTCGCAAGTATTTCAACAAGATAGAAAGGTATGATCCACTACGCTCAGGGATTCTCGAGAGCAAAACGCGCATTACACTGAACATGCATGACTCGTGAATGCTTAACCCAACACTTTCGGAGATCATCTTCCTTTTGAATTATTCTGTGCTTCAATAAATTATTTATTTCATCGATAAATTCCGGTTCAGCACGAATAAAATGCATCAACCGGTTTACTATGCATCAAAATGGTTCGGAATGGGGAACATGGAAAACTGCGATCACTCCCGGGAACTTGTACAGAATTCACTCAATCCATGATCATTTCAAAATTGTTCAAGCCTTATAAGGGCATAAATTCAAATCATGTGTCGTTAAACGCTCGGAGAACGTACGGCATACTATGAACCCTTTCAATCGCATCACATATCGGAAAACCAGTTATACCGTCCTCGGCCAATGTCGGTAAATATATCGTTAAGGACACGCGCTATTGTTACATGCTTGGAGACGCTCATTAAATGTACAGCACATCAAATAACAATAACTGCACAAATCTGGGAATTATAACTTCGAATACGAATTAGATCCTAGTCCCGCGAGAACGCTTATTCGGGATATATTTCCTCCTCACGCAAATCGGATATCCTGAATTAAACTAATGTAGGAATGCTACCCAGATGTTCAATGGTGTACACCAACCGTATACCTATATGTCACATTAGACGACGCACGCAATCATGAAACCGCTCGTTGTTTTTTCGGGAATTTTAATCCACCAATTTACAGGTTTGGTGCGTTTTTTTGTTGACGCAGCCCAATCGAGGTCGACAGAAAACATGTCCGCGCACATCAGTAACCGCTTCTGTTCACCATTTTCGTGGTACCGTATTGTGTTGAAAACTGTCAACTACCAACGGCAGTACTGTATCTTATTTCTATTAAATTAATCGTCATGTGGGATGGAAAGTGCGATTTGCCCCAGTGAAGACGAATTTTAATTTTTACCTAATTTTATGAAAGATGATCCTTCCAGTTTTTTGGGTTACCGTACTCGCATTGTGGACAGACCGGCGAATAATCAACCTGGTCTTGTTCTCTGAGGGAAATTATCAGGTTTCAATTAAACTGAAACTCGCCGGTACAATTTTTGATGTTCGGTTTTTCTTCTGTAACAGGTGCAGCGTGTGAGATTTTTATTTATTTTTCTTTCTGAGAGCGTGGTGATTTATTTAGTTTATTTTATTTTGACGAGCGGACGGCCTGCATGAGGTTGTGATCAACTTCCTTATTTTGAAGGATGAACGAAATATGACTCAGCCACAATGGAACTCGCAATTGATGCCAGCATCCATGCCAAAACAGAATTTTTCGGAAACCAGTTTCACTTGCCAGAATCCTACCAAAATTCAATATCATACCCACGTGAATGGGGTTTCAGTTGTGAATGAAACGGAAGGAAGTTTTTCAAAACCTCGCCACGAAAAAACACCTGCGATCTCTGAGTCAAATTGTATTCTGAGCGAAAATCTGAACGCACCTGATGGAGAAAATGTCAAATTTGCTTATCGAACGGAATTATCGTCCGCGTCCCCTTTGGATAGTTTTGCACCTCATGGAGCGTATAGTCCGTATGCGAAAACTGTGAACAATGATCTCCACTTACTGCCGTATTCTGCACCACAAGCTCAGTACGGTCTTCCAAATGACGTCGCCAACATGTTTATGGTGAGAGATTCCTTTGTGCACAATTTTAATTTTCGTGCGATATTTTCGATGATAGGCTGTATTTCTGTACTGCATGCTTGCTTACTTATTCAAGTTCGAATGGTCTCGCTTGAACTTGCGTTCAACCTCTTCAGGAAACCATGAGAAGTAACTAGAATAGAACCTTGCTTTGTCGATGCACAATGTTTCGTTGCGTGGTCTTAGCCGTTCATGTCACTTGAGCTACAGTATTTGCCTGAACATGTTCCATGACACGTATGTCAGGATTGCTTGGTGTCGGTTTCCCGGCTTTGGAGGATGCAGTACACAATTGCTTAGAAAATTCTTTTCTGGTGTAATGTGAAATATTGTCCATCATACATTTTGAAGTGAATCTACGTATGATCAGATACGAGCCCTACAAAATCTTCATAAATTTATTGTTATTCCTATCAAAAATAAAGCTGCAGCACAGTATTCAGATTACGTTTCATGGGAATCCAATAAGCGCTTTCCTGAGAATTTAAAAAATAATACGTGGGCTGATCCGTCATTTAGTATGTGATCCGAAGCCGCTTAAGATGATAGTTTTCTGTGGATGGCTGGTTATCTAACATTTATTCTTGAATGCGCTGAATTTATATGGCTTTAAGAGAGAGTTTCAAAAGGTAGAAAGAGTTGTCGATTGTTTCAAACCCTGTGTATACGGTGTCTCATTTATACTTCCACTATCTTATTACCGTATTCGTAATGCTGTATTCTATTGGTAACCCTCTTTTCACTTGCTGCACAGCAGGCTTACTCCGTTCGGCTTTGGAAGTTTAAGCATCCGACGGGTTCCTGGTGATGAATAAGAATTCAATATCCTTAATTTCAAAAAATTTCAGGACTCTCATTTGTACCGTCAATCGAATGCCACACCTTCACTTCGGGTTCAAAATGATTTCCGGCTTCCGGCAGATTTTAGAAGCTGGGATCCGTTTGTGCAACGTTCTCATGCATGCGAATTCTCGAACTCTTTTCCCCTGCACCAGGAGGTAATCTCAGTGTTCTCAAAATCTCGTTTGATTACACGTTTGGTGTATTTCTTCTATTTTGAAAAGGTCAACTGAAAACAAACATGCTTATCTTTTTTTTAAACGTAGTACGGTATATCCAACATCGTATTGACAGATTTTTCTTCCGCCAAAAAAAACCACTGTCCTACGTCACTTCATCAAAAATCTGACATAATCGCTTGTTTCGCCCTTGATTATGAGTAAAAAGAAATTGAAAGCTATTCGTAATTCAGAAATTTTTTCAGGGTTCTCCCATGTACCATCAGACAAGTGGCACACCTTCACATCAGATACCTCCAAGAAATGATTTCCGGTATCCAGCAAATTTTGGAAGCTGGGACCCCTTTGCTCAACAACCTTGTGAAAGCAAATTCTCCAATCCCGACACTACGTATCATGAGGTATATTGAGATTTTCACGATCCCGTGTGTTCAAAAGTTTAGTTTTCGTTTCTTTCCGCGAATCAAGGATGCGATAAGTTATCCAAGGCTAGTTTTCATTTCGATTTCATCATGGAAGGGCCAATTTAGAAAATCAAACGAGATTAGTCGACTTTCTGAAAGATACTGTATCCAGCATCGAATCGAAAATCTTAATGTTCCTATCGAATTTTTCTTACGAACCGAGAAATTCGAATTTTCAATTGGGCGAAATAAGACTTGCTTCAGTCTCTTTTCCGATATTGAACTATTCAGAAAATGTTTCAGGATTTTCCCATGTACCATCAGTCAAGTGACGCACCTTCCTATCAAATGCCTGCAAGGAATGATTCCTGGAATCCAGCAAATTTTGGAAGCTGGGATTCGTTCCCTCAAAATCCTCATGCATGCCAATTCTCCGAGCTCATTCCTGTACGTCAAGAGCTTTTTTGAATTTTTTAACGATGCAGTATAGTGTGATCTTGTGGTTGTGCATTTTTATAAAGTCTTCTTTCTCCCTCAGGATCCTACAAAACCTGAAGCCGAAAGATTCCCCGAAATGCCACCACTGCTTGAGAAGCCGAATCGAATCGATCGACTCAAAAACCGTGCGTCGAAACCTAAAAAGATCAGTGCCAAAGCTGGTTCAAGAAAGCCGGTTCTTTATTCCCGTCGCAATCGCATATTGCAGGAAAAGATATTTAAGATGAAACTAAGCAAGCAGCGGTTAACTACGAAATTGATAAATGTTGCGAAGCGTTTTGCTCGACCCATCAAACGTGACATACCGAAACCCACTGGCATAGCTTCTAGGAAAGTTGAGGAAAAGCCCAAGTTTTCTTTGGAAGAGATGCTGGCAATGGGAGACGAGGAATACGGTGCAGCCCGTCACCAACTTGATGGATTCAATTTGCCGCATCCTTCTCCTCCTGTTTGTGACTGCTCTGAAGGTATTTCATGTTCAATTTTTGGGATTTTTCACTGGAGAAAAGTTGCTTTCGAAGCAAATGTATTGGAAACCTGTGTTATAGTTCGACGTCTCCCCAAAAATTCCAGAATTTATCCCAGCGGTCGATTTGTTTTCCTGACATTGGGTTCGACTGAAGACCGCTGTAGTAATTACGGTATTCTGATTTTTTCTTTATTTCGTGCATTTCCCTTGCATTTTTTTGCTAAGTTCATTCAGTCGAATACTGTATTTATACAGCAGTTTGATATAAGAGAAAGAAACATTTGAAAGAGAAAAGCTGTGAGAAAATTCATGCTCAAGATCTTGCAACACTGGCTGCAGAAACGTAACAAGTTTTCGTCAGATGTGGATTTTGTCCGTCAATGTCAACAAGATTTTTCAGTAAATATTCTCAATCCCTCAAATCGCAAAGGATTAACGAAAAAGTTACGACTACGAGCTCTCGCTCTCAAATGGAAAATCCGGGGATAGATTTTAGAAGTATAAATACTGTACTATTCAACTCCGAAACGATGAAAACAACGCTGATGAAGAAGGCCGAACAGCAAACATTCATCTCCTGCAATAAAAATTATTTTAGCTGCCGAATATGATTCATTAACTTCACCCATTCTTTATTCGACGTTTCACTTACGTTTTATTATGGGGTTTTATTAGCTCTACCTGTTCGGAAGATTTTGTGGCTTGAAATATCAATGTTTGGCCCACAGTTCGCCATATTTCATTTTCATTCACGACGTGAATTAATTTTTTTTAGAAGTTGGTAATTGCTCACAATAAATGACTTCTTTCAGGACAAGAATGCGGCCCCTTTTATGCTCAACTTGGGCATAGTTCATCCGTAGAAGACATCCGAAATCAATTCGAAACGAGATTGAGTTTAAGTGGAGATCAACTAAGGATTGAGCAACTGGTCTGGAAGCAAGTTCGATCAGATAATCACTACGGCTGTCCGATCGCCAAAGAGGTTTGTATTTTGATGATCGGGGTTGCAGAATAGGTTTAAAGGAATTGCGGTCTTTTTTGTTTTGTTTCAGGTTCTGCAATCGGGTGGTGAAGAAGTTCTCATCACTGTAAAAAACCGGCCCAACCACAAGTGCCAGTATTCTTGGATTGTTGTGTCGATTACTGTTTGGAAGGGCATTCCGCGAGAAGTTTCTGATGGCCTTTACGATTAGTAAGTTTTTAGCGCTATTATCGAAACTAAAAATAGAATACCCGAGGACCGAACTGGTTTATTGTTTTTAGTTTGAAGGATTCTTGTCACAAAGTTGGTCGAAGTGTCTTGAGACAATCCGGCCTGAATGACACCAAGTCTTGCATGTGCCAGGGGTCAGGGGAGACAGAAGCTATGTCTATGACCGTGGGCTGTTCCTACAGCATGTTCTCCAACACGTGCAAATTTGCGAGAACTTTGCATCCCGAAAAGATGAAGATCCTCGATCCGTCAAAAGTAGGACTGTCAGATGATTCTATGTTTTAGCGGATTCTTATCGATGCTGCATTTTCGTTTCATCTCCAGAAAGAAGAAATTCATCATCTGGGAAGCACTATGACTGCAGCTGCCGTGATCACCAGTCGGGTTTTTGAGAAGATAGCGCCGATTGCATTTAGAAATATGACTTTTATGGACTCGGAAGAAAATTTCTGCAGATTGGGGGAGTTTTCCGAAGGACCGCGGCCGTTTGCAGCCGCCACGGCATGTGTTGATTTTTGCACGCATTCTCATCGCGATCGTGGAAACATGCACGGAGGCGCTACTGTGGTAAGTTTTTGCCGAAAGATGAAGTCATGCGACGAAAACTTAAATTATAAGTGAGTGTAACTATTTTTTTTTTAGGTTGTGTCGTTGTTGAAAAATAGTGGGATCGACCCGGCTGATGAGCAGCTTCATACGCTTCCGTTTTATGGATTAGCGGGTTGCGATTCTGAAACGAATCAGAGGCCTGGAATCGAAATCCTCAATCGGTAAATTTTTTTTAATACGTACAGTAATTGACCAGTATCAATAGAATTTGCGTCGATTCGTGAGCTTTGAGTTTTCTCTGTTGTGCTTCGCCAATTCGTGTATCCAACTTCTCGAAAAATCCCCTCATCCTCGTTTGTGATGTCCAGAAATTTGCTGTGCCGATCGAAATTTCGGGTCAAAATTTATTTCCCATTGTATGACGCATTTTATCTTAAGTAGATGTCACTGTATGTTTTCGTTAGTTTTTAGGGAATTTGTTATCCGTCATCAGCGAGGGTTCACGTACGGCATTTTTGTTTTGTTTTCTGTAATATTTTTGTGTGGGTAGATGTCACTGGCAGTCGCATTAAAATTAAATCTAGCTCTGAGTCATTTCGAGTTGATCTTGCTCCTAGTTGATCGAGTTAAGGGTTGTCATATCCTGTTGATTATTGCAGCATCATAGAAGGGTTGAGTTGGTTTCATGTGGCATTTTTATGAAGTAGTGAGGACTAATTTTTTCCGTTTTCATTCTTCGAGAGATTTTATTTAAACTTCTTGACGCATTCGCTGAAGAGTTCAGTGCACCTATGTAAGGATATTTCGTATAAGATTTTAGCTTTTAATCGCAAGATAGGTCCAGTGAGGATTTAGACTTCGAATGATGAGTCGATGCTAGTGCCCAGAAAGAAGTTTTATGTAGATGAAATGGTATGAATCACTTGGTATAACATTGTGTGATTGTATCTGAATTTCAGATTTCCAACTGCCACGAAAGTGCGACGATTCCGAGCCGCGAATTCGAAGGAGCTTCAAGCTGAGCACGATCGAAAACTCTTTTCTAGGAGAAAGAGGAACCTCTGTGCATCAGTGCCTTTGAATGTTACTCCTGAAAGTGACTGTCACATTCCAAAAACTGAAGAAATCTTTCATTCAGAGCCGAAGAAATCGGCTTCCTCGTTGCCGTCGTTCATGCACGTGATGGAATCAAAGTCAGGTCATATGATAAATCCACCTGAGAAATCCGTTTCTCATCTAAATCCCGACGCAATGGCAGACTACACTGATGGTCCTCGGATGCATTTAGAAAATTTTGTGCCAGAAAGTGATTTTAACTATGCCGCAGACGTCTCCAAGGAACTTTTAGCGCGTCAATATTGCGTTCGGAATCTGTTCGGCACGATTTCGCATCCGAATGAGTCAGTGTTTCCTGAAAAAGAATCCTTGATACCTTGCGAAGGCATTGCCCAGGTATCTAACCCTGACACCCAACGGCCTTCGAGTCCTGTCAACAAATCAGAAACGGTTGATGAGTTCCAGACACCCGAGTGGAAACGTGCTGAGAATGACGTCGAATTCCAAATCGATGATAGTGCCAACGAAGATATCCTGGCTCTTCCGCATGTTGGTGGAGTCGCCTTTAGGCTCCCTCACGGCTCTGTGCACATCGAAGTGGCAAAGATGGAGACCCACGCGACCACTGCCTTGAAGCACCCGAATTCTCGTGATCCGACGAGAATAAGCCTTGTTTTCTACCAGCACCATACCCTCAGTTACAAGCATCACGGCCATGACGAAATGATTGCGTTTCGCGCGAAATCGGCAGAAGCGAAAAGGTTGAAGGAAGAACGCGCAAGGAAGCTTGCTGAGTCATCCAAAGGCAATGAGGATCAGGAAGCGATGGCTAACAATTTGTCTTTCGTAAAGCAAGCCCCTCTTTCTCCTAAGTACGGTGAAACCAATGGCTTGGTCAGTTCCGATTCGACGACGATGAAGCAGCATTTTTCATCCGGGAAACCAGACCCAGTTCCAGCAAATCATGCATTTTCTTCCGTGAAGCAAAGCTCTGGGCTTCCGAAGAGTGGTGAAGAAATTATTATACCACCCTGCAGTCCGAGCAGTTCCAATTCAACGACAATGGATCCTGATTTGTCCACTGGGAAGCAAGGCCTGATGCTTTCGGAGTGCTGTGAGAAAGTTGTGGTACCACCCTGTGGTTCTGGCAGTTTCACTTCGCAAGACAGGAACCACGGATTTCCCCCATGTAAACAAGACACATTTTCAGGAACGATGGATCATAATGTTCATGCCTTGAAACGGGACCCGGTGCCTCCGAAAATTTGTGAAAATATTGTGGTACCATCATGTGGTTCTGGCAGTTTCAACTCGAAAGACAAGAGCCATCATATTTCCACAGGGAAACGAGACACACATTCAGCAACGACAGTTCATAGTGCTCATGCCGCGAAACGGGATTCTATGCCTCCAAAGAGTGGTACAAGTACTGTGGTACCACCTCGTGGTTTTGGCAATTTTACTTCGACAGACAGGAACCACTATTTTCCGCCTGGGAAACATGACACTTTTTCAGCAACGATGGAGCATATTGTTCATGCCGCGAAACGGGATCCCGTGCCTCCGAAGATCGGTCAAAATATTGTGGTACCACCCTGTGGTTCTGGCAGTTTCAATTCGAAAGACAGGAGCTTTCATTGTTCCACCGGCGAACAGGGTTTACTTTCAGCAATGATAGTTCATGCCGCGAATCGGAACCCGATGCCTCCGAAAATTGGTGAACGTATTGTGGTACCACCCTGTAGTTCTGGCAACAATTCGAAATACTGGAGCCGTAATTTTTCGTCTGGGAAACAAGACTCCTTTTCAGCGACGATGAATCATAATTTTCATGCCATGAAACGAGACCCTATGCCTCCGAGAAGCGGCGAACATGTTGTGGTGCCACCTTGTGGTTTTGGCAACGTCAAACCGAATATGATGAATCATAATTTGTCAGCGGGAAAGCGATGCGCAGTTCAGTCGACGACATATCAGAACAACTTTTTCGTGAAGCAGGACCGATTACTTTCGGAAACCTGTGAAAAAGTCGTGCCACCATGTTTCAATCGGGAAACCTGGAAACCCCGCGATTCCGCACTTGATGAAGACCAATTTAGGACGACAACGGATCGTAATGTACACGTCGTGAAGCGGGACTTTTTGCCTCTTCGAAGTGGTGATGATGTTGTGGTACCACCATTGAATCCAGTCGGTGTCCATCATACTGCGATGAGTCATAATTTTTCCACCTTCAAACGAAGCTCAACACCTCCGAAAAGTGGTGAGAATATTGTGGTTCCGCGTGGTTGTTCTACGAGTGAACGAGGTCCGAACAATCCGAAGTTTGCTGACAATTTCAAGTTACCATCGTGTATTTCTGTCCAACCGGCACCCAGGAGTCGAAATTTTTCTGCCAAAAAACGTCTCGAAGTACCAAAGAGGTTTGATAATAATATTCACGCCATGAATCAAGGCTCTTCACATCCTGAGTGTGCTGAAAATGTGGTGGCAGCACCTGGCGATTCCCACAGTTTCAGTCGTGACCGGATGACTCTTAGTTTTTCCCCCGGAGAATTCGACAGAATTCCTGCGACGATGAATCATGATTCTTCCGCTTCAAATCAAGACTCCGTGCTTTTAAAGCGCGGTAAAACTTCTTTGGTAGCCCACCCTGGTTCGGGTGATTTCAGTCGTTCAATGACGAATCAAAATTTCTACCCCGGGAAGCAAGAGCCTGTTCCTTGGAAGTGCAGCGAAAATGTGTTGGTGATACCCTGTAGTTCGGATAATTCCAATGCGGCGAGTATGAATCATACACTCTCTACAGTGAAACGAGACCCCGTATCTCCGAGGTGCCATGATAATTTTGCCGCGAAACCCTGTAATTCGGGAAAGATCTACCACGATGTATCTACTTTGACCGAGGAAGCAGTGTTTCCAGAGAGCAAGGAAGATGTGGCGATGCCAAGTAGTTCAGGGATTTTCAATGCTGCGAACGTCGGTCATAGTTCAAATTCTATGAAGCAGGAGATCCGTGGAAGTATTGTGATAACACCCTCTTTTTCTGGAGACAACCATTTTTACTCGTCGGAGATTGATGATTTTCCTATAGTGAATCAAAGTTATGTACCTGTGGTATGCGGTGAAAATTATGCCAGAACGCCAAATAGTTCGGAACTCGAAGATGCGCCGAAGATCTATCATAATTTATCTAACGCGAAACAAGGCGTTCTGTCTGTAATAGAGTGCGTTGAAAATGACGTGAGAGCACCGTGTAGTTCGGGAGGAAACCAGTCCTATTCCTTGCCGACGAATCATTATTTTTCTCGCGTGCTGCAGGACCCAGTGACTCTGGAGAGCATTGACTGTTTTCAGGCGACACCGTGTGGTTTGATTGGTACCGAATGATTTTTATTCCTTCGTACTTTTTGTATTTTTCGACATGATCTAGCGTTCCTTTCGAAAACTTCTTCGGGGCAAAATAATTTAATCTGTGGTACAAACGCGCTAGTATCGGATTCAACTGTGTTCATGTGTGGTTTGGGAAATTGCGTCGTTTTGAGGAATTATTTGGGATGCGGGGAATCAATGAAGGAGTTTTATGAGATTATCATCGAATTTACGATTTTATGCCGGGAAACGATTTTTTTTAATTGATGAAGGAGGTTTATGAGATCATTGAATTCACTAATTTAATCAGGGAAACTATTTGTTTTGTGTGCTCGGTCAGTTTCCAAAGATCTTCGTCGGAAATAGTATATTGTATCGTTGCGTGTGGGGTTTTTGTGCTTTGAAGGACTTCGAGGAAATTTGTTGTAACCGTGATATTGTGATGGATTATCTATAGGTGTTCCTCAAGTCTTTGATTTGAATCGGGTATTAACTCTTGAGGATCATCTTTTTTCGTTTCCAAGGATTGAAAATTCGCGCAATATGAATGTTTCAATCGAAACAAGTTTCTAGACTGTATTCGCCCAGTCGAAGGATTAAATGTGTGTGAAATCGTGGGAATACTTTGAGATTTTTAAGAGCAATTTAAAGAATGGGTTGTGTTCCAATTCGTTTGTTCGAAAACGTTTTCGGTTTGGCGTGACTTCGCTTTGATTTATTACGGTTATCAACTTCGCACAGGTAGAAAAGGAATGAAACATGAACATGTTAGTTTCGACCCGTCCTGAAGAATACCGCATTCACGCTAGTATAAGACGCCATTGGTTCTAAGACTCACCTTATACATCAGCTCTGTAAATTTGGAGAAGTTTCGCCCTTGAAATCATCAAAATATTTGTTTGCCAGCCAGGTTCCTGTGTGAAAATGTTGGGAGTATGCTGGATAATTTGTCAATAAAATTGTAAGTTTTCAGTGTCCAGATCAAGTTAAGCCTCATTTGTATTCTTGGAAGTAGAAATAGGGGCAAAGAGTCAATCAGATATCAACTAATATATCAATGAAAATTTTAAAATCAGCAGAGAGGAGCATTCACAGTATTCTGGAGAGTTACTTGGCTTATAAGTATTTATGCAAGTACAATTTTGTATTTAAATCAAGGTCAAAAAAATTGGATGTCATGGTTGGGCTCAAATTTTCAAAAATTTTGAAACTTGTTTCCCCACTAGAAACAATTTTAATGCTCTTTAGTGATTCTGTAATTTGCAGGAGATAAAAACATTAAATTTAACTTTTGAATGGGCTTGTGTTTAGATTTTAGCCCCATATAGTTCCTAAAATATGAATTTTGGTGATGATAGTATGCATTGCATGTAGGGATTGACGATTTCCCAAGATTTTAGCCCGGAAGCTAAGGTGCAGGTCTTACTTATGGTTTTGTGGTTCTCAAGTAAAATCAAGTACAGCAATATATGAAGTACTCCATTAAGCATGGGGAACTAGAAGTGCACCAATTTTTAAGCCCCTTGTATTGAAATTATAAACTATAAATACTGGTACTGATTTGTGTTACTTTCTCTCTTAATTAAATAGTGACGGTTGAATTCTAGTGAAATTCTGGGAACGAAATATTGCAATGATGATCCTTCAAATTTGTACTTAAGATTTTCAGTCCTGTGGGAGTGTAGGTAATTCAGTTGATGCTTCAAACTTATCGTTTTTGATCTGACGAAGATCTTAGTCAGTTTAATTCAAACTCATCCCTTGAATTGAAATTAATTTTTTATGGGTCAAAATCAATGCGTCTTGTATTCCAGCGTATGCCTTTTCTCTTGTTGTCCGTGTGTTCATCAGAAAATAAATTATGTCTCTTCGCGTATTTTCGCAGATCTTCAATAAGGCCGTCCTTTTTTCAACTGTACCCTGTTACACAATGTTGTGTCGCGCGACGATTGTTTTGTTGTGCCTGTCCTGCGTCATCGCCTTCCCCGAATCCGCCGCAGACGTCGAAGTCGAAGAACAGAAAACGGTGAATTTCGCCAAACCCGGCAAGAATGTCACTTCCCGTCGCGGGGAAAGCGTGGAATTCAATTGCGAAGTGAATTCGGAAAACGGAGAACCGGTTCCGGCCGAAGACGAAAACGTCATCTCCATTTGGATGCAAAACAACCTGGTTCAATTCGCTGGCAGTCAGAAGATCACCAAGAACCCGAGACTGACGATCGAAGGCAGGAACTTGGTCGTCTCCGACATTGAATCCGAAGACGCCGGAAAGTACACGTGTCAATTGTCGACGTGGAATCAGCCCGTGATTACGCATTTTTTGATCGTGCAAACGCCGCCGTCGGTGAAGCCCGAGAAGAACAAAATAGTCGCCACTGCTGGGGATGACGTCATTCTCACGTGTTCCGCTGCAGGGAGTCCCAAGCCGACTATTTCTTGGCAGTTGAAAGTGAGTGTTCCTTTGAATACAGTGGGTGCTTTCAGAACAAGCATTATGTTGTGAATGCCTGAGAAAAAGGTTCATTATTTAATGAATTATATCCCTTAAAACTTATTTTTCATCTGTTGATAACTCAAACCTCTCTGTTTACATTTTTTTCCAAGTTACTCTCTGATTTCCTTCAGAAAAAAGCTCCCTAACCCAAGGCTTTTCTGACAAACCTCCATAAGTCGAATTTTTGGTTGACTTGTTCGGCTATTATTTTACTTACACAGGAAAGAGAAAGCCAATAAAAATGTAACAATGTTTTTTGAATATTTGAAAAGAACTGAAATACTTATCAGACAAATGAACCCTTGCCTCCAAGTTCAGCATCCTGTCAACTCAACTTAAGAAGCAATTCAAGTCCTGGAATATCACTCATTAAAATTCCCGGTAATTCTGTCTTTCCCCCAAAAAATGCTGGTATCCCCGACTTGAATTTTTTTCTGGTTCCTTGAAATTCGACTTGGAAAGGTTCGACTGTAACTTGATGGTTGTGGGCAAACCTACATCGTCCCCGAATAAAAATAATTTCTTCTTTGTTTTTCAAGTTTCTCAAACCCGGGTGAATTGTCCTGTGAGTGTTCAACCTAATCCAGCGAACTATGAACTAACCTGAATAACATAACATCCTAGTGATTCAACGTCATCTTTGATACCTCGTCGTAATTATAGAATTCCACGCGCCTAACCACAGAAATTTGATGAGTGAGTACTAACTCAATTACACGGACGAAATTCAGGGGACCAGAAAAATTCGCTGTCGAGAGAATTTGGTGTTGGAAAACTCCTGTGAGGTCAAAAAGTCGTTGTAGAGAGAGTCTTTCTGTGAAGATATTTCAACTGAGTGCTTAATGTATTCAAATTAATACTGTCCGTGCATAAAATATGTGCAATCAACCGTTGCTTATGTCGTAGCCATTACCTGTAGTACTTCGGTAAGTACTGTACCGCGAATGTGAGTTGACATTTGATCACAGAAGTGCTGCGGGAAATATTTTGATGAGAAGAATGGAATTTTCGAAATGTTCCCGATCACACACACCTGGTAGTTCAGAAAAGATTCATTGCGAATGTTTGTTGTTGTTGTTATCTAGGATGAGCCCGTGTTGTCTGGTGAGACGAGACTGACTGGCGAGAAGTTGGTTTTGGATCAGGTTTCGCATCAGCAAGCAGGCCGTTACATGTGCATCGCCGACAACGGAGTCGGCGAACCAGCCAAGGCGTTCATCGATTTGGACATCATGTACAAACCCGTCATCACTATCGAGGAAGGCTGGATTCATTCCGGAGAAAATAGCCAGGTAATTTTTTTTCGATTTCCTTTTTAGATTGTGGCTATAATGCTATACAATATTTCAACGGAATGTACTTTTTGAAGCCTTTTGTGCTACTTTGCCCGGATATATGTTCGTAAACAAAAATCTCAACACATTCGATTTAGGGGAAGAAGCATTGTTTTTGTTGAAGAAGGAAGAAAAATGAAATTTTTATTAGTGATATTCTGGGCCTTAAATTACTTATTGAATGAGTTGACAGCATGCTGAACTTGACTTCCCTTCGAAACACGTCGTTAAATTTTTATTGATTTTCTCTTTCCTGTTTCAGTAAAACTATAGCCTTTGAGTTGATATTTTTTAATGCAATTTTTCAGAGGGAATTCACGCAGAAATTTTACTTGAGTAGGTTTCAGTTATCGCGGTTCAACGGTATATCATAAAATCCGTCTCCGTATCAACATTCTCTGAAAAATTATTGGCATGAGACATTTTTTGCATAATGAATTTCCCAAGAAGGTAGTACCGTGGGTTTTCTTCACGAAAGGTGTCATTGCGAGCACTGAGCAGAATATCTGTATTTTAACTGGCTGAGAAAAATATTGGAAATAACCTATGTGTGATTGAGGTTTTTTCTACTGTATCTTTGCAGGCCGAGTTGACGTGCATCATACACGGGCAACCGAATCCCCAAGTGTCGTGGTTCCGCGACGGTGTCGAGTTGTCTGGCTCTGATTCTGCGCATTGGACCCAGAGCAAAATTGACGGGAACGTGTACACGCTGGAGTTGAAGAACTTGAAGCGTGAGCATTTTGGAACGTACGAATGCAGAGCGTCCAACACGATCGGAAGAAGCGAAGAATACATCGAACTTTCCGGCTTGGCCAAGAAGGCAGAATTCACTTCCGAGCCTCGCGGAAAGGAAGAGACCACTTACAGGTAAGAATAAAACCTTTCCAATTTTTATTATTTTTTTATCTTAGGAGCCCCCTTTTTGTAAGAAATGTGTTTCTTAGTCCCTATAGAAATATAATCACAGTATTATCCGTCATCGGTGTTCTCGCTGAACCGAACTTGGCGACACCTGATGCGTCAAATAGCGAATAATCCTAGAATAATAATCTCATCAAAGAGTAATCCTCTCTTGAAGGTCCAAGAAAGCCTTTCTGTAAGGGAACCTTCCTCGCGAGTTAAGTACGAAATTTTGATTTTGATAGATGCGAAATCTCCGGATATTTTCATCCTTCACATACGAACATGTTCTGGAGTTTCGTAAAGATGTCGCCGGAATCTCTGACCCTAATTGAGCCCAGCTAGACTAACTTTTGGCAATGTTGCACACGTAATAAAACCACAGCAGTATTATCGAATGAATGTTTCAAATGTCAGAAAATGTGTGTTGCTGGTTGGTTGGGATGTGAAGCAGTATGAACCCATAGTTTTTTTTTTTTTCTTGATAAGTTCTCAAATAATAAATCTTCGGAAACTATTACTTCTTTGTCGGTTTGATCGATCCNAAACTCCTGTGAGGTCAAAAAGTCGTTGTAGAGAGAGTCTTTCTGTGAAGATATTTCAACTGAGTGCTTAATGTATTCAAATTAATACTGTCCGTGCATAAAATATGTGCAATCAACCGTTGCTTATGTCGTAGCCATTACCTGTAGTACTTCGGTAAGTACTGTACCGCGAATGTGAGTTGACATTTGATCACAGAAGTGCTGCGGGAAATATTTTGATGAGAAGAATGGAATTTTCGAAATGTTCCCGATCACACACACCTGGTAGTTCAGAAAAGATTCATTGCGAATGTTTGTTGTTGTTGTTATCTAGGATGAGCCCGTGTTGTCTGGTGAGACGAGACTGACTGGCGAGAAGTTGGTTTTGGATCAGGTTTCGCATCAGCAAGCAGGCCGTTACATGTGCATCGCCGACAACGGAGTCGGCGAACCAGCCAAGGCGTTCATCGATTTGGACATCATGTACAAACCCGTCATCACTATCGAGGAAGGCTGGATTCATTCCGGAGAAAATAGCCAGGTAATTTTTTTTTTCGATTTCCCTTTTAGAATTGTGGCCATATTTTAACGGGATGGTACTTTTTGAAGCCCTTTGTGCTACTTTGCCCGGATATATGTGTGTAAAAAAAAATCTTGAAACACATTCAATATAGGGGAAGAAGCTTTTTTTTGTGTTGAAGAAGGAAGAAAAAATGAAATTTTTATTGGTGATATTCTGGGCCTTAAATTACTTATCGAATGAGTTGACAGCATGCTGAACTTGACTTCCCTTCAAAATACGTCGTTAAATTTTTATTGATTTTCTCTTTCATGTTTCAGTAAAATGAAAGCCTTCGAGTTGATATTTTTTTCAGAGGGAATTCACGCAGAAATTTTACTTGAGTAGGTTTCAGTTATCGCGGCTCAACGGTATATCATAAAATCCGTCTCCGTATCAACATTCTCTGAAAAATTATTGGCATGAAACATTTTTTGCATAATGAACTTCCCAAGAAGGTAGTACCGTGGGTTTTCTTCACGAAAGATGTCATTGCGAGCACTGAGCAGAACATCTGTATTTTAACTGGCTGAGAAAATAGTTAATTGGAAATAACCTGTGTGTGATTGAGGTTTTTTCTACTGTATCTTTGCAGGCCGAGTTGACGTGCATCATACACGGGCAACCGAATCCTCAAGTGTCGTGGTTCCGTGACGGTGTCGAGTTGTCTGGCTCTGATTCTGCGCATTGGACCCAGAGCAAAATTGACGGGAACGTGTACACGCTGGAGTTGAAGAACTTGAAGCGTCTCGTAAAACCTTGCATGCTTACGTCTCGCACCAACACGATCGGAAGAAGCGAAGAATACATCGAACTTTCCGGCTTGGCCAAGAAGGCAGAATTCACTTCCGAGCCTCGCGGAAAGGAAGAGACCATTTACAGGTAAGAATACAACCTTTCCAATTTTTATTATTTTTCGATCTGAGGAGCCCCCTTTTTGTAAGAAATGTGTTCATTAGTCCCTGTAGAAATATAATCACAGTATTTTCCGTCATCGGTGTTCTCGCTGAACCGAACTTTGCGACACCTGATGCGTCAAATAGCGAATAATCCTAGAATAATTATCTCATCAGAGAGTAATCCTCTCTTGAAGGTCCATGAAAGCCTTTCTTTAAGGGAACCATCCTCGCGTCATGTACGAAATTTTGATAGATGCGAAATCTTCGGATTTTTTCATCCTTCACATACGAACATGTTCTGGAGTGTCGTAAAGATGTCGCCGGAATCTCTGACCCTACTTGAGCCCAGCTAGACTAATTTTTGGCAATGTTACACACCTAATAAAACCACAGCAGTATTATGATCGAATGAATTTTTCAAATGTCAGAAAATCTGCGTTGCTGGTAGGTTGGGATGTGAAGCAGTATGAACCCATAGTTTTTTTTTTTCTTGATAAGTTCTCAAATAATAAATCTTCGGAAACTATTACTTCTTTGTCGGTTTGATCGATCCACTTGCGCTTTTTTTTTTTTTTGCTGTTGAAAACAACGAGGACCAATATGTAAACAATTTAGATTGAAATAATTTTCCTGTTGTACGTTGTACTTGCCTGGATTCACTACTGATGCGGATGCAGGTACATTGCATGTGGCACGTTTGTAAATTACTACCCCCTATAATTGTATTTCAAGTTGATTCCTCCTTCCGAACCGTTTTGCATTTGATCATTATCACAGTAATCTGAACTGATATTTAAGAAATAATATCTTCTATTTTTCATGCGCAGAAAAATGCATCAATTTCGTTTTCCGCTATTTTGCGAACGCATATACACTTCGCGGAAACTTTATTACCATACTTTCGTCTTCGTAGAATATGAAGAATTATGCAAAAAATTAGCTGTATTCGTTGAATATCTTGATGAAAAAATTCAAAACCTGGTGCGGTTCTTGCTTTTTCAGATTGAAATGGACGGTGGAAAGCTATTCCCCGATTAAAGAATACCTCATCAAGTACCGGCAAGTGGATTTCAACGACACGGAAGAAGAAATGCCGCAATGGGAAACAGTGACGGTTCCTGAGGAAACCGGCCTGGACGGTGATAAGGCGATGAAGCATCACCATTCCCACGAGTATCTCATCAAGAACCTCAGTCCTGCCACGAATTATGAAGTCACTCTCCAAGTTTCCAACTCTTTCGGCAGCAATAATCCATCCACTTTCCGGTAAGACTTTCCGACCTTTGATCCGAAGTCTTATTCTTGTTTTCCTTGAACGAATTTCCGTGTTAGTGAGCAGTTCGGAATATTGTTTGAATAAGCTCAGAAATGCCCCTCAAATTCGTTTGACTCATCAGTGAAGGATTGTTGCTGTTTATTTTCATTTGCATTTCAACAATCAAAAACTGGAATGCCGTCTATAAGCAATGGAGTGAAGTATAATATGTTTTGTCGTGTGATTTGTTCACCAAGCAATATTCCCTAGATTTTCACAGGTGTCGCCTGAATTGCTGACCTAAATGAAATAGCTAATTTATTTTCAGGTGGAAGCTAACTTATATCTGTGCAGCATAAATGAAAGCTTTTTCCACTTGTTGGGATGTAACTTTAAAAGCGTACCATTCTGCTTTACGTGTTGATGAAACTGACGTAATTTGTGATTACTCCTTTGCTTCCAGCTATTCAAACAGCTGATCATGAAAAAGCACTTTTGGATCAAGAATACGTTTTATACAGAATTTTAACTTAGACTCATAACAATTATTGACAAAGGCATTTTTACCACATTTTAAACTGGAGAAGTTGAAGAACATTCTCTTGATGATCACTATCTTATTTCTGAGCGATGGATTTTATTTCTCTAGGTGCCCAAAAATATTGTGGAAGGTCATTTGCAAAGGATATGTTATTTTCTCCATGACGTATACGTTCTCACCTTTTAATTACGTGAAAAAAGTTTAATTGCGGAATTATGTGAACCTTTAAATCATGGAAATTTGTGTGGTCAGGCATATGAATGTCCAAGTGAACATTTTAAAATTCTAGTCTCATATCATTGAACCAACAGCCATTTTCTATACTATCTATAGTTCCAAATTTCATTTCAAGAAATTTTTCAGCAAGATTTTCGTATGTTTTCTGATTTTGTTGTGACAGTTCTGAGTAATACATTTTGTCAATTTTTTTCTTCCAGGTTTGGAACACTGGGTGCCACAGTCTCAACCTTAACAGCCGGCAGTTCCAGCAATATTCCATTCTGTCTATTCCTCATTGCAGCCTCATTCTGTCTTAGACTTCTACAAGTGTAAAACTTGAATATTTCATTGTGTAAGTTCATTTTTGGTTTGTTTAAAGAAGAGAAACGGGTCCCTCTGAGAATAGAAAGCGCACAAAGCTTGTTTTCTCGTAAATCCATCCAGTATTGACTCACGTGTGGTTCAATTTGTTATATTATGGTTTAATTTGGACCCGCGCTTTTGTTGTGTTGCTGTTTTTTTTTTTTGTTTCCCTCATTGCCTGCATTGTCAGATCTGCATTTTTTCTCTTGGTGTAACTGAGAACATGACAAGCTGACAGTTTTGCTTTTGCAAATTAGGGGCATGCTGTTGTTTCTGAAACATTGTGATCTTTCGGAAACCATTGTTGGATCAAAGTTTTTTGCAGCTAGACAAACCTTTAACGTCCTGGGCCTGCTTTTAGTGCCTTGTGTGATTTTGTAAATGCCCTCTAAAAAGAAAATCAGAAGGTGAGCAGCAGTGAAGTGGGTTCTTTGCAAGTATTTTAGCCACGCAACTAATGCTTTGTAACTTTTGGCTCTTGCTTAGTTCATTTATTTTTTTGTGGACAAAAAAAGAAAAGATACGTAAGAATCTTCTGTATGCCCTGGTGTCCAAAATGTTTTTTTTTTTTTGAATCAATGCTTGGCCTTGTAAAAAATATATCTCTGCGTGTGTGTATTGAATAAAGTGATTGGCTGCGAGTTGTAATTTGGTTCACTGTTTATTTTGTGAAAGTGTGGACTTGGTCAACCTTGAGTGGCATGACTTGGCAATTTTCTGAAGGTGATTGATTGGATTGTGGGAAATGCAAAGGGGTTCCCCAAAAGTCCTCCAAATCAGGGGCATGTCATCATTTTGGTGAGATGAAACATGATGTCCCTTTAAGTACCAGCAAATAATTGGGGGTGGCAAAAGGCAATTGACACATGCAGCTGCTATGTGCATCAGGTCATATTACAGCTTGAGTGGACAGTTGGAGAAAAATTCAGAGGAAGAAGAAAATGAGAGAGGAAACTGGTAGACATTTGGTGGGGCATGCATTGTTGTCTTCCCACACCATCCTCTTCCAATGAACATTCCTTTTTTGCATCTTTCTGTGGCCAGAGGAATCAGTCTTTTTCTTTGCCAGGAATTGGGTTTCAAAGAGGCTTAATGGCTGGCAAAGTCAAAGGGTTTTTCTGGTGACCCCGTTTTTGTTAAACCCCCCCCCCTCCCCCCGGAACAATACTCTATAGCTGAAATGTTGTCAAATAAATCTATTTGACAGACCATTCATCAACTGACAGTCAAGGATGATGGAGAAACTTTTCCTGCTGGCTCTGATGTCTTGATAGCCTGGGGGGTTTTGGCAGAATGAAGAAAAATGACACTGTCATTCATGCTGTAAGATACAAATCTTTTTTGTGTGTAAAATTATGAGTAAAGAATGTATTTTTTCTTTCATCTGGAAAGTAAAGTGTCTTTCATAGAGGATAGTGCATAAATATGTGGAGCTCTATCTTATGAACTCTGATAATTTATGGATAAGTGCTGCCTGTACATTTTGATGGAATCCCTTCATGAACATTCCAACTGAGTTTCCCAGCAGACTTCATCAAGCTCCCTTGGTGCTGTCGTTTTCCTCCATGGGCTCCTGGCATGCATTTAATGGGTTCACTATACCCTTAGAGAGGAGACCCCATGGGAATGCCTGCATATTTCAGCAGATGGATGGAGCAATACTCTATGTCTATAGCTGTGAAGACAGCATTCATTCCCCATTCTTCATATACAGTAGTTTGCTTCATCAATATGTCATCACAGTATCATTTCTGCTGCTGCAAATAAGAAGTCGAGAGGAATAATACTTTTGAAACTGAATGAAAAGAGAAAAGCAGACATTTTGCTTTGTAAATATGCCCCTAATTTTTGATCATATTTTTTGATATTTATATTTCCTTGTCTTGCTTGTCAATTTTTGGGTTGAGCAAATGTGTGAGAAATGCTAAATAAGCGTACAAGAATTTAAACATTTTCTTGATCTTGATTTATTTATTTATTATGCAGTCAGGCAAAGCACACTTCATTGTCATGTGTAAAAAAGGTGCTTCCTAGTGGTGACCTTTTTGATGTGAATAAAAAGTGTTCCCATTTTAAATTGAGAATTTTTTCAAGAACTGTAAGTTGTGAAAATGAGTTTAAAATAAAATGTGACTTAGATGCATTGACTTAATCTTCAGTGCATATTTATCATGTGATTCTTGAACACCCATTAAATTTGTACAGTACTTTTTCAGCTCTTTTCAAGTGATCAAGGCTTAAAATTTTGCAGAATTTATAATGAGGAAATGGTGAAAGAAACGCCAAAATTTTATTTACAAGCAATTGCTATAGGTAGTTAATTTAAAATTTAAATTACAGTACAAGATTTTATTTCTTGTTCATTCACATGACAGGGTAATATTTATTTTTTACAATACAGTGTATATATACTGAGTATAGTGAGTACCGATGAATTATTGTTGAATAAATTGAGGTAGGAATGTATATAATTTCTGAAACATTCTCAATAATGATTTTATGCATCAGATTTGCATTCTTGTACTGTATATAAAACGCCCATATTATCTGTTTCAAAATGTTTGCTTCCAACAGTAGATATTGAGGAGGGGAAAATATGTGTATATTTTTATCAAAATAATTCTCTCAGGTCAGCTGAATTAATATGCACAGTCAGTCTTTTTTTTGCAAGTGAGAAACAATTTGGAGATTGCTTTCTGTATCAGTGATGAAGACTTAATTACACAATTACATCCTATTAATGCCTTGCTTATATATTTCTTGAACTGAATATTTTATATTTAAGTGAACCTATAAATAAATACAGCACAGTACAAAAGGAATAAGAATGTCTTTTGGCTATAGATCGATTTATCAAACCTTTTATTAAACACACCCTCAAATTCTTAAATTCAGAGGAAAATCTTGTAACTTCTTCAAGTCCTGGTTCACAGCATGTCACACGCATTTGTTCAATATACTGTACTTGAATTTCATTTGTGCCACTTCCTGTTTCAGAGAAGAATTTTTTCCTGCAGAAAATAAAGGAACTGCAGTTCTCTTCTTCTGCTTCTTCATAAAGAAAGAAAATCCCTCCTTCCTCCTCAAGCAGGAACCTGCTGCTGCTATGTTCTGTGCACTCCCCTTTGTCCTTATATCCTTTTCATCCCCACCGGTTTCAGTCATGCTGGGTTTCATTTTATCCTCTTCTGTGCTTTCTTTTTCGGCTCTTTTTTTGTTGTTGTAATTTTCTGGCGCATGCTCCACAGGCTGCCACATGCGCTGTTCCGGTGTTGTCAAGGGTATCCATACATGCATACAGTACAGTACATGCAGCAGCAGAGGGATGGAAAGCTTCAGTTCTTTCCCTACTATACAGCAAAATGGTTTCTTGTGTTGCTCACCTTTATATCCAGTGGACCTCTTAGAGTGGAACTCAGAGAGGGGACCCCAAAAAATGTACAGCAGGGGGTTTATGAGTGAATATAGGGAAACTATGTATCAGGCACTTTTACTGGAAAAAATGTGGAACCATATACAGGAAGGTTAACTTAGAGTGTCTGGTAAGGTAAATGAGTTGACAGATTTCTGAACTTCAAACTATATGATGCTCAAATTTGTCCAATTTAGTCACTTACATCAAATTGATAAGCATTTCATGTATAGCTACATTTTTTTCTGCCATTTCATAAGTTCCTTGGTACTGTATAAGGGTGCGAATTCCACAAGTTTAATTTTGTTTAAATATATATTTGAGGTTATGCCTTTGAGTTTAAGAAGATCTATGTACATATGGTATTACACTGTATTATTCTGGGAATTTTTTAGCAGGAACTAAAAGTTTAAAATATTAGATGCAGATTTTTTTTTAATTTTAGGAATATTAAATTAGCAACATCTAGCTGCACATTTTCAAGGCATGAAAAACAAAAACTTGAGGTTATCTCATTATCTGGGATGAGTTCATCATTTTTTCTCCCCTTTTAACAGCACCAACTCAGTTAGAAAATGTGCATACAGTATATGGTCTACTGCATGCATAAAGAATGCATTTGTTACCTTCCCCAACTTGAAACTATATCTGCTGTATCCCTAATATGTAAATGGTTCATTAATGGCAGTGCTGTTTATGATGTGGTTCAGTATATATGTAATAAGGGTATATATGGAAAACTGTGGGGTGTGTCCAAGATGCAACATAATGAACTGTAAACAATGCAGATGAGACCCAAAACACTATAACAGGTTTGTTTACAGAAGTCCCTGATGCTGTGCAAATGAACGTGCCCTGTGGTGATGGATGTATTTCCAGCTATTTCTGTGTGTTGTACTGCTCCCAAGTGGGGAGCTATTTTTGCTGTGACCCCACAGTAGGTGCACACCAGGGTCACAACTAGTGCATATGGGATATTCTTGGGTTACAAGTGTGCAGTCCTGTTGAGGAAATTTTGCTACCATTCCAGGGTTACACTTGGTGATGCACAAATGTGAAATAACAGGAGCATCACACAAATGCACCAACTGTTTGGAACCACATTGAAATTTGTTTACAAATGTGACCCTGAGTAATCCTGGTGTGAACACAAAATTGGTGCACATTGGGGATATGCATGTTCAACAGAAGAACTTTGGTACACTTCAGGTGCACAGCAGCAGGGTCACTGTGTAGAATTACCAACAAATCCCCAGTGTGCACCAATTTCCCCACTCAGGTTATGTATATATATATAAAATGGACCAATACAAAATCAATTCAGGAAAATAATTTCTCTTGAAACAATTCGAGGGCAAATATTTTCCTCAATTGATTTTGTATTGGTACACGTTTATTTTCTGTACTGTTTTGAATGAAATGTTGTACAGTACTTTCTTCTCAATTTTTCAACACTGAAAAAATAATTCAAGACATTTTTTATATGCAGGGGTATTTTAATTTCAAACAACACATAATAAAGCATGTTGTATGTATTCAACTGGCTTTTTTAATTTTGAAACTGCTCAGCACAGGGTATTTTATTCCAAGAAGGCAAAACTTCAAGGAATTTACATCAAAATAATGAATAGATTATCATCCAGTCCTGATTCTGTATCATGTAAAAGTATATAACACTAGTTTTTGTGCTTTGGATATACATTATACAAATTTCAACACATTTTGTTGGAGCCTAAAAAATAAGTTTACTGATGTAAACAAATTATTATACTGTACTCTATTAACTAAAAGAGAGGTTTTATGATACATAAACCTTTTTTCATTCTTAATGCCATCCCATTATAATGTCTTTTTAGCTGAAGAACATATATTTATACGAAATTATTTAAATTATTGAAGCATACATATAGACCACTCAGCATATTTACGGAATTCTATCTGTAAATCATGTTCCCTACAATAAAGAAACATTTGTTTAGTCAGTGCCTAAAAATTCCAGTCAAAAGAAAATCACAGATTCCACAATCGCTGAAAATTTAAGGGTAGAGGATTTTCTTGATTAAATATTTCTCTCTTTTGTTGGAAAAATTGTTTGCATGATTCTGTCAGGAAAGTTTTCTCCTTTTCGATGATCATTGTTTTAACAATAAGTACAGTATAAGCAAGTGAAATTTGGTGTGATTTCTTATACTCCAAAAAAATCAATTTTTTTTTTCTTTTTAAATTATTTTTTGTCTCTGAAAGTTTGCTTAGCGACAATATATATTTCACCACCATTGCCTTATCTATTTTGTAACTCCGACCATCATCTCATATACAGTATATATAATTCTAAATTTAGGAAATGAGATATTATTATTTGCCCGTTGTTAGCCCTGCATTGAAAATTAAAACGAGAAGTGGAAAAAATCCTGCTTTGACGTGATGATAAAAAAAATTCAATTCATCACAGGCGAGACAAATTTTTTGACGCAAAAGATGGCCGCGTTGCCGCGGAGCTTCGCGTCGAGAGTCTGGCACTCTTCGGGCTTAGCTGTCGCACCGACAAGGTGTCGACTACTTGTGACGTCAGTGTCGACGTCACCGTCATCGTCGCTGAAGGTATCGGTCGTGGGATTTCCGCAGAAAACGCGGGCATTTTCTTGTCCTACTGCAACAAATAAATTATCACGTTCAGGTAATATTATTTTTTAAATTTCGTTTGTCATATCGCGCTTCGCAAACATTCAAAAACTTTTATAATTAAACAAATTGTATTCAAAAACCTCTGAATCTAAAAAATTTTTGAGGGTGTGTTTAATAAAAGGTATGATAAATCGATCTATAGCCAAAAGACATTCTTCCTTTTGTACTGTGCTGTATTTATTTATAGGTTCACTTAAATATAAAATATTCAGTTCAAGAACTATTTATAAGCAAGGCATTAATAGGATGTAATAGTGTAATTAAGTCTTCATCACTGATACAGAAAGCAATCTCCAAATGTTTTGTCACTTGCAAAAAAGACTGACTGTGCATATGAATTCAGCTTTCCTGAGAATTATTTTGATAAACATATAAAAATATTTCCCCCTCCTCAATATCTATATACTGCTGGAAGCAAACATATTGAAACAGATAATATGGACGATTTATATACAGTACAAGAATGCAAATCTGATGCAAAAAATCATTGAGAATGTTTCAGAAATTATATACTGTACATTCCTACCTCCATTTATTAAACCATATCATCAGTACTCAGTATATACACTGTATTATTGTAAAAAGAAATATTACCCTGTCATGTGAATGAACAAGAAATAAAATCTTGTGATTGAAATTTTAAATTAACTATACCTATTTTTCTTAATTAATAAATTATTTTTATGCTTCAACTTTCGGAATGAATGAATGGTTTCTGATGAAATGCATGCCTGCTGCAATGCAGGAAGTGTTCAGCAGTATTCCACTGCAGGATCACCCAGCAGCAGCAGCAAAAACGACAATGACTCCGGAAAACGGAAGCGATTGCTGTATTCTCAGGCATCTCAGGAGCACAAACCGGAAGTGATGGAGCTGCTGTGCGATTCCTTTGTGAATAGAGAACCCATTGGATGCGGCGTTTGCATAACCAAGACGGATTTCCTGTCCTGGGCCCCACGGGTACTTGACGAACTCACTGCACAAGGAGTAAGTACCGTACAGTATATATACAGTATATGCAACACTCACATTTCCTGATTTATGTAGTACAGTACTGTACATGTTGGTGGGCTAATTATATAAGTCTCGAATAATTCCTAAACTGCATGAAAAATGATACTTTTCCTTTGTTAATTTTATAAATACTGAAAACATGACAAAAGCTTTGGTACAGTAGTATTACTGTACAAAGATAAGCATCCCATACATGTATACAGTAAGTGTTGTTCTGCTGCTGGATTCTTTTTATAAATACTGTACCACAGTATATGTGATTCAATAAAATGGATTACTTTTGTTAAGAAAATACTGCATAATGTGCAAATAAAATTCTAAATTTTTGTGCATGGATATGTTTTTAAAGAAATCAGTGTATAAATGTGTTTCCCAGGATTTTCATGTGTTGAATATGCATAGTGCAAATTCTGCTGGTTTTCAATCAAAAAGGTAGTACATTTTTTCTTGTAATTTTTATAAGTGGGATGCCTCTATATTTATGACATACAGTATATATCCTCTGAAAGAAAAATGTGTGAAACTGAGCATCGTATGTTTATACGGGGATTTCGTTAAAACAGGATTTATTTGATTATACCTGAAGAACCACAGTACTGCACAGCAATAATGTATGTTGAAAAAATTTACAGTTTTCAGCAGTGGCACAAGATGCAGTCACGGGTCAAGTGGTGGGCTTTACCTTGAATGAGGTTGAGACGCCCAACAGCAAGCATGGCCTCGCCTACTCAACTCAATGGTGCCAAAACGAGAAAATGAATGTGATTTTCAAATTTCTTGGAGACCTTGACGATAAAGCCAAACCTTATGAATTTTTCAAGGTATGTATATTTCAGGTATACTGTATTAAAATTTTAACAAAACCTCTTTTAAGCTAGAGAAAAGTTTTTATATTGGATCCCCCGCAAAATCCACTTTTTACAGGATTTCGCAGATGATGAGAAGTTTCAAAATGAATGGCCAAAAATGTAGCATAGTGAAATAATTTGCCATGGTCAAGTATACTTATTTTCTTGCTCTTCATAAATTGCTGCATATAATAAGCCAAGTGTTTTTTTTTAAATCTACATTATTATATACTTACACTTGACTTATATACAGCTGACTGCTGAAATAAGTAGCATCTGCTGGAAAAATTCTAAATTTATCTCCCTTTTAATGTTCTCAAGCAGCAAATGACAAAAATATATAGATTGCAGTAAAATGTACCAAACATTGATGGCTATAATGGTTGAATAATTTAAAACATTACATTTAACTCTCTCAACATTTAATTTAAATTCAATTCATCAGATGTATCACACTTCCAGCAGTCTTGAATATTTTTAAAATAAAAATGTTCCCTTCATTATTGATGCTTCGGCTTCCTGCAGTACTTTTGGTGTCTTCCAACTTAGGTCGACAAGCTTTTCAGGTTCCAAATGATGGGTGTCCACGAAAAGTACGGCAACCTGGGCATTGGCAGAAACCTCAAAGACTGGGCCATAAGAACTGCCATCAAAAGTAGCGATTGCGAAGTCGGTGTTGTGGAGGCCACTGGGAGATTCTCTCAATCCATCAACGCCTCCTACGGCTTTCAGGTTTTCGCCGAGATTCCCTACGCGGAGTACAAAGGGGAGGATGGGAAATCAGTGTTTGATTTGTCAAGAATGAGCGGGCATTTGAGTTGTAAATTCATGGCGAAAGAATTGTTGTGAAGCAGTGCTGTTTTCTGTCTTTCTGCTTCGCGGAGGGCTTACGACTTGATTTGGTTTTAATTTTCGTGATGACCAAGAATCTGCGTGCATTATTTTCATTATACAGTAGTGATTTACTGAACTGCGAAAGACTTCAGCTGTGATTTCAGTAATTTTCGCTCGCTTTCAGCATGATTGCTTCGCTTCCGAATCCATATCAGATTCAGATACATTATAAAAGTGAATCGTTTCCTTCGGCGTGTTCCTTCAAAGCTCCTATGAGCAATTAATGCCGGACATTAATTTGATTTCGTTGTATCTTACGCTGGATGCAGATGTTGCGGATGTATCGAGAGCTTGTAGCTTGGAAGTCCGTGGTTTCGATTTCCAAAATTGTTTCGGCATCCATGAAATATATTGCTGTTTTCTATGATCTTTCTTTTTTAATTTCTCCTACGGATTTAGATTCAGTGAGGTTTCCCCCTGGATCGCTAAAGTACACAAGCACCGAATTACTTGGATTTTGTAGAGCAGTACATTTTGAAAATGTCCGGCTTCAACTAACGATTCCTTTTGTGTGCAAATGCGTCCAAGGATTGAGCAGTAATGAGTACTGCAGGCCTTTGGTGTTATGGCTGTGAGGAAGAAGAAGGTAACAAAGTAATGCCTAGCAAGGGGAAGTATTATTATAGTTGAGCTTGGGTACATGACCCAATTTTCGCCAAGTACAAATATAGTTTACTTATGGGAACGGGCACTGACTGCTGGGGACTTCAGCGGTAGAGCACTCACTACATCTTGTATTCTATGGTTGATTGAAGTGACACCTAGGATTTTACCTTGACCTCATTCACGAATGTGAAGAGTCAAATCTTTGAATGTGTTCCGAGGGAGCTGAACTTGCGAAATTTAAAAGGTGTGACAACGGAATTATCTTCCTGGACGAATTTTTCGAGCCGCGTTTTGACTCGCGTGTCTAACCTTCGAATATGAAGATACTAATTCCTGAGTTTATCCGTCGTTCCTCATAATTTGATGTCTTTCGCAAAATTTCAACTTTCAGTTGGTGTAAGAAGAAGTTTATTGGATAGCTACGCAATCTCGAGGTGCATTTGGTTGATCGCAGTATTGCATTTTACAGCTTTAAGGCTGATATGAGGGGTTCCAGCAGCATGAGGACTTCGTCTCGTAAACCTCCTTTTTTGGTGATCGGTCTTGTGCTTCTACTTGTTGTTGTGTGTTTCAAATATTGGAATTTGATGACGTTGAATTTCGATCTGCAAGAAAAATTGCACGAGTTTGAAGAACGACTTTTGAAAAAGTTAGTGGGTTGATATTTTGCTGATGTCACTTTTCTCTGATAAATGGTCTTTTTTCCAGTGAAAAGCAGTTGGACGGAAATTCACTACATCTCAGCAACATGAAATCGGAACTTGACACTTCACGGCGTCAGCTGACGGAAAAGAGCGACGAAAATGCAGATCTTACTCGGCGCATTAAAGATTTAACCGAAGAATTGGTGGGATTGAATGGAATTTTTGATGCTGTATCCAGTTTTTGAATGGATAAAATTTGCAGGATGTGCAAAAGGCTGCGGTTGACGATAAGACGAAGGAAATCAGCAAATGTCACAACGATTTGAAGCTTGCGAAGAGTGATTTAGAATCTAAGCAAGCAGAAATCAATCGTTTGGAAAGTGATGCTGAAAAGAAGGACTCGGTGCCAAAGGTGTCGGGTGACCCTCAATCAGTGAATAATCCGGATGTGCAAGAAAAAGTGCTGGAAGCCCCAAACGCCCAAGGTTCGTGAAGATTTCAGTTGTTATGTCCCCTCATGTATCCTTTGAAGTGTTAAATGTTTCTAAATGGAATCCGCCCGAGTACAAATAAATCTTTCAGATGCCGAATCCGCCAGGAAAAGTTGGAATGGGCAAAGATCAAAGAAACACATCCTTCCGCGATACAGTTTCAGGGATTTCAATGGCATCATTAGTTACGGATCACCCTTGATACTCGATTCGCCTAACTCAGTTAAACGCAAGCCAAGATTCAGTGTCATGAACCCTCCCAGAGACAAGGCTGAGCTGCATCAACTAATGAATTCACCCTAGTATCATTCCATTCTAACTGGCCCTGCGTTGCAGCACCCGAAAAACGCGAAATCAACTCTTCCTCGACGACTCACGCACTTCAAAAGAATAGTACGCTGCGTCCTCCCTTCGGCGAAGATCAAATGCTGGACAAGATCGGAGACGATGGACGAGAAGTTGGACTCGATTTGAAGGAAGCAATTCCGGAGAAGGCAGCTGTTGTGAATGTTGATCGGAGCGATGCTGCGAATGAAGATGAGCAGAATGACTATGCTGGTGATAATCTGAATCCGGTGAGAGGAATTGGACAAGGACAAGATGAAGCACTGGATGCAGGGAATCCGGATGTTGACCCGCGGTTCGATGGTTCGGATGCTGGTGGTTCTCCTTAATGTAATTTTTCAAAAATGTCAGCCCAGTTTTGTACTTCGACTTTTTTCTAAGCCTAGACAGCTAAGGTCACATCTCGTAGTTTTTACAATTTCACTGGAACTAAATTGAGCGTTACTTCATGAACCTATTCAATTTATATTACTGCTAAAAATGAATCGTGTATTTTTATTTTTTAAACCGATGGTGATCATGTTCTGGAACATGTTAAGATTTTTGTTGTCCGAAAGGTTTGGCTTGTTGTACAGTACCTCCGTGTAACGAGACGTTCCCTTTAGAGGTCATGTTGGGTCAGTCTTTATTTTGTGCATTTATCGCATTCCAAAGTCTGGTTTTGTGTTTGTAAGTGCGGTAGATCGAATTTTATTTCATGAAACCGTCCCTCAAATTGCTTGAAATATATTATAATCCAATTTGGATGGTATACCAATTTCCGTGCAGTATTACGTAAGAATTACCCACGGAAATTGGAATGATCAAATCTAATGGGACAGCTTGTTGGGATGCTCTTTTTCGTTCATGAAGTAATTGTTGAGATTTAAGATAGGAGACTGCTTAGATGTGACCTTATTTGTACGCATTTTAAAAACAAATAAATGGCCATATTTTCCTGATGCAACAAAACGCTGATTTTTCATGACATTTCTCGTAAAGGGGTGTTCCTTGGTATCCCTTCCTGCGTGATTTTTCTTTGGTGGCATTCGAGGTCAGTGTCGATGCATGGGATAATTGGTTGGATTTTATTGATGCGTTGATCGTTGTTCAATGTTTGCTTTCCTCGTGTATTTTGCTGTGATACTTGATTCAAAAAGTTTGATTGTTGTAAGAAGCGCTGCTGATCAAGGGGTTTTTTTCTGCTGCTTCTTCTTGTGCGGTTCGATGGATGGAAGGTGTGAACAAGCTTGTTGGCCAAGAAAGTTGAAATGTTGACTGATTGGATCAGATTTTTGATCTTGTTAATTTTATTTTTCATGCCATGTTTCCCCAGAAATAAGACCCGTTTATAATGTAAGCTTTCTCACAGTTATCCGACGATATGATTAATATAATCCAGACCAGGAAAAATGAGCCGTTGAGAATACTGTATCGGACTTCTGTAATTAATTTGTTTGGTGTCAGTTCTTAGTGAAATTGATTTTGTCTCATTAGATTTGCGCTGCTCTTTTTTAGGATTCTTATTCCCTGTAATTCAGAATTCTTGCGGAATCTTTTGTTCAAATTTTGTTTCACGGCCAGTCTTATTTCTGGGGAACGTGGTAGTTTCTGAGCAAATAAAGCTTTAGGTATTCTAATCCTTCAATTTTATTCCAGAACTATGACGAATGCAACGCCGCATGGAACGCTCTTATTCCGTATGGGAGAGGTAAGGGTTTTTATTGACAGATTCAAAGGAATGACTGCGAATAATTTCTAACCCTCAGGATGTGGACGATTCAGAATTGATTCAGGAATACGAGCGCCAGGAAAGTCTGTTGAACTTGGCTTTGGAACGTGTCGGTGGGGATAACGTACCTCATGATAAGCCGTTGACGAAACGAAAAGTGAGACCCGCTTCAATTTTTCCGCATTTTGGGATAAAATGAGCGTTAATTTTTTTCAAGTGGAAAGAAAACGACTGGTGCCGAGCCCCTTATCCGGGCGATGGAAAATATTACGAAGGAAGGATTGTTGCTGTAGATGAAGCGCGTGCTAAAGCAACTGTGAGATTCGAGGGTGAGCATGTCAGTTAAGACTTCTGATTTTTTTAGTTTTCTCAAGTTGAGGGGTTTTGATCCTGTTTGAAAAGCCACCTGTCAATGATCGAAAAACTCCCTCGATTTTCGCACGAACATTTTGTCAGAAATTTTCGGTACGGGATGTGTCAAGTGGCCTAGGCCATGATTTATTGAGACAATCAATTCTAGGTGCAGTCTCCATGATTTTTAAAGAAAAATGCCTCAAGCTAAGGAATAAACTCTCGTATACAGGACCTGCAGGATTTCGTGGATGAAAATAACATTTACTGTATCTTGAAAGAATAAACTTATTCCTCAAAGTTTCTACAATTTCTTGGACGTGAAAAGACCGACCTACGTCGACACAAATACATGAATCAAGAATCTGTAACTCTTTCATTGAATAACAGAAACATCGTGAAACTTCCAACAAACTTTCGATGCATCCACGAAACATATATTATCGTTGATTTCCGCCGCGGGAAACAGGATATTTTCGATTGAAATCGATAAAAGCGTGAAATTGCTGGGAAATCCCGCGATAACTCGACGACATCAAAATCGATGGTAAATGAGGCCTTTCGGCTTTATTTTGTTGTACACAAAATAATTTATGTATCTTTCATTTGATTTTTTTTTTAAGGTGGTAGCTTCGAAAACTGTTGAGGAAGCGGTCGACTTTTTCAGTCTGTCCCTTGTATAATTTTTAAGAATGTTCTCGAACACCTATCTACTTTTTCAACTCTAATTTTCTGTTCCGGTATGCATGCATTTTTGATGCAGGTTATGACACGAATTCGAACATCCGCGTCCCTCTACGTCTCCTGCATCTATCCTATGGGAAAAGACTGAGGGATTGCCAACGAAATGCCGCGTCGGAGCGAAGACGTTTCAGATACGAAGATCCCTTTCGTCGGATCCCCTGTCCCGCGGAAACCAGTGACGATGATTCCAAGTTGGACGGATCCGACGATGTTGGCGTGAATCAGCTGTTTTCTGCGTCTAGCGTCGAGGATGCGAAAAGCAAAGCCAAAGACGCCTTGCAGATGTCCGCGTATATGTTTGGTTTCCATGCTGGTGAGTTATCGCGGGATTTCCTCACGATCCCACGGTTTTTTATCAACTGTTATTTGGACTCTCATGTTCCTCGGGGCGGAAATCGACGAATTCGGAACTTCCGCTGTGATGGATCATATTTTTATATATATCACGTGTGCGAGTGATGTTTTTTGTCATCAACAAATTAGTGTCCTGCCTTTCCTCCACGGTTTATACCGTACAAGTTGTTCCAAGGTGTATCTTTCAACAAATTCATGGGCAACAAGATGGGGAAAATTTACGGGGAATTTAAAGGGTTGAGTAAATACTTTCTGTGATTGGTTGTTCTTCATTGTGTAGTACCATTACTATCGACCAAAAATAAAATTCTTCCATAACTGGAGCAAAACATGACCTCGAACGTCATGTCCGTATTTTTTAACAATACAATTTTTGTGTATGTCATATTTTCAGGTCTCTACGAGGCGTTGGGAGGTGCTGTTGAAGAAATCAAGCTCCCATTTTGCCCGAGTGTCGACGAAAATTCAACTTCAATTGATGGTTGTGAAACAAACTCGAATTGACTTGGTTGATAAAGGCTACATATTTTGTAAAGCGTGTGTTGCTTTGTTCATTTCCTATTTGATTTTTGATTGTTGCGGCTTTATTTTGAGTTTTTTATTCTAGAAAATGGAAGAAGAAATACTGGAAATAATGAGCGGATTCCCTTCGCTTGCGGTCGAGAAGCGAGAAAGTAAAAGTGGAATTTTTTACATGATTGGGGGAACTCTCATTCTAGATGACGTGAGTTAGCGATGTTGATTTTTTTCGATGAAAATTTGCATATTTGATTGGACAAATATACGCAGGAAACGGTTACTCGAATAGAATTGGCGTATGAAAAGAATTCGAAGGAGTTGCGTCTAAATAACTTGGAATTACTGAATCAGCATCGGATCAACATGGTGTTAATCGAGGATATTCTGGAGGTGACGCAATGATCCATATGCATTCGCAATTTTTTCTTGACAGCTTGCCTTGTGAAATTGCAGGATTTCAAGAAGTCGCCTTGTCTGAACTCTTTTCTTCTGACTTTGTGGTCAGTTTTGGTAAGCGATAAGTTTACCGCAGAATTCGAATTTTTTCGAGTGCAGGCTAGGCTGACGATTATGTCATTACCGTATGATTGAGTACTTCGAGGTATTCATGTTTATGCATTAGATTTCTCCCGACCAGTGCGAAATCAAAAGCAATATTGTTCACGTTCAGCTCAAAATTATGTACGGTATATTATAGTCGGACGCTATGAAATCAGACCATAAACAATTGAATGGAAGCGTGAGGTCGTACGTCCTGTCGAGTCTGGTCGCTGCTGATTTTCAAGATATTGTTGAACTCGCCGATGATTGTTTGGGATACCGATTTCAACTCACTGATTCTGCCGCTCGTAAGCATGAGGTCGGAGTGAGGTTTCCCCCGAATTTCCCAGAGGGATTACCGAAGATTCAAATTGAATGTCCGGAAGAACTGGAGCTGACGATAGATATGGTTTGTAATGTTTTGGAAGGCTTTGTGAAATGTTGAGCACTTTTTATGCTTCAATTTTTGCTGAGTGAATCAACTGATTTATGGAAGGGCTACTCTTTTGTTTTCTTTATTGGCGAAGCGTTTTCAGTTTTCACAGCCACTACTTCTCTGAATTTTATCTGCCGAAAATTTTGTGGTGCTGTACTGTTTTCCTTTTAATCCGTGGGACATTTGATAACATGGAAAATCACGTAGTATAACATTTCTGGCTTCGAAAGTTTATTACCTCTGTATACCAACTAGCAATTAAATTAATGCTGGATCATATGTAGAAACTACAGTAAAATAATTTCATTCCTCAATTTAAAACGCCCATATATACGAATCATTCAATTTATGCGGTTTTAATGAATGCCTTAGATGGAACATTTTTCTATGAAAAATATCGAGGAAGCTGTGAGAGAGCATTTGGAAAAGTTCGTTGATTTTTGGAACGTCATGGACGACATTGACGACAAGACTTGGGTCCTTGATCCTTCGAAACCGCGTAGGAGTGACGTGGAACGCGTCATTTATCTTGGTTAGTTTTCTGTGAGATTTGTATAAACCTTCATGGAAGATTTTATTTGCCGATACACTTCCGTTTTTAAGGTCAGCATGTATCAATGAAATTTTCGGTTGACCCGCGGAATCCCTACGAAAAACCTGAAATCGAATTTCTGGGTCCTGTGGATCTCGTTGAGCCCCTAAAATGCGCCGTCCAAGCCTGCGTGAGTTTAATATTTTTCAGAAAACAAAATCTGGAATGATTATCCACCATATTTGCACTAAATAATGTGTATATTACGTCTTCTCAATTTCGTTTAGTGGGATGAAGAATGCGAGGACTTCGTGTCGAATTTGAAAGCGTTACTGGAGATCGATTTTCCGCAGAAGATTGGCGCTCAATCGGAGGAATTTTCGTTGTCCTGTGCCTTGTGCTTGTCTTACGAATTGGACGGCAAGATTCCGAATGTGATTTGCAAATGTTCGACTGCCTACCATGCATTTTGCTTACACGAGGTGAACATTTTCGACGCGTATCTCCCTGTCTATTTTCTCATTCAAGAACAATTCCCGGAATGATCAAAAAGTGCTTGCATCTCATTATGTATTTTAAATTTTAAAAAATCGTGTATCATCTGCTCGAAAGGTACGCTGTTAATTACAAGTTCTGTACTGTATGAAATATGTTCTTTCCCATGCAGTGGATTCTCACGATGGAAAATGTGATCAGGACTGACTGGGCTTTGCTGGGACCCTGTAGTGTTTGTTCAGAGGTTTGTTATACCGGCATGCAACGTTTTCCATGTTCTTTTGGATGTTACATCTTCCGTGCTTATATTTTCAGGTGATCAAATGTCCTCTTGTAGCCGATGATCCGACTTAGGCCACGCTTGCTTCCAGCGACACCTGTATTGAGTAGTTGATCAGAAGTGCTCTTTCGAGCATTGTAATGGCGGCGCGCCGCGTATGCGGCTGGATTGCGCAACTCATCGATGATGCGATCATTTGTGAACTGGATCGTCGTTCCCATCTAAGTGGATGGGGACGAGAGATGTTCATGGGATCTTTTGAGTTTTGTATGCGCGATACCCATGTAACCTGCATTCGTCTTTTGTACGGTACTATTTCTCCGGTTGAGACTGATTTTTTTCAAAGTAGGAGAATCGTCAAATTGTTCCTGTAATCGTACACCAGTGCTCGTATTTTATTGAACGATCGTTTAATTTGTGTGTTTTAGGAATATCAGTGCGAATCCCATTGTATGAAATGGCTGCACCGCGACAGAAGCGAACCCTCCCCGTGGAGGACTTGTCCAATGTCGAGTTCGAAACTAGTGAGGAAGTGGATGTCACTGGTAAATTCGACCAGATGGGATTGAAGGAAAACTTACTCCGAGGAATCTATGGGTATGGATTTGTGAAACCCTCCGCGATCCAGCAGCGAGCTATTAAGCCAATCGTCAAAGGACGAGATGTCATAGCCCAAGCTCAGTCTGGAACCGGTAAAACAGCTACATTTTCCATCGCGATTCTTCAGAGTGTGGACTTGAACGAACGTGAAACTCAGGTTCTAGTTCTCTCGCCTACTCGTGAACTTGCCGTCCAGATTCAGAAAGTAAGTTGAGTTATTATGTGTGGCTTTTCTGTTGATCCTTCGGGATGTGATGACATAATTTTCATGAATTGCAGGTAATTCTAGCGTTGGGTGATTGCATGAACGTGCAATGTCACGCATGTATCGGAGGCACGAACCTTGGTGAGGATATTCGCAAGCTCGACTTCGGTCAACATGTTGTTTCCGGAACCCCGGGTCGTGTATTCGACATGATTCGCCGGAGAAACTTACGAACTAGAAACATCAAGATGCTCGTTCTTGATGAAGCCGACGAAATGCTGAACAAGGGTTTCAAAGAGCAGATATACGATGTATATCGTTATTTGCCCCCTGGCACTCAGGTATGTTGTATCATTCGTTTTTTATGTATTATGTCATTTAAGTCTTGAGGAATAACTCCTGTTTATTTTGAGTAATTGAACGATTTTGCTGTACAGTAATTTAATTCTGGGAGCACCTCTGCTGTAAAGGTATAACTACAGTATATTGATCGAATCATAGTGTACTTTGTAATCGGATGACTAATTTTCATGCGATTGCATGTGATCAATGAAGTTTTTCGTTTTTGTAATAATTTCAATTAATTTAGACAGTTTAGTCGTGAACGGAGAGATCGACGCTCAAGTTTTAATTCGACATTTGTTTTTCAGGTTGTCCTGCTTTCAGCCACTCTGCCACATGAAATGCTGGAAATGACAAGCAAGTTCATGACAGATCCTATTCGTATTTTGGTTAAGCGCGATGAATTGACTCTGGAAGGCATCAAACAGTTTTTCGTCGCCGTGGAACGCGAGGAATGGAAGTTTGACACATTGTGCGACCTCTACGATACCCTCATTATCACTCAAGCAGTAATCTTCTGCAATACCAAACGTAAGGTCGACTGGCTGACGGAGAAAATGCGCGAGGCCAACTTCACCGTCAGTGCCATGCACGGGGACATGCCGCAAAAAGAAAGAGATGCTATTATGAAGGAATTCCGGTCTGGTTCAACGCGGGTTCTGATCACCACTGACATTTGGGCTCGAGGGATCGACGTTCAACAAGTGTCCCTCGTCATCAATTACGACTTGCCGAACAACCGAGAATTATACATACACAGGATCGGTCGATCTGGTCGTTTCGGGAGGAAAGGTGTGGCTATTAACTTCGTCAAGAGCGACGACATCAGAATTTTGCGGGACATTGAACAGTACTACTCAACCCAGATCGACGAAATGCCAATGAATGTTGCGGATTTGATCTAACCGCCCTTTTCATTCTTGTTTTGTATTCGGTTATGCTGTATTCAACTCTTTCCTGGAAATTCTTTTCGGATGTGTGACGATGCTTGAGGTAGTGTCGTTTCGTTGAAAAACAAGGCGTCTTGCTGAAATTTTTTCGTTCTGGTTCATTTCTGCGTGAGTCGGTTCTATTTCATTTTTACATATTACTTCTTGAGAGTTTAGTTTATAGTGGTATATCGATACTGATGGAAGTAATCGTTTGATACCCAATATGAAGCTTTAGATGGAATTTTATTTTTTGAAGGTTTAGTAAAATTCTATGTACGTAACATGATTATCTACTGCTGAGACAAGTGGAGTTCGAAAGAAAAACCTCGGAATAAATCAGTGAACCGATTTGATAAGGTTATGACCTAAAATTTCGTAGTCAAAGATTTTCAAGTTTCGATTAGACTGCTGGATTATCTCGACAAGCAAATCAATGAATGTTTTAATTACAAAATTAATTAGTACAATTACCTTCTGATTAAATACCTTGATAGCAAGGTTATTGAATGCTCTTATTGGGAATTTAAAGGGTCTTAGGAAGTGTTGGTGTGAACTAACGTAAGGTCACACATTTTCAGGAGAATTTCTTGTGCACACAGAGATGTAAGCTATTATTTGCATAATTGGAAGTAATCAATTTTTACTCTTTGTACAGTAATGAATTTTTAAAAACTGAGTAACATTATATTCTAGTTATGTTCATGGAATTAATTCATATATTGATAGTTATGTATATTCGAAGAGCTGCAGTGGATTCATTTAACTGAATAGGGTTCAGAAAGAGATTCAGATATGACTTCTATATGGCAGATGTTAAAAATTGCGCATTGATTTGGGAGCATCAATTTTTGATCGAGAAATGATCTGATCCACCCTGCAAGTCACATCTACGAAAACGCAGGAAATTAAAAAAAAAGTTCCATTCAGCTCTCAGTAAACCCTATCAAAACGCTTGTGCTGAAATAATGTCCCTATCCATAGAAACAACGTTGATATAATATGGTACACTATACAGTATAGTAATTCTTTAAACTGGCTAGATTACGCACACAATACACATATCCCAGCGTTCATCACTAAGCTTACCAGAAACAGTTGCCGCGCCGTCCGCTGGTGCTACCCAATGATTTCCGTAACGCTTTTAGAGAGGCAGTTGCTACCTCTTTGAACGCCTGACACGACGTTATGGTACAACTTCCACTCAACGCAACTCCATTCAACGCTACCTCTTCCACGCCACCCCTAGGAGCTCCAGCCTCTCATTGAGTGACTTCAACTGCAATGCTTTGGCGGTGTAAAATGTAAACAGACATTGCAAGGGACAAATAACATAGTGCACATATAAAAACACCTTTTTTAAATAAATAAAATATATGGTACTTTCCTGTTATCTCTGTACCTCATTCCTAGACCACACTTGGAATGAGGTACAGAGATAACAGGAAAGTACTGTATTGAATATTACGTTATCTTCCTACTCCTATACAATTCTTCAACATGTAATTTGTATCTGCAAGCATGCGCAGTTCATGAAGTCACTCATTTTTGGCGTTGAGGGATGGAGTGGTAGGGAACAGCCCTCTGGAGGGGGAGCGTGGAAGTGAGTTGCGTGGAGTTTGAAAGTGTACCATAACGTCCGGTCACCCTTTGAACGTGATGCTTCGACCCACGCTTACAATGAATTATTTATGAAATAAATTGAACACAGGGTGCGTTATTTGTCGAGGAGAATGCGGTGGCTCATTTTTCAGTGCGTCTGTCAACGACTATAGGAATGTGCGTTATTAGTGTGACCTCATGGTGTTCAAATATTTGCTTGCCCTCTTCTTTGTCTGAACAATTCGAGTTCTTATTTTTGTTAGCGGTGATTCCCGGAATGATAATAATATCTGAAAATTCCTCGGTGTTCCGTTATTTTCGGAGTTTTGTCGTACTTATGGCCGTATGGCTTTAAGCTATGCTCAGACAGATGCCTTCGTCCAATGCGAACCTTTTTTTTTCATTTATTGAACAGAGTAGATAGAGTTTTGTGAGACGTGCTTTGATCGCATCGAAAATGGGTTGTGCCATAAGTTCTACCGTCGACAAAGATGCGGTAGAGAGGTCAAAGAAAATTGACAAGGACCTCAGAGCAGAGCGCGACCGTGCTACACGCGAAGTAAAACTTCTGCTCCTAGGTGCGTTCTTGACATGAATTACTATTTCTATATCTATAATTTAGTTGATTTCTTTTTGTTGCGTAGGTGCTGGAGAATCTGGGAAGAGCACGATCGTCAAGCAAATGAAAATAATTCATGAAACGGGCTACTCGAAAGAAGAGTGCATTCAGTATCGTCCAGTGGTTTACAGCAACACAATTCAGAGTTTGATGGCCATTATTCGAGCCATGGGCCAACTCAAGATTGAGTTCGCCGATGTCAGTCGTTCGGTTAGTGAATGATTTTCTCCTTCCACCAAGAAATTTCGAAGCAAGTCTTCAAATTGTTACCTGCGTTTAATATTTATTTTCGTCATTGTAATTTCATGCCAACCTTAGCGATTTACAGACTTCTTGAGTGAGTATTCTTGAAGTATGCGTCCGAGAGCGTAAGAAGATAATTTTGAATCTTACCGCTGAAACCTTGAAATACTGGACAAGTCATTCAATTTTTTTAGGAGGATGCCAGGCAGTTTTTCAGCCTTGCGGGTGCCGCGGAAGAGGGAACTATGACTCCAGAATTGGCTGTTATCATGAAGCGTTTATGGAGTGATGGAGGTGTACAGCAATGTTTCCGTCGCTCTCGTGAATTCCAGGCATGTTTAATCTCCATCGTATTCTGCCGACGTTACTAATTTTATGATGGTCACCCTACAGCTGAACGACTCTGCATCGTACTACTTGAATAAGTTGGACTCAATTTCGCAATCCTCCTACATCCCAAGTCAGCAGGACGTACTGCGCACCCGAGTGAAAACGACCGGAATTGTGGAAACCCACTTCGAATACAAGAACCTCATGTTTAAGTAGGTCTTCTTCACTTGTTTATCCTTATTAAATTATGAGTAAATTAGAACGCCTTCGTAGTACCGGATTGAATGCTGTTCTCATGTTTCGTACTTTTATTTTTAAGAATGTTTGACGTTGGTGGTCAGCGTTCAGAGCGGAAGAAGTGGATTCATTGCTTCGAGGGTGTGACTGCCATAATTTTCTGTGTTGCTCTTTCGGGTATGTTTTCGTGTGTGATCATGTAGGATAGATGTTCAGATAGTTTAATTTCTTTTTCTGCAGGTTACGATCTTGTTTTGGCCGAAGATGAAGAGATGAATCGTATGATCGAGTCGACGAAATTGTTCGATTCCATCTGCAACAATAAGTGGTTTGTGAAGACTTCAATCATTTTATTCCTTAACAAGAAGGACATCTTTGCGGAGAAGATAAAAGTATCGCCCTTGACGATATGCTTTCCGGAATATCGAGGTAAATAAACCCCTTTGAATTTTTTTTAGTAGATTATATTGTATTTTCTATATATACTGTATTTGAAAAATAATTGAGTTTATTACTTATGAAAACGCTTTTTGGATGCAATAGAAATATTTAGTCACATTGGAATCTGTAGAAGTGATTGTCCTTGGTAACCCTTCAAATATATGTGATCTGTCCACCATATTTCAAAGAGACAATGAATTTTCCTTCCAGAGTGCGAATGTGTGATTCGGCGAATAATTTTTTGAATATCGTGATACATTGGAAATTACCTTGTGATTATTTTTTTTTATATTTCCAGCTAGGTTGATTTCATTTTTTTCAGCTTTTTATTGCTGTGCGTTGTTCGTAGTAATGGAGTGATTTAGAAAAAGTGAATTTGCAGATGCACCTTAAGATTCAAAGTCGAGTTTCCTACATATTGCGGCTGTATATTGCAGATTTACGAACGAGGTTATTGTTTTATCTTGAACGGTTGAAAAATGGGGAAAATGAATGGTGTCTTGTGTTCGTGTTGATTGTTGTGAGCCGATGATTAATGAGTTTTTGTTACAGGTCCCAACACGTACGAAGATACCACCCAATACATCAAGCAGCAATTCGAAAACTTGAACAAGCGACGCAATGAGAAGACGATTTACACCCATTTCACATGCGCAACAGATACCAACAACATTGAATTTGTGTTCAGCGCAGTGACGGATGTGATCATCACGAACAATTTGAAGGAGTGCGGGTTTTAGGCTGCCGCATTCGGAAGAAAAACGTGTATGTTACTTATTTCATGAGTGTAAGTTAGCTTTATCCTACTTGCTTTCCATCATTCGCCTATTTATTCGGTGTATTTATACTCATCTGTTGTATGCTCAAAAATTCCGTTTTGTGTTCTTCTGTGCGTTCCGGAGAAGATGCGTGCGCGCTGCATTTGTTGCGGTGTGCGAAACGTTCGGTTCATGTCTGCATTGCTGTTTGGCGCGTTTACTGCCAGACGGAAATCTCTCCTTGACGGTATTGTGATTTGCTGAAAACTTAGCCTCCGATCCTCAGAACCTTCAGCGCAATTGAATTGACGGCTCAATTGACATTGATCAAAGAAATCCTAGCGGTTCAGTTCTCAAACGGCCATTAAGCTGCCATCGCGTCACGTTTACGAGGTATTTCTCGGAAGTTCTGCGATAGTCACCAACGAATTCTCATTGCTGATTGATGACACCAGTAGAAAAATATTTGATCAATTTCACAAAAACGTTTATTTCTCGAAACAATTACTGTAGGTCCATCGAAAGCAGTTTAGAAATTATGATCTGAATATTTCATCTGCCGTTTTCCACGATTGCATAAAATTAATTTTTAATGAATTGAATCTAAAAAAATTTTTTTGATTTTTCAACTCATTGATCGCCTGAGAATCTTGAAGAATTACCATCTTGTCCCATCAAAAATCTTTTGTGTCGTTCAAGAATCATCTTCCTGTTCATCCGTTCTCCGCAGAAAGAGAGTAATATTGTATTTTTTCGGTCAATCAACAATGAGTGACACGATAAAGCAAGGTTTTAGCTAACTTCAGTGACAATTTGTACCTGACTTGCAAGACTCTTGAGAAGTCCCTCGTAGAGTTGAAAAATTGTACATATATTCTTGTTGCATTTGAAGTACTCTCGGTGTTGCGCTTTTTTTGCAAATGTTTTACTGTACTGTTTCGTCCTTCTTCATTCCTGTGAAGTAAGTTTCCTCCGAGGTTTTTGTAGGGTGTATGATAAGCCCTATATTTTTATAATTTTGCATTTTTGAGGATACTGCGCAGTATTTTTCAATCGCAAACGACCACCCGACGGAAAATCCGTGTTTGGAAAAATTGCTGTGGAACTGTATCAGAGCTGGTTTTTTTTCCTGAGTTGATACATTTTGCAAAATCGTGAACGACCCTGGCTTATTTTATCCCCTTTTTCCGCTTTTCGGTTGATGTTTGGTACTGATGCATCCCTCCTGTGGCTGCTGTCTTCATTCCATTATGTTGTCTTGTTTGAAGCTCTCGATTGGAGATAGTGGCTAGTGAGGTTCATGTATTCCTGTAAGATGTTGAAGATAACACGCTTTACGCAACATTGCCTTTATGTTCATTTTTTTAAGCATGGAATCTGTGTCGCCAGTTGGAGGAAAGTCCCCAAGCTTTGCCAGGGATTCTGTCCATCGAAGTTTCAGTTTTATGTGCCATTATATTTCCCGGGATTGAGGTCAATGAATAGTGCGCATTAATCCTTGGAAGCTGAGATGAAGTATTAAATTTTACTGAGCGACAAAAACGATTGAGCTGACCGAGAAACAGCTGCTCGTGAGTGGTCCAGTATTAAATTAGTTAGTGGTTCAGCTGACCCACGATCGAGAAAACCTGTTATTTCTCTTCATCCATGTATTGGCCCTAAACAATTTGATTTTTGAGAATTTCATTCATTGAGAGTCGGTCAGTTCAGGGGAAAACTGTCCTGGATTTTTGGATAGTCTTACTTTTTTTAATTCAAGGAAAAAAAGCAAAATTGGGATCATTTTGTCTGGCAGTGAATAAATATTTGGATAAGTGGATAAATGTTGAAAGTCAGCACATCCGACATTTATGGAGTAATAAATAAGTAAAGCTATGTTCATGCGGTTTGCAAAGCAGTCCATTTTATACATGCATTTGCTTCAAGTTAAAATTAAAATTATTTTTAGAATGAATTCAGGTGTAGATTTCTTTTTCCGATTCCTCTGGAATTGTTAAATTTTCTGTAAGCTCATTTTTAAATTTGCAGAAACTAATGCAACGTTATTTCCTCCATTGAAAGGAAAGCTTCTTGATCTCCGAAAATAAATAGAATACTTGAATTATTTTCACAGCCGGAATTTTAGAGAATAAAATTTCATACTTTTGTTGATCAGATCGTCGCTACCCTCTGAAAATGGCATACTTTTTTCTTGTCTGCCGGAAAAGTTTGGGGAATGCTGGGAGAGTATATGTTTTGCTGATTGTTACGTTCATGGAAGTTCTCCCTAGCTGGTGAGCTAGCCTGGGGAATAATTGTACTTGAACACACTTCTGCAGTTGGATGCGTTGGCAAGAAATAAAACCTCATAATGTTAGAATGAAAATCATGATGGTGCAGTCTTTTTTTTACTTGAAGGAAATTGAGAAATATCGGGACATTTTTTCGCAAGAAGAAAGATTCTGAAATTTTAAGAACACATTTTGTAAGCCCTTTCAAGTACAGTAGACTGATTCTAGGAAGTCGATCGCTTCATCCAAAGATCCCCGAATCATGGATTTAATTTCAAGGTAAAGTTCTATTTTCTCTGCAAATTGCATGAGGATATACTGTTGGACAATGCATTTGCTCGTGGGATCAAATATCAGCAATTGTCAAAGGGATGCATTATACAGTATTTCCGAGTGAATAACAATTATTGTATACTCAATTCTGACCTGGCATGTGATATGCTAAAATATGTAGCTCTTTGAATCCCTTCAAAAGCTCCCGAATTATGATGAAAGTCATGGCTGCTTCTACCTGGTATGTCGACGTCCGTGACGTGCTTATTGTTCGTCAGTATCACTGCGTGCGTTAATTCGGCATGCCGGTTAATTGCTTCTGCGATGGGTGAAAGAGGGATTGAGGCTTCACTTTATTTAGCATTCGGATTACCCATGCAGTTTATTTTTCCCTCCGCGGGTGAAATTTTAGGTATTGTGCGATCCGCAGTCCAATGATTGCCGCCGTAGTGCGATTATTATTCTTAAAATCGACTTGTATGTTGTGTGATGGCTGGTATGAGTAGTACTTCCTCGTCCTCCGTATCATCGGGTGATGATGTAGGAAGTGAGGAATTGAAGATCCGTGAAGCGGTAGCTCCTGGGTTTGAGAATGTTTTCGCCACGGTGTCCGCGTCCATCATGAAGAAACCTCGTAACGGAACTGTGCCGGTCGCAATGGAAGTTTGTCGTCATGGATTGGATCCTTCCGCGGAATCTGCCTCAGTGAGTGTGAGAGAAAAATGGGAGTTGAGCAGACAAGTTCCTGAGCCAGCTGACTTGAAAGTCACTAAGGGATTTCAAAATCACGTGGCCATGAAACTTGGGACTATTATAGATAGGTAAGAGTATCCCTATCCGTTTCTCGGTGAAACAGTGCGTTCATGGGCTTGTTTTCTAACAGTTCAATTAAGGAGGTGAACAAGAATCTCTCAACGATCCACCTGGGTGAACATGGTCCCACTCCATTGGCAACCGAATTAGGTGGAATCCGAATTTTCTCGGATTCTCATATATACAGCTACGGAGAGTCTGATGGATCTGAGCTCACGAACGTAGAGTTGCTGAAGGATAAAGACGACAGTGAAACTGATCGGACGAAAGGCCTCACGGAATCTGAAGTTCTCAGCGACAAGGACCTTACTGTCCGGAAACGCAAGAAGAGGAAGAAGCGTCGCCCTAACAAGGAAGTGGACTATCAAAGCGAGAGTGCCTGTGAGCTTCCTGATCCGACAGATTTCGGTCCCGATGGAGTCGTTGATAACAACGTGGACTGCGAAATGAAACCCGCCAAGAAGCGCAAACGCGTGAAAGAAACTGCCTGTTTTTATCAGAAGAAAACCAAACGACGAAAGCTGGACACAGATTCCGGTGGAGATGGTGATGTCAGCAGTGATACTGATTCTGATTATATGCCCTGAAAGCATTTTGAACGACTGTGACGCCAGGTGTCGTGTTCTGCTAGCTGGTCGACGCAAGTTCGAATACTTTCTTATTGAAAACTGTACTATCCATTTGTTGGATTTGAAGATTTCCTTAAGATTAATTTACGTGTTAGAAACTGTTTGTGATCTTATCTGCGGAGGCGAACATCGCTACTTTCATAATTTTTTTCAGATTTCCATCGGCAATCTTCGCTGATGAGGAATATTGCCGCGTTATCCCACGCTACCGAAATTATTCGGAAAGTCTTCAAACAGTGTTCCCCTTCGCGGAAGTCGTATGAATTCTTATGAAAAACAAGAGAAGGGTTCACGACATTTGCACCGTGCAGAAAGTTGCTGGATCTGTCCCACGCTGCATTCGTTGGTCGTAAAATGATTATTGTCGCTGCTTTTCGCGAATGTTTTCGAGTCCGTTGCGTTTCCAAGTGAAACAGTTGTATAGAGTGAGTTCGTAAATGTGATGAGGCTTAAAAATCCTCGTCATCTTTTTTTTTTTTTAATTAAAATTTTGGAAATGGAAATTTATCTTGGAAATTGAAAATCATTTTGTGAAGTTTCACTTGGTGCATCTGCTGATTTTGTGTAGTTTGCATACGTTTGTAACTTGGGGATGAAATGCTGATTGACGAAAATTTCTTTGGTTCTTCATGCGTCGTCCGGATTTATATGGATTTTGATCGTCCTTTTCAGAACTACTTTCAGTAGTGCGGTGGTTCAATAACTTTTTTTTTGATCACGGAAAATGGACGAGATCGAATGCGTCCGTCCGGAAGTTTTCCGTGCGTTTCAGTGTATGGATTTCGATAAATTGAGTGAATTTTCTGAGGATGATCTCAGACCGATTTTGCCTGCACTCGTGCGGATGACCGTCATTGGAGCCTTCGATGGCGAAGTTTTCTGGCTATCAAAGAATCGACTTTTTGGTTGCCTATTATCTGTTGATGCGGCGAATGGAGTTACTTCGCTCTTGTCGGCCGACTTCTTGTCGTTGGACGAAGATTTTTCGAAAGAGATGCAACTGTGGTGAGTTTTTATTTTAATACTGTATTCCCGAGAATTCATGTAAATGTCAAATTTTAACTGATCTGAGCGTATCAGTCGATTGTGAGTTCAAATTAATTTTTTATTCGCGAATTGGCCGACCGTCTCTAGTTCGTTCGCTCCTCATTTTTAATGATGAAAACTCGAACTGCAAATCTTTGGTATTCTAAATTTAAATAGCCGTAAAAATATGATGAATGAAGTTATATTTGGGTTTCAACAAAATCAACATTTCCTTGATCTCATATTCCGTTTCCAAGATTCCAACTGTCATTTTTTTTCGAGCTACAGTATAGTCATTTTCTTGAATGTTATTATGTTATGCTTTCCATCTTTCGGCAATTTTTTCAAAGCTGATTTTTCCAAAAGGATCCCCAAAGTTTTTATCGTGGTACCTAATAGCTTTGAGATTTAAAATTGTTCCCTCTGCAATAAGTTTTGTTTCATTTTTTAAATTTTCGGAAAATCGCTCCATTTCTTGCTTCACGTGGAATCGATTCAGTGTACTGACAGTAATTTGAAGTTGAACGAAATCATTTCAATGTTTATGGTTGGTAATCTTTTGTGATGAGAAGAACAACGAATAATTCCTGTGTGTTGCTTCTTCGTTAACTTAATGCTGTGCCCCTGATTCTGATAATCTTTTTTCTCTCCAGTGAGAAGTTGGGAGCGTCAGCCGCCGAGAAAAATAGAGATGAAAGTCCTTTATTGAAAGATTCCACGTCTTTCGGAGACTTGTGTCTTGATTTTGAACGGGGTGATGCAACCAGGAAGCTGCGTTTGCTGCTGCGAGAGATTGCCCTTGCGTTTTGTGAGGTAAAAAAGGGTTGATATTGCCTTCTTTATTTTATTTGAAACGGTTCATCGAGCCATGTTTCGCAGTTGAACGACGTTCATGTTAGCTTGTCGCCGGGAAAAGCGTGCGATTTGTTCGAGGAAGAAATTTATGCCGACGAGGTTTCTGACGTACTAATTGCTGCCATGATGGAAATGCCGGATTCTTTGTCGCCTTCTGCCGTAGTTCCTGCGCTTTTCCGAAGAATGGCCGATCCGTCTGGTCTAATTTGTCGGATTGTCGCGAACTTGCCGCATTCATTTGTGGATGGTAAATAGTTCTTTCTTTTTCATAATACATCGAAGTATCATTCGGCGTGTTTGGTCATCAAATTTAAGACATGGGTGCTTGTGTTGATGGTTGAATGTTTTAAGGAATATCCCTCGAATATTGTATGTTCTGCCATCATTTCAGTGTGTGTCTCGATCATAACAATGAACGAGAAGTTTGACGACGAAAACCACGTAATCGGAAAAGCTCGTTGCACCGCACTGCTTCGCTTGTGTCAGATGAATCCCACAGAATGTCTCGAAGTCCCTGGGATTTGTGTGAGTCTTTTATTCATGGAGTAGTTTTTTACATAGATATTGATGCTAAATTTTCGTTTTGCAGATCGATCTCGTTAGACTACCTGCAGCGGCTGTTCTGATCATGCTGGAAGCCAGTATCCAGAAGTTTGCTGTCCTGCCAGGTGATTGTGCTGTTGATGTCGTAGCATTTTTGAGTGGGGCTTTGCTGTCGAACAATCCCGCAGTAAAATCCCTTTTCTCTCAATGGATCAAAGCTGGTCAAAGGGTGAGATTTTTAAAGCATTCTCAGCATTTTTTTTATTGATCTCGAAGAAGTTTTCGAATTACGATATGTGGATTACCGTACGCAAAAGAATTTTGTACCACAAATTACCGCTCATGAACTACAGTAATTTTTGGGAGAAACGGGCAAAAAAAAAAAAGATTAATTTTAGACTGCATTATTGAAATGATGCAGATAAAGTTCTGCAAAATTCATTTCTGTGTTATGCAGGTGAGACTTCTGGGAAAGTCCTATTAGCATTATTTTTGTTGTAATATTGAGAACTGATGTGAAAAAGTTCTTCGGTTTGTTGCTAATCTTGAAATGTATTATTATTTTGGAATTGAATTCTTTTTCAATTCCACGCCCAGACAATCAAGCGAGACTGTGATCCGGCCACTGTGACAGGAAGTCCCTCGTTCAACGCGCTGAAGTCTCACCTTGTTGGAAGGGTTCAAGGTTTATTGACCAAATCCATGAACAATACACTTGCGAATGAATCCGTGGACGAAGGAATGGCCATTCTGCGACTGTATTGTTTGATGAAAGGACATGCTGCCTACAAGTATGTTGATAAATTCTTTGCTGATACAACTAGTCTCTGATTGTGTTGCGCTGTTCGTAAAGAATGTATTGGTAATTTTTATCCTTACGCACGCTTTTTTTTAGGCACTATGTTCACCTATTAAAACGCTTTTCTTTGAAATAGTAAAGCCCTCCCGTAAATTCAATGTTAGAATTTTTTTTCTTCATGTTCACAAAATTTTCACCCTGAACCTCGAATGCCATTTTCAAACCTTTGCTTATACAAGGGAAGCCCTTTGCGTGAAAGGTTTAGATTATTTCTTAAATTTAAAGATCAATGGATGATGCATTGGTACTCAATTTCTTTTTCGTCCATCATGCTTTTCAAAACCGCATCAGTGGAAATTCGACACGTGTCGGAAGAACAGAAGAACCTGTGGAATAATCCAATCACCCAAAATTGCTGTGCTTCTCTTGAAAGAATGGGTAAAAATTAAAACATTTGAATGTGCTGGGAAATCAGACACCCCTGCAATTTACCGTGAAATTTGAAGAGAGGGAGAGAGATGGAAAAAAAAATTGTATTCAATTGTATTTCAGCTGTTGAAATTAATCACTTGTTCACTGAATATTTTCTCGTTTCAGGTTAACAGAAGATGAGGCGTTGTTAGTTTTGAAACTCGTAACCTCTCGTCCTCCGGCAACACAGAAAGGAGGCCGTTTTGTTTCCCTCGGTCTCTGTGTGATGTTGGCTTGTCCAGCCCTGGTTGGAACTGCAGAGAGGGAAAGAGTTGTAGTTCAGTGGATTCGGTGGCTAGTGAAGGATTTCCATGTGGAAAAATCGTCTTATGCCGAGCTGTTGCTGCTCATGGCAATTTTGTTCCATGGGAATCATTTGAACGCCATTTCCGATCTCGTTGCTTCCACTTTATGCCTGAAACTTCCCGTGAAACCCGGAAGCATGCATCGATTAAAGACTGTCTTCACGCAAGAGGTTTTCACTGAACAGGTCAGATATTTCAAATTCTTCTTCGGTTTCGTTCGAATATATATGTGCTTGAGTTTTCTTCCTGAAAACAGGCCAAATCTTAACGAGTCTTCAAATATTTCTGTCGAAGTGGCAAGGTGATCTGTATTAAAGAAAGTTGTTGCCCTACTCCTTTATCAGATCATTTACTCTGTGGAGTACTTCTGAAAGTTCTGACGATAGTTTTATTTTTTCTTTTCTGAAGTTGGAATTTCGGCTTTCAAGTCTTCCAAAAAATGATTCCGTGATGATTGAATTTATTATTCGTTTTAGGTAGTGGCATCTCATGCTGTTCGAGTTGCTGTGACGGAAAATCTGAATGCTCGCTGTTCTGGTTTTCTCCCCGTGCACTGCATTTATCATCTGGTCAAATCTCGGGTTTTCTCGAAACACAAAGTTCCGATTCGTGATTGGGTTTACAGGTAAGCTTATTGCAGGGATTTTTTTACCTGTCGTTATTTTTTAATTTGCTTCTTATCGGAATAAGGTATATTTTGATTTCTATTTATCAATGAACTAATAATTGTTCTTTTGTTCTATTTAAAATCGCTGATCAGTTTGAATATTAACATGAGAATATATTTTCTGAATATTTTTTTCAATTGAATCTGAATTGACTTGGATCGAAGAGTATTTTCCATCAAGTAGTTGAATCCCATATTTACGCGAATATAAGCAACCCTTTTTATATTTTAGAAGCTCGACAACTGGGGGTGCTTATTCGCATATTTATTTAATACAGTACTGTATGGGCACCCCCTGCGTCTTGTATCAGGAAATCTGCTGGTTTGCGGCCCACGAAACGATTGAGCAGGTCTTTTCTTCAGTTCTTTTGAAATCGAAGTTAAAATGAATCAAGAAATGGTCAGCTGTTATCTTTTTAATATGCATGAGTCGTTGTTCGATGGGGAAGAAATGATTTCTGTTATACCATTTTTCCTTTTCTAGGGGAAACCTACATTTAGTCAGAAATTTTAGGTTCCTTGAAGTCTGAACGCAGGCAAGTAATTGGGTGCTTATATTCGCGTTCTAATAGAATTTTATTGTTGTGTATGAAAAATCTAGGGGGTGGGGGTGGTTTTATTCGCGTAAAGACGGGTAATCGAAAATGCTGATTTTCTAAATGTACTGTATTCTAAGAAAATTATTTACCATCGCAGGAAACTTTTTTTTGCTGTGGAGCCGCATGCTTTATTCTCTCTTCGTCTATTGTATTGATCAAAAATTGACCTTGACTGTCGACTTAAATTTAGTATACCATTACAGGCAACTTCTGTGTGCTGTGGAGCCTTTGCATCCAATATTGCCCCAATTAGTGGAAGTCTACGTGAACTCGATACTGATCCCACCCGCTGCTCGACTCGGCGGCGAAGACGAAATAAATGATCCATTCACCATCCCTCAAGTCCTCGCTGTTTTCCATCCAAACTCTGAAGCGTCATCAGTTTCCCAGCTGCTTATGCTGTACTACTTACTTTTGTATGAAAATTTACGTTTGAACAACATGAAGCCTATCATGGCGTCAAAGCGCACTGTTCTCACGTACTCACGCGATCTCATGGCTCAAGTACCTGTCAAGTACTTGTTACTGAAGGCGCAGAGCGAACAAGAGCAGTACGCCACTTTGTTTCCGGCGCTGATGCGATTGCTCATGTTGCATTACCCTCACTTGTGTTTGGTGGAGGATTGGTTACATCAACTCGAGCCGTGGGAATCGAATCGGTTCAAGAAATATGGAGGGTGTGCGGTTCGGGATCCAACGCGGGTCAAGGAGATGGTGGCCGATGCTTTTGCCAATTTGCCAAAGTGTCCGGCCAAGGCTATATTTTTACTCAAGCGGCTGCGGCAGTTGTCGGCGGCACAGTTGAGACCGTTGGCTGACGTGATTGTGTCGAATGCCAAGTTGTTGTTGGATTCCGAATCGCATCGTGTACCTAGGCTGGCTCAAGGTTGGTTTTCTTGGCTATTTTATTGAACTTTGTGAGTGTCTTCATTTGTCGTTTGAATTCTTATCTTTTATTTGGAAAAATTAAATTCATAATTTTCTGTTATGTTCTCAAAAACTGTTTTAAATTGAAATTTAGGCTTGAGAAATTTCAAGTTTTTTTAACTTCATGGGCTTGAAGAATTTCGCGCCATTTTTTTAAAAATTCACCTCGTGATTTTTTTTGGGCATTTGAATCCCGGAATAGCAATAATCGAGTTTTATTTTATTTAACTTGATCAGAGAAAAGAAGCAAAAAACAAACTGGGGCCGATTATAGATGATTGATCATTTTTTTCTGTAATTCACGAATTCTGTTGAACATCTGTAGATAATTTCCACTCTGATCTAAAAGTGTATATCCGTCTTCTTTGTCCTGATCGTTTAAAGATAAATTTGAACCAAACTTGAAAAGCACTTTTATGATTTTCTTCAATGAATTGGAAAGTATTCAATTACGTTACAGCAAGGTGAAGTATTTTGTTGGCTGCCACTCTCGTCAGTTGTTCAAATCATGAAATCATGATGGCTGATATGCTTTGAAAACAAGAAAAGCGGTTTTTTTTACACTCGTTTGCTCAACAGTAATATTTGTCATGGCTCAAATTCAAATGAGTTTTTAATGCACTAATCCTTTTCAGATCTGTTCCGTGAGGTTTGGAGAAAAATCAGCATTGTTTACCCGAGGGCAGTTTGGGTGATTGCTGTGAATAGTTTGGCAAGTGATGTCCCAAATATGGCCTCAAAAGAATTGCCGATACATCCCAACTTCAAGCAAGATGATCTCACGCTTGATCCTCTTATCGTTCTTCGCTGCGATCCTAGGATTTTTGGGTGCGATTTTGTAGATTTAAAAACCTGTGCAGAGGTACTCGGAGGAAGCGGTAAATCTATTATCTGATTGGTCCATCAGTTGAGTGTATGGTCATATTTAGTACTGTTAATTGTTGATTGGGACTAGACTCCGGGAAATCCACTCTACTGAGTAAAACCTGTATTTAGAAATATCAAGTGGTTTATACTTCTTGAATTCTTTGAAAATGTCCCTGAAAATTATTGCAAAAATCGTGGATCGGTTTTTAACTTCAATAAACAACACGAACGCTCACTAGAAAGAAAAATTAAGCTCATCACAATCAAAAATGTAAAAAGATTTTTACTCACTGAATTTCATACGCGGCTGACGAATTAAACGCTGCAACTTTCATGTTATCCGAAGGCAAAAATCGGTGACAGTTGGGACTCACTGTAAAAAAAAAAAAAAAATCCACCACTTTCCGGAGTAACACTGCACCATCACTTATGATCACTTGAAATTCGAGCGAAACGTGAAACAAAGTCAATGTTGTCTTTCATTTTCAAGGTGTCCCCCGTTGTTTGAGATTGTTCTCCGAGTTTTGCGAGGATACCTGGCCGCGTCGAGAGCTATGTTGCAGGAGCATATTCTTGACAAGCCGCTTTTGCCGCAACAACTGAACCAGAAGCCCCAAGGGCTTTCTGTAGCTATTTCATCCGACGCGGAAAGAGAAGAACTGAAGAACGCTTTAATAACTGCCCAAGACAGCGCTGCAGTTCAGCTTTTGCTAGAAATCACGGCGAATCGACAGCTGGATTCTGGGGGAATTGTGAGTCGTGAGATCCGTTATTTAATTTCTTCAAAAATGTAATGATTATTTTTGGGTCATTATTCATTCAATGTAGCTTTACATTACAGTACTAAGTTTTCGGACTTGGAAGAAGGTAGGCTTTCCATACAACTCGAAATTGCTTGGGAATAATCCTTCCAAATGGCGGACTTCCCGTTGGGACAGAATACAGTACAGTAAATCTTTTGAATGAGGCAAAAGCTGAGGAAAATCAATTGTTATGAATTTTGAAAAATCCATTTTCGTCCATTTTTAAGTTGCATTCTTTCAACGCGCTGCTTTTTCGAATTGCTTTTAGGGAGAATTGCGGAATTCCACGGAGGTCCAAAGTTTGGTGTGCTCCCATCTACACCACGTTTTCATCGCCGAGCCGCATCTCGTGAAGCTGGTGCATTTTCAGTCGTATCCCAGGGAACTGTTGCCAATGACAGCTACTGGGATCCCGTCAATGCACATTTGTCTCGACTTTTTGCCCGAATTGGTGACCACTCTGGACGTTGACCGCCTCGTTTTTGCGATAACGCTGTTGTCGCATTTGTCCACGCAATACGCTTTGCCAAAAGCTTTGTCCGTCACCCGGCTTGCGATTTCCGTGATTTTCACCATTTTATCGTGTAAGTGGAATGTACTTTGAAAATTTCCGGACGCGCATTTCTATGTATTCGTGTCTTGATTGATGAACTAAATCGGTGCAAATGGACTGAGTTCATCGAGATGGTAATGTTGAGGTACATGGGAAAGTCGATATGTTCCAGGTCCCCCAAAAAACCCTTTGACTGAGTTATGTGAAACTGTACAAAATTAAATGCAAGTCCCGTGTACATTTTCTTTTCAAGTTCATAAATTGAAGAATAAATGGGGATGATGTTAGCACGTGGAAGAATCTATGCTCAACACAATTGGGAGAAACTGAACAGCTTGAAAAATAATCCAGACAGCCACATTCCGACATGTGTTTCAATTTTTATTTTGACTTTCTCGTTTCATGCCGACTATTACGTAAAACTGAGTCCACGACCCGAAGCCAAAGCTGTGGCAGACTGAGTGCATCGTCCAAAATGTCCATTGAGCGTGACGTTTCCTCAATTTTCTGTCGGGCTCTTGCGCATTCAAAGTCTGCTGGTGTTTTGAAATCATATTCATAATTACTGAAAGATACGATTGCTGTTGCTCAAACCTACAGTCAAGAAATTACTTTTATTTGGTAGTTAATTATATCGCAAATTTCGCAATTTATACTGGGGCTTCGAAATGCGGACGGCATGAAAAGCACCCCAAAAAGCCAAGAACCAGCGCGAGACTTCATATACTGTGCCTAAATTTAGCCTGTTCTGGATAATGAATTATGTTAAATTTATATATTTTTTAAATATAGAAGCTCTTTTTGTTCAAAGAGATATCAAAATTTTGAAAAATAGAAGGTATAAACGGAGGCGACTGAAGAACATTGTTTTGAATTAAATTTTTATTGTGGAATTTTTAGCTTTGCCTGGGAGCGTCGTTTTGGAAGAGTTCCTTCCGATTTTTCCTGCGCTGGTGCGGTTGGGAGTTACGTTCCCGCCTGTTTTGACGGACGTGGTGAGCTTCTTCATTCAATACGCCCAACAGGCAGCGTCAATAGCCGACGTGCGATCCACTCGGGATAACATGATTTTGCTGCCAGGTGATGTTCTGCAAAAAGTGCAACGGGAGTTCGAAAATTTGGTGGATCAGTGCGTCCTCAGTCTGAATTTGACGTGATAAATTGTTCATTTTTTTGTATGTGCCTGGAAATAAATTGTTGGCAGTTTGATTTCTTCTGTATTTTGGGAATTTTAGGGGAACTCATTTTTATTGATGCAAGAGTTGTTGTAGTGTTCGAATCAATTTTCCGAAAGATTGTCAATGGCTCCTTAAGTGTCCGAACAAGATTTGTGTTGGTTTTTTGCCATTTGCTCCATAATTTTGTTGGAAAAAAATTACTTCGGAAGTAAAAGCAAAATGCAGAATAATGAATGCATTTGTGATGTATTCTCAGAAGTCCTTAAAGTTTTTTCAAGAGATCATGGACTTCTATTTGAATCCTGTTACTGTAATTTTTTAGTTACTGGGATTTACTCCCAATACTTCCCCCGAGGCGTGAACATTTGGGTGACACTGCCCATATACAGTAACAGAAAGGAAGCAGAAAAAAGTATCCAGAGAGAAGCTTGGGTTGATCATGGCAGACTTGTCATCCTGAGTATTGAAAATTTCTCAATTGATAGGGAGTACTGTTCATAACTTTTGACAAGGGAAATTTGATGCTGTCTTATTTGGTGCTAAGATAATATTGATTATACAGTATGCAGTACAATACAAGCAGGTTATTTAATTTCGAATAATAAACTAGTTTAGT